ATCCCGAAACCAGCAGCTCCGATCAGGGCATTCAAGACCACCCAAAGATCTGGTTTTCCGGGCGGCGGAGGCACAAATGCCTCGAGGATATGCCAGGCAAGCATGGCCAAATAGAAACCGAAGTGTAGGAGAGTTGTGAGAGTACTGGGCTCGAAGTTGGCATTGGAGTCTTCCAGGGATGGCCGAGTTCGGTAGGTCTCGAAAGAAGTAGGAGGCAAGCCGAGAAGATAGGCCCAAAGCAAAGTCATAACTATGTAAGGAACACGGAGCTCATCGCGCTTAAGGAGGGGGTACATGGTCCACGAGCCAAGTACGTTGGCCCAGCCCACCCAGGCGCGTGTTTCCTTGCTTAGTCCACCATTACCTGCAAGTAGTAGGGTCATCGGTAGCAGAGGCAGCAACACACTCTTCTCATGGACCTGGAAAGAGAACAAGAAAAATCCCCAGGCGACGGCAGATAGAGCAGGAAGGAGAAGCGAGGCCCGAGGGTGGCGGAAAATGATAGCACAGGGGACAATGATTGACGTCAATGTGGCACCGATCGATGCTCGCTGCAGCAACGTAGCATCAAAGCGAGTGAGCTTGTAGAAAGTGTGAATGGCGCACCAAGCGTTGGCAACTTTGTCTTCGAAGAGCCCACGCGCAAAGGGGAACACCCGATGAATGATCTGCGTTAGTTGGAATAATAGCCCATATGTAACGGAGTTCTTGTCCAGCTGGATAGGAAGTGCTTGTAACAGAGGCGGCACCGAAGAAGCTGCAAATGCCTTTCGAGCCTCGGTATTGGAGGCACCAACCATGAGAGGGGCCAACAGCAGAGCAAAAGCAGCTAAAGTGATGAATGCTATGCTGATGAGGCGGGGAATATTAATCCGAGGGAATGTGCAGACACCAAGAAGATAGGCGAACATGACTGGTGCATAGTACAACGCCATCTGTTTGAATCCTAGTGCGCCAACAAAGAAAATACAAGCCCAGAGCATACGCCCCGCGAGGATAGCGTCCAAGCTCGCAACCACCAATCCAAGCATAACTGTGTTATACTGGAAATGGCCATGGTCGATGAGGATATTGGCTGGCTGAAGGAGTACTGCCACGAGAGCAATCGAGGCGGACCATGCATGAACATCCTGCATCCGAGTGTAGCGGCGGAGGAAATTGACAACAGCCGGGATGAACACAAAGTATTCGGATACAACGACGGTGGCACGCATGTATACTTTCAAACGGGGATCCTCAAAACCTCGGGAGGCATCCAGGGCGAACCAGGTTGGATCAAACGCAGAGCCACTAAACAGACCAACAGGTTAGTAGGGGGTCGTGAGAATTCCACAATGAATCACAGGGAGGGAGATATACATCTTTCCGAATAGCCAGCTGTGATATGCAGTCAATGGTGGATAGTCGAGACCCCAGTATTGCAGATCGTATATGTACCACTTTGCTAAAGGCAGATGTGTGGTAATTTCCATCCAATGCCGTTGCGCCTCAAAATCACCATGCATCGGGGGAACCTGGAAGCCTAGAAGGTATCAATTCCTGTATCAACTTCCAAAAAGAGACAAGATCGCATACCAGAGTAACCCCACAAGCTAACAGCCCATCGGAACAGGCCGACGGCCATGAGGACAAGTGGGAGAATCAGCCATTGAGACACACCGGCACGAGCAGCCCACAGAAATGAGACCAGTGGGAAGGCTGGTGATTGCTTTCCTTCGCCTAGATCTAAGATCAGGTTATTGTTGGAGCCCGGGGAAATCGCAATCTTTCTCTTCTTGCGGGGACGGTGCGAGGATGGTGTCGGAGGGGCCATCACGATAAAAGCCTGAGGGACACCTATGGTCCCATTGACTGAGTCAAAGAAAGGCTGAACGGTGTTTGAACTAGTAGGAGTGATGGTAGAAGCAATTGGCGTATTGGGGCTCCCGAGGTCTATATGTACCTCAACGTAGACAAAGGCAGAAGATAGGTACCGCCAAATGACACGCGATTGTGAGTCGTCGACAGTCTCTGGGAAGGTACCCACATGGTTCTCAGGCTAATTTAATAGTCTAACCTTTCTGGGTAGGCGGAGTAGTTCTGCCAGCCTCCGAATTTTTTTTTTTCAAAATTTTTCCTTATCAGAGCTGATGGTCCCCCAGCTCTTCACTTTTTTTTCTTTTCTTCTTCCCATCCTCTCTACTTCCTTCTCTCATCTCCTTAAAAAAAAGCAGTCTGTTTCAGGTTGCTTTACTTATCTCATCTCTTGTACACCCAAGGGATCTCTATACACACTAACTAACGCAGTCGCGTGGGTTTATCTCGTAAGTTCGTTCGGATACTCTGTGGGCATCTTATCACTCTGGGGGCTGTGGGCTTGACATACATCTATTCTGTGGGCTCTGTGGGACATTTTCCTCGTGGGTTACATATTCTAGACAGTATTGGCTGTCTGTTGCTTGTGGGCTTGAGAACTTGTCCGTTCCGTGGGTAGTGGGTTAACGTCCAGCTGTGATTTAGTTCACTTCTGGCAGTTCTTCTGAGGGCTGTTGTTCCATTTTACACATCCAAAACACGGGTGCTTTGAGGGATCGTGGGCTTTGCCGCACATACTACAAGAATTTCACTTGTATCTACAGTATGTGCCACCCTACCCAAGCTACAAGCCAGACTCCCAAGCCCTCCCCTCTGAGTCCCCTCAATTTCATCCCCAAGAGCAATCGCTAATATTTTATCTCGCCTACAGTTCACAATGTCCAAGACATCTAGCAAGGTTGCCGATAAGGCCGGCAAGGCCAGCAAGGCCTTGAACAAGGTCAAGGATGCCGGTGTTACCAAGGCTTCCCAGTCCCCCGCCGCCAAGAGCAAGGCCGTTGCCAGCAAGGTCGCCGCCAAGGAGAAGTCCTCCAAGAAGAGCAAGAAGGAGCCTACCCCCAGCTCTTCCTCCGAGTCCGAGTCTGAGTCCGATGAGGATATGAAGGATGCTTCCTCCAGCTCCGAGTCCGAGTCCGAGGAGGAGAAGCCCGCCCCCAAGAAGACCGAGAAGAAGGTCGAGAAGAAGGTCGCTGCCAAGGCTGAGTCTTCCGACTCTTCCGACTCTGACTCTGACTCTTCTGAGTCCGAGGAGGAGAAGCCCGCTCCCAAGAAGGCCGAGAAGAAGGTCGCTGCCAAGGCTGAGTCGTCCGACTCTTCCGACTCTGACTCTGACTCTTCTGAGTCCGAGGATGAGAAGCCCGCTCCCAAGAAGACCGAGAAGAAGGCCGAGTCTTCCGACTCTGACTCCGACTCCTCTGAGTCCGAGTCCGAGGCCAAGAAGGCTTCTTCCGACTCTGAGTCTGGTTCCGACTCTGACAGCTCTGACTCTGAGTCCTCCGACTCCGAGGAGACCCCTGTCTCCAAGAAGCGCAAGGCTGATGAGGAGCCTGCTGCCGCTGCCAAGAAGTCCAAGACCGAGGATGTCCCCGAGGGTGCTGTCGCCAACCTTTTCATTGGCAACCTGTCCTGGAACGTCGATGAGGAGTGGCTCCAGCGTGAGTTCTCCGAGTTTGGTGAGCTCTCCGGTGTCCGCATTGTCACCGACCGTGAGACTGGCCGCTCCCGTGGCTTCGGCTACGTTGAGTACACCAACGCCGCCGATGCCGTCAAGGCCATGGAGGCTAAGAAGGGTACCGATCTTGACGGTCGCACCATCAACCTCGACTACGCCGCTCCACGTCAGGCCAACCCCCCTGCCGACCGCTCCCAGGATCGTGCTCGCTCCTACGGTGACCAGACCAGCCCCGAGAGCGACACTCTCTTCGTTGGCAACCTTCCCTTCAGCGCCACTGAGGATGCTCTCCACGAGGTCTTCGGCGCCCAGGGTTCCGTTCTCGGAATCCGTCTGCCCACTGAGCAGGAGACCGGCCGCCCCAAGGGCTTCGGTTACGTTCAGTTCTCTTCCATTGATGAGGCTAAGGCTGCCCACGCTGCCCTCAACGGCCATGAGCTCGAGGGCCGTGCTATCCGTCTCGACTTCTCTACTCCCCGCCCTGCCGGTGGTGACCGTGGTGGCTTCGGTGGCCGTGGCCGCGGTGGTGGTGGTGGTTTCGGTGGACGCGGCGGTGGTGGTCGTGGTGGTGGCCGTGGTGGCTTCGGTGACCGTGGCGGCCGTGGTGGTGGTCGTGGTGGCTTCGGCGACCGTGGCGGCCGTGGTGGCCTCAACAAGGGCAAGGGCAGCATCCCCGAGTACAAGGGCACCAAGGTTACCTTCTAGATTTGAGGTTGTTTCTGCATAAGTTTGATTTCTGCAACATATAGGTGTCCATGGGTCTCAGGTTTGCTTTGAGAGAAAAAAGTTCGTGTTTAATTATGTGTAATATGATCTTAGCTCAGGTATCTTCAATTTGATACATCATTTCAATTTTCATTCTGATTAACTTAAGTTTCTTGTCATTTTATCTTGTCTGGTGTAACTATATAGAATATATTGCCATAAGATGCCGCCTTCCCCGCAATATCCTAAGGTTCTTTGTTTTGTCTACTAAAGTACAAAGATTAATGGCCCATCGATATGCTTCTTTGATGGAATTGTTGATGAAAAAGGGTCTCTTTACAAGCTTCCCGAATCCTAGCATTCCAGGATAAGAATCATCATATTTGCCATTTACCAACAACCTCGCGTCGTCTTTAGCTTTTGCCTCGTCACGGGCTGCAAATCACCTGTTAGGTCTGGTGATCAGCTTATCATTTCGATTCTTTCCACCTCGGGGCTCTCTTCATCTTTCTTCTGTCACTCTCCCCTTTTTTCTATTTCTGGGGATTAATCCAACTATTTGAGTTCTTTTACCTCCTGGCTCTGAGCAGAAAGGAGTATAAAAGTCCTTGCTTTGGGCACCAGTGATCGTCCACGGCTCTACTCCACATTTGATAAGATAACCCCACGTTGACCGCTCTCTTGTACTCCAGGGTGGTCTGATCCCCCTCTCTTCTATATTTCTATTCACATATCTCCTTCTTTCATATTCTCTTTCAACTATCTAGCTATGCAACCAAATCACTGTCTGCTGGGTCAGGTGCGTGAGCCTAGAGCCGCAAGTCGGATGACGTGCGATGGCCATCAGCCGCTTCGAGATAACGGTCAGCCCCAGCCATCTGGTGCGGCACCCATGAGATCAGAGGGTATGTAGCTCTTTTTATAATCCGACTGGTACCTCCTCTGCCGATGGCCTTTCAATATACATACAAAATCTCTCTTACGTTTCCATAATGTACTCACTACGATACTACATAGACTCTTGGATCGACGTATCCTCGCAACCGTCCTCTTCCTCCGTCTCCTCTGCTGCCACAAATGAAGATATAATCACCACCGGCTTACGAGTCGAGCATGGAGAAGCAGGGGCATATCAGCGTCGCAATCGGCGACGCCGTATACAACACCTTGCTGCTATCACCACAGCCCAGGCGGACTATGCATCGCGGGATGCCAGCCAAGCCAGTAGCAGCCAAGAGGAATATGATGAGAGCGAAAGCGAGTCCGATCAGGTTCTCAGCAGCTCAAACGAAGATATAAACCGACCAGCGCTCCCAACCGGATTATCTGCACGCTCTGCACCTCTCTCATCAAGTTCAATCGCTACCTCCAGTGATGATGAAGATGATACTTCTACTGCCCTAGGGATGGGTATAAGCCCATCACCTTTCGTACCGCAACCAAACATATTCACCCACCCACCAGCCACGTCAGAACCTGGATGGGCTCCACGACGTACTCAACCTAGTGTCCCGTCTACCTCTACTCACCGTGCTCATCGAAGAGATTCTTATCCTAGTCTACGATCATCGCGCAGAACTCAACACCAACACAGCCCTTACAATATGTTCTCCCCTTCCCATCATGCCGACCACGACGCCGCACTTCGTGCCAGCCTATCAACACTTCTTTCTTGTGCCGCTGCCGCTAGAGGCCTTCCGAAAAATGACAATAGACAGCCATCTACATCAGCTGCACCCACAGTAGGTGCACAGCCTGCTTTATTCAGACTAGTAGGCCCATCCGTTGCTATGGGAGAGGAGAGTAGCGACGAAGAGGCCCCGTCCTCGCCACGGTATCCCGAAACAAGTCCCTCTACAGGAGGACCAGAGAGGCATTTAAGAGTGCCAGAGGTGTCATCTGACCCAGTCGTCGCCAAAGCAAAGCGCCGTTCAAGTTCCCCTAAAGACCGCAGTGTTACCTCGAAGAAGAATCGTCGCATGACCATGTCAGATTCAACAACGACTGTCAGCCCTACGATCATGACCTGGGTCATCAGCGCCGGAGTTGTTGTTCTATTCTCGGCAATCAGTTTTTCCGCAGGGTATATGATCGGCCGCGAGGTCGGGCGAGTTGAAGTTGGAATGATGGGAGATGGTGTTCCTGGCCCTCGCCCCTCAACGGGGTGTGGTCAAGAAGCTGTCCGTGGTGGACTCCGAAAACTGCGCTGGGGATCTGCGGCTGCAGGATCTGCTAGTCTCGCATCAATGTAATGTTCTATGATGAATGATCAAGATGACATCAACAAATTACGCTGTCAAAATGTCAACACGGAGGATATACCGGTTGTGTTGCGTTCATGATGCTTTCTAAACGTAGATCCGCGCCTCGAAACCTCCTGATATTTCTCTGTTTTATTGATATTCCTCTCTGATCTCGTTGACTGATTGTCATTGGGGCTCGGTTGTTATATGCCGGTGGTGTTGTGACCTTTCTGACAATCAAAAACCGGCGTATCTTTATGCTTTGCGCGGGGGGTTGCTGTTTGGGAGCGATGGAGTTCTGGTTCTAGTCCCGCTTGGGGCTTCTATGGTTTCTTTATGATTTCATGCGATTTTCAATCTATACCCTCTTTTTATCGCCCTATCTTATATATCGAATGGATTACTCTCTCAGAAAACTGGGTTTAGCTGGTATTCACATCCGCTGGTAAGATCTCAAGCCGTATCTCAACCAGTGCCTCGAGTACTGCTATCAAATTTAACTCCTGAAGGACCCTGGGACGTCCAGAATTGACTTTGCACTACTATGTGCGCAACCCTGGAACCTTGGAATCTCCCGCGGTATCCACCACGCTACTAAGCTTAGCATCGACGTTCTTGGCAGTTTATTGTTGTTTGGGTGGAAATGACAAACTATGTATTCCGTAGATCAGAAGAGGGATAGGCTAGAAATGGATTCATATAATTCCTTCTCCTTGGTCTGTTTCCGGTGGGTCAAATCGTATGAGTATCACTTCCCTGGTATCATTCATGAAGGCCACATCGTTTCCCGAAACGAAGTAAATAGAATGGCGCCATTCTGAATGAATGAACAAGATGTTTTCATTTCCTCTTTGGATCCAATACTCTGACGCATAAAGCGGAGCATGGGTACAAGACAGGCCAGGAATAAGAAGACCCCCTCTATCTGTCATGAGATATGTGCCGCAGGATGAAAACGAAACGTACTTCAACTTCACATCAGTCTCCACTTTGCCAACCTCTCTTAGAGTTGTAACATCTAATATCCAAACTGAATGACCAGATGACCCCTTGTCCGTGACGCAGGCGATTAAATTTCCGTCTCGCGAGAATACCACCTCTTTCAACACATGTAAGTTCAAGTCTCTGAGGCGGCGCGCCTCACCTGTCCTCGTATCACATAGATGTAATTCTTTTCGATTACACCCGAAGGCTAAAATCTTGCCATCCGGCGAGAATTCTATCGTTTCAATGAAGTGTAATCGGCCATCTAGGACGCGTTTCTCTGCCCCAGTTGCCAGATTGCAGAGCTTGATACCATGTTTTGACTCGCAGGCTATCATTTGACAGTCAGGCGAGAAAGCCATCACCACAGTCTTCAGCGGAGCGCGGAGTGGCAATTTTCTTGGTAGAATGTTCGCGGGATCATAATCATCGGCGACAACAACCATCCGCGTTGTGTTGGTTGCCAAATCGCTGATCCAAACCGAATTTGCATCCGCGGAGGCTAGGAATTTGCTATCAGGGGAAAATTTCAAGGTCGACGTATTTATGGGTTTGCCACGCACTTCGGGCAATCTCTTGCCTGTTTGTAAATCCCAAAGGCGAATCCCTTTGACTATGGGGCAGAAAGCTACTAGCCTTCCATCAGGGGAAACAGCTAGTGGTTCAAACAAGGCACATGTGTCTCCTTTCCATGGTATGATGCGCTGTGTGTTTGATCTCAAGTCCCATATTCGAATACTTTCTTCATTTCTGGACCTTATCAGATGGGGATGAGACACCAAGATATTCTTGTCCGAGGAGAAGTCCACGACTTCTGGCATGTGCGATGGCTGTGCCCCTTCAATTTGGGCATTCGAATTCCTTTTCAGTCCAATATCCCATAGATGAACAGTACCACCAACAGACGCAGAGGCTAATAGCTGACCGTCAGGTGAAAATTTAAGTCCTTTTAGCACCGAATAAGGGGACCGAAAGTTGAATAGCACTTGCTCAGTAGCTATGTCTCGTACGGTGATTCCGGCCCTATCTGCAGTAGCCAGCAAAAGGACATCCGATGATAATGAGACAGCGTATACTGAAGTTAAAGGAGGAAGAACACGCTGTACTGTGCCTTCAATGACGTTCTAAAGGCGTAAATTATTATCGGTGCTTACGGAGACCAGAAAATTGCCACCAGGGGAGAATGCGACCATGCGGAGTGCAGCAGAGTGACCTTGAAGAAGAAACTCACTCAGTCCACTTAATAAGTTCCAGAGACAGATGGTTCTATCCGCCGACCCAGATGCTAAGAGCCTGCCATCCGGTGAGAATGACAAGGCGCAGACAGCATCCAGATGGCACTGAAGAACGAACCGAGTGAGCCCGGTTGATACATCCCAGATACGTACTGTCTTATCTTTAGACCCGGATGCTAGTGATTTGCTATCTGGCGAGAATGCTAACACCGTAATCCAGTCCATATGACCAGCGAGGACAGATATATCTAGTGATGTGGTTGAATTCCAAAGACGGATTGTGTGATTGACAGTTGTGGTGGCCATAATAGTACCATTGGGCGAGATTATTGGCATCTTTCTCGGGTACTTAGGATTATGTAAAGGATGACCTGACTCTTCAATCACATATTGTATCCTACCAGCTGGGATATTCCAGATCTGCACTGTGGAGTCATACGGAAGACGAAGAGCTAATAGTTTACCGTCAGGTGAAAATTGCAGTCTCCCTAACTCCGCGCCGGTAAGACGAGTGAGCGAGAAGTGTCTCTCCGTTCTCGCTTTTGCATCCCAGAGCCAGATCCCTTGAGATGTCAAAGAGGCTAGCATTTTACCATCAGACGAGAATTCAAGCGCATCAACCCACTCCGAGGGAGTGAATGTCTGTAAATATTCACTCCAATTATGTACCAAAGCTGGTTGTGTCGAAAGCCATGTTGAATTGTGATGAGCGTAAAATTTTCTGATGATGCTTGCACTCGGAGTGAAAAGCATTGCAGAGTGATAAACTTGCAGGGGCGCTTTTTCGAGAGCTGGGCTATGACTTGAGAGGAAACGTTTTGCATCGTGAACTATGAGACTTAAAGGTGTAGCTTTATTGACCGGGACCTTCTTGAAAAGCAAGCTTTTAAGTAAACCGGGAGAAGAATGCTGACGGATCGTGTCTTGGGTCTTGGGGGTGTTAGGAGTCTGAGCAACGTAACCTTGGAAAGAACTAGGTATGAATTACGTACCATAAGCATACCATCAATATCTCGCATCATAGCAATACCTTCAGAAATCTGACCAAGCAAGCTAAGAACTTCAAGCCAGAAGAGAAATTTGGTCTGAAAGAATTGCAATACCACAGGGAGCTTTTCGGGATCAAGGGAGCTTCTCCTGAGATGACGAATTCAATATCGACAGGCATATTGAACAGGAAGAGCAATGTGTCGGTCAATCAGTGGCTTTGACACATCGCTCGCTAAAGCTCCTGGGCTTGAGAGGTTGCACATGTTGTGATGTAAGTGTGTTGACATTATCCGGAGACAGAAACCAGCAAGATCGCTGTGGGCCTGTGAAGCATTGATTAAGAATGTTTTGTCCAAACACCTTGCTGGGTCAAGCAAGAAGTCACGGAAAGATGGATGTAAAAGATGAATCACGCTTTCCTTGTTCGTTATAGCATCTGTTACCGAAGGAAGACTTCCTAGTAGATTAAGAACCTTCTGAATTGGCTCGTTGATCATAAACGACAGATCAGCGGGTGACACGGAGTCGAAGAGAAAAAGGATGGGCCCAACGATGCGATAGAATAGTTTTTGTAGTTTTTCAGTCTCTTCGACCTCCTCTGATTCCTTCAAGGAATAGCGTAGGACTGTGGCATACATCGCATTGGGATAGTTGCCGATGTAGATAAGAGTAGCAAACGCTCATTTGCCAGCTGAAAATTATCTCCGACAAACCGGCATACGGTAGCAGCATGAATGAATAGACCATGAGATCTTTTCACAAAGAGCCGAATACTTTCATCAGATAGAAAATTTTCGTCTACGAAGCACCGTTGCGATATATCGAAAAGACGTTGCTTATAGAAGACAGTCAGATCATCGTTAATGACTGACTGTTCGATATCGTGGAGGATTAGGTCATGACGTGCGTTACTGGAGATGTTATCGAAATCCAGCTTTATTGCCCTTTCTGGCCTGCTTGTAATCAAAACTCGAATTTTGACATTCTCAACCGAGAGAAGTGTCCCAAGACATCGAACAAGAACAGATATGCCATCTGCATCATCGCATTCATCCAGTGCATCGATCACGATGACAAGCGGCATTGCAAATGGATTATCGTTCAACTGCGACAGCGGCTCGATAACAAGTTTTTCCCATTGATCATATAAACCGAGAGTATGAAGACGAGGAGTCGACGCTGCAGCAGCCTTGATATATTTGCAGAGCTCCGGCGAAGTTTCTGCAAGCTGGGTTGCTATTGTCGCCGCATATTTCCGAGTTGATGCAAGGTCTCCATCACCCCTGGAGAAGAAGAAGCTGGCGCCTAACTGCTGCTTGCGGTGATATTCACGAGCGATGATCAAGGCGATGGTGGATTTTCCAGTACCAGCCATGCCTCTAAGCCAGTAGATTCGCTTTTCTCCGTCCCCATCCGCCCATTTTCTTAATTTTTCGAGTGGTTCGCAGCGAGTATCTTGCAGACAAGAGGGCGTGTGTTGCTTACTAGCGGCATTGAAAGCTGCTTCGGGGACCCCCTTGGGAAGACTTTGTGGGGTGGTGGAGTAGTGTTCTGAGGTTAGTGCCTGAGATATCCTCGAGGGTTTCCAGCCTCACGGTTGAAATGGGGGTCTCCATGCACGACCCCCTGAAAGGAATACCCTCCCATGGTCACTTCCGTGTCCCCAAAGTGGTTTTCGAAACTTGGAGCTGTGTCTCGATTGAGTGCCGCCATACTGAGATACGAGAACTTGAGATAAACGCAGGGGCAAAATGCCAGTTGGGCAGTAAAAACGATACTGTTGGAAGTAAGTGCCGGTCAGCCTCAGCCCCCGCACTTAGCCCGCGGGGGTAAAGCACACATCTCAAAAAGATATAATGGCTTGAAAGTTGGTGGCTACGTATGGCTTTCTGAACAAAACTATACCACACCCGATATTGAATCCCATACTAACCATGGACCCCGTGAGCCTGACCGCAAGTGTGATCGCTATTGCGACTTTAGCGACGCAAAGTTGCAAGTTGACATACAACTTGATTGCCAGTTTGGTAGGGGCGCCAGATGTCATTTCCAACTCTCAAGCAACTCTCCTAGAGACTGGAAAGTCACTCGAATCCCTAAAAGACTTTCTCGACAGAAAAGGATCCGAGTACGAAACATCTGCAGCGTTACAGGTGACCGAGCTTGTTCGCGCCATCCAGTCCACAAATGAGACTTGCGATGAGTTCCGTGCGACAATCGACAAGATTACGAAACACTCGAGCGGGTCGCAATCATGCAAGCGGGATAGAATCGCGGTGAATATTAACGAGTCGAAGATTGATAAGGTTCGACCAGCAGCTTGGAGACTGTCAAAGAACGATAAATCTGGCAGTGGATTCGATCACTCTGTTTGTTAAATACCAATCACTCCCAAAATATCATTCCATCTAAATGTGACTAGAATTATCACCGCTGATACCTTAGAGAGCGTCAACCGACTCGGTGAACGTTTTCGAGCAATGGAGGTTGCACTCACCAATCATGATACACAACTCAAGGACCAGCAAATTTCCCTGAGAGAGCCTGATGTGGAACTATCACACCAGGAAGATAGAACAGTGATCGACCGAAGCATACAGTTGACCAAAACGCTGCAGGAAGTGTGTCGAAATACTCTCGCAGCAACTAAAGCAAAGCGGACTGGTCAGACCTTCGGTGATATGTTGACAGACGACAATTCCAAGGCAATGCAGGGCATAGTTGGCGCACCACAGGCCAATGTCAAACAGTCTTTCGGGAAATTAACTGTTACGAAGGGCAGCAGGGGATTTTAGGGGCAAATGAGCGAAGATTCCTTTGCCATCATGTTCGGAACCACAACTTGAAGTCTTTGTTTGTGCGGAGAGATCGTTATATGAACATACGCTATATATTGTCTTTGGATCATGATTGAAGTATGGATTTGCGTTTCCTGTCCATTGTGTAAAGGACATAGAGTAAAGTGGGTTGTCGCTAGAGATAGCCAATCGTAGACCTTGATAATTCCAAAGATTGCGCTATACCAAATTTGGTGCAAAGGAACGATACTAGCCAAAAGGGGTTAGACTGCTCTCTTTCGTCCAGGACCTCAAGTGTTTTCTTCTTTGGGGAGCAATAATGATAAACCTCAGATATATTTCGCTGTCAACCTTAGAATGATGGATATAATCAGAATTTTACATGAATTCGCATCCTAGACCTTTTCTCGGGCTTTTAATAATCCGGTGGGGAAATGTCAAAGTCCCTGCGCCTTCCCCGCCCCGCTGGGTCTCTGCATATGCCGGTTGGACATGCCTTTAGCGGACGAATCCTTGGCCACTGATAACAAATCAAAGATACGATAATGTGAGATCTGGAGGGCTCAATTTGGGCCATTCTTTTGTTCTTACGCAATTGGCTTCGCACCTCTCTGTCTTTCACCTCCACCTCATCTTGACACCTATCTTTAGCTACTATTCAACATGTTCTTCCAAAGCGCCCATGAGGAGAAAGACAAAGAGGTTTTGCTCCATTTCATTCGGCAAAACCCACTCGGTGTTTTGATCACTGGCATGAACTCCTCGCAGCAAGACTTCCTACAGTGTACCCATGCCCCATTTGTTGTGGATTTCCCAGAGGAATCAGGAAAGGCGGATCCCACTCTCCGCGCCCACATTGCCAAGCAGAATCCACAAGTCAAGACGATGATGGAGGCCGTCAATGACAAGCCGCCGAACGTTCTCGAACTCGACGACGACGTCCTCGTGTTATTCAATGGCAAGCATGACCATTACGTGACTCCGAAATACTACGTCGAGACAAAGCCAGATACAGGGAAGGTCGTGCCCACATGGAATTACTCCGCTGTCCAGGCGTACGGCAAGATGTCGCTATACTATGATGCCAAGACCCCCGAGACCGGCGAATTCCTTGCCAAACAACTGCATGATCTTTCGCAGCATACGGAGAAGTCAATTATGGGGTACACTGGTGGCGATAAACCGGAGCCGTGGGAGGTATCCGATGCGCCTAAGTCGTACACTGATCTCCTGAAGAAGAACATTGTTGGAATTGAGATTCGAATCACCAAGCTTCAGGGAAAGTTCAAGATGAGCCAGGAAATGCGACCCGGTGATCGTGAGGGTGTGGTACAGGGATTTGCGAAGCTAGGAGGTGATGCCGGCACTGCGATTTCGAATCTAGTGAAAGAGCGAGGTGAATTGCATGATGCAAAGAAGCGTGATTCTTAAAGCTAGAATGAAGATTCAACATGGCATTATTCAACGTTCCCGAATTACCTGTAGACCGGGAGAGTAACAAAAATGCAGTGAAGGATAATACCAGGCAATTACTATAATCCAGATGTTTTCAGATTCTGGATAGGCCATGACTAACTCAAAAGACGTATACTACATGATTGACCTACTGGGAATCGATTTCCTAGTTCTGCCCCTCTGTCTGCATATGTTGTTACACAAGGGATAACTTGTTGACCTCGTATATGATCCGTATTAAGCTTCTTTCGTGTATGATAACGGTAGTCAAATACTTGACAAACTACCTGTATGTGATATAAAATCGCGTGACATGTCTTTTCAGCCACATTGTTTGTCTATGAAGTCGAAATGGAAATTTATCTTCCTCGATCTCCTACAGCTACCTATTGTACATATTTATTCTAAAGTAATCACTTCTTACTCCATATCTAACCCCTTGGACAACATTGAAGATGCTCATATTTTGTTTCAAATATTAGGCATTGTTTTCTGATTGTGGTTGGAGTCGCTCATCTCCCTAATCTGAGGAACCCGAGTCCTCGTGATTCCGTCAGAAGTATAGCTTGAGAATTAGGGCTCATGTAGTTTATTTATGCGACCTTCTATTGGCAACAGAGCCCGGTCGGCGTTCGGAGTATGTCTGCCCAGCTCCAAACAAAGCGCTGTAGCGTGGGCTACAGGATACCTACCCGGTTATAGGTCGAATTGATAACAATTAGCTCGATAACCCATCATAGCGTTAAATCCCCGACTTATAATACGGGTTGTAGTACTATGGTGGCGGGTTGGCGGGTTCGATATCTGTTCTTGGAAGACGAACCCGCCTCGCGATGGGTTGCTCTACCAAATTGGAATTTAGCCGTTCATATGACCGGAGTATAGACGTGGCAATTAGTCAGATACAGAATTGTTTCAGGGCATATAAAGGGATCGTTATGAGGACCAGTGCATCAACAAAGACTTGAAGACATATTCCATTGAACTTTCATATTACTTTGTCATGGCTTCAATGTTGCACTATTTCGGCTTTAACGCCCCTGCTCCCAAAGGAGAAGCCCAAGATTCACCGGTGCGTGCCTTGCCTGCATCATGGTATACTTCACCAGAGATGTACGAGTTAGAGCGACGAGCCATATTTTCGAAGAGATGGCTCTTTATCACCCACAGTATGCGGGTGAAGAACACTGGCGACTGGCTCCGCTACGAGATTGCTGGTTTTGACTTCATCATCACTCGCGACCGACAGGGAAACATCAACGCATTCCACAACGTGTGCAGACACCGTGCATATCCGGTAGTTGAGAAAGAGGGATCCGGAAATTCCCCAATCCTCGCTTGCCGATATCACGGCTGGTCTTACGGACTGAATGGCAAACTCGCCAAAGCTCCGAAATACCAAGACCTGAGTAACTTCGACAAGGAGCAGAACGGTCTTTTCAGAATCCATCTCAAGGTCGACGTCAATGGCTTCATCTGGGTCAATATGGATGCGAATAAAGTCCCAGAAGTGTCATGGGAGGAGCATTTCCGGGGTGTCGACAAGCAAGAACGGTACAAAGCTTACAACTTCGACAACTATGATCTTGACCATACCTATGCGCTCGAGGGCGACTATAACTGGAAGATTTTGGCTGATAACTTCAATGAATGCTACCACTGCCCTACAACACACGCCGATATTCCCGAATTCCTCAACCTTGAATCTTTCGACAGCGATCTCAAAGATGGACACATCCAACATCATTGTGAATCTACGCCAGAGCAAATCGAAAAGGGTCTTTACACTGCCAGTACCTACTACTTCCCCATGTCCGCTATGGTTGTCTCGTAAATATTTCCCAACCTATGCTTTCTCAAATATAACATCCTCTAACATATACAGGCCGCATTTCATCATGATACAGAAATTCCTCCCCTTAAGCCCCAAAAGCTCCAAGATGGCCTACGAAGTCTACCGAAACCGGAACTCTTCCGACGCCGACTTCAAGCTTATTAGCGAGATGTACGCGCGCGTCATGGGAGAAGACAAAGTCCTCTGCAACAACGCTCAGAAGAATCTCGACCGAAATGTCTTTACGAGTGGCGAGCTTCACCCCAAGTACGAGAAGGCGCCGCTGTTCTTCCAGAGCACAGTTCGCGATGTCATCACAGAGCACTTTGAGCGTGAGAAATCAGAGGGGCGGGAGATCTGGCCGGCGAAACCGAAGGTCTCATGCAATGCAGAAGTTAGTGAGAAGGATGAGCAGATCTGTACATCTCTGGCCTGTGGATCCCAGAAAGAGCTTTTGGCTTGGTGATTGTCTTGAGAGGTGGTATTTCTTTATGTCGGTTTATTTATGAGTAGGAATTTAGCCTTATTTTTGACCTTCTCAAAGTGGCTCTAGTATACTCAAATACCAACGTGCAGCCATAATCAAAGTAGACATATGCATCCGGTCGATCTCTATGTACAGGAGTTTCTTGTGCGTTCCATGAACTCTTTAGCGTAGTATGTGAAGAGAGGGGCTTTGATGCTGGAGGAGAAACTGTGTGACGCAAATTATATTTAACTAACGTATTGCACAAGCAAGTGGGCCACCCTAAACACTATGAATGCAATAAATTACAACTTGAGCTCTTGATAATGGTAATCTCTATAGATATTTTCAAGTAGATTAATGCTTTTTTAGGTGATGTCTAGCCTCTCTAAGGAAATTGTTGTGACTTCATAATTGAGATATATCTCCAATATATTCGTGTCGTTAGCCAGCGTGATTTTCAGTACCATAATAATACGCGTTTTTGATTTTCTTAAAACTGATGTATGTATGTACATAGTGTTTAAGAGACTTTATCGATAGCTATCAAATGACAATGGAATTAAACAACCTGGGTAGTGTGATTGCTGAGATAAACAATACAAGTCCGTAAAATATCGTCTTTACCATAGACTCGCTTGTTACGTTGGTCACAGGAATTGGCCAATGGGGACGCGCCAACTTGCAGAAAATCGAAGCTCAAACGACATAGTACATGTGTATAGATACTATCTGGAGCCGTTGAAGACTAAAAGAGGCAGGGGTAAAATTCGATCGTCAGCTACATTTGAAAATGTCGAGATATTGTGGGATTTTCCACCAACACAAGCTGGTTAAATCTCTGCCACACTTCTGCCTATAGATGCCTAGAAAATAGCGCCAAAAAAATTATATTGGGTCTAGCATAGTCGGAATCGAAGTTTTATAAGAAGATTTGATACGCCCTTTTCTAAGAAATAATTATATATACTCCATTGAAACCAATAATATGGCCTCATTCAAATTTCCCCCCGAACTACTTGCGATCATCACGTCTCTCTCAGACAGGGAAACCCTCAGGGCCCTGAGGCTGACAAACCACCTGTTATGTGCCTTCGCAACCAAGAACCTGTTCTTCAAGTTCTCACTGAACACATATGATAGAACCTGTGAGCATTTGGAGTTAATCATAGCACATCCGCGGCTGAAAAAACATGTGCGCAAGATTTACCTCAATACTGTCGAGGACGACTATGTAAGTGATGTATCAAAGATGAATATACACTATCCTGCCATCAATGGATGTCTAATATCCATCGTATTAGGAGTCTGATGACGATCGCTTAGAAGTTGATCTTGAGCTACCTTGGAAATGGAAGGATGTCCTATCTATGCTTTCAAAACTTCCGAATCTCGAAAGCGTCATTCTGCGCTTTGACAAGAACTGCTCGATAGGGGATAATTACGGCGAGACACCTCAGTCAAATGAGTACCGCGAAACCATCATAAAATGGCTGGGTACGGGGTTGGGGTCTTTAAAGAAACCCTTAAAAGAACTGGGATTTTGGAATCAACAGAATGTAACACCATTGACAAAAGATTTTCAGCAAGTACTGAGCACGTTAAGTTCGTTGAGATTGAATGTTGTGCATGAAATCGAGGCTCCGTATTCTGGGTATGAAATCGAGGTTCGTACTTACTTTCTCTGTTCAAAACTGGTTACATGCTTAGATATAGTTCTTCGTGCTAATATGGTGAAACATCTGACAGAAAGAGGAAGTACAGGAGTTCTACGCACGTATACTGCCCTCAGTCTGGCTAAAACCCTCAATGGGGTCACTCCGGAAGTTGTCTCTGTACTCCAACTTTTACTGGGGGTTTTATCCCCAATTCAGCCTTGGAGGGATCCACTGCCCAAATTTGCAGTCGCTCACTTTAGGCAACTACTCCTTCTTCGAAGACAAGCAGCTCGATTGGATTCTATCGCACTCGTCAACACTTCAAGAACTTTATCTTGACGATTGCCAAATTTTGACACAAACAAGGTTATCCAATCTTTCCAAATGTCCGATACCGAGATCTAGAATGAAGCTTCAGACTTCTGAGGGCATGGGTGAGGCCTGGCACCATCACTATCCACGCCGGTGGAATGAATACTTTTGCTCATTCGAGAAACACCTTCTGCATCTCCGTCGTTTTGCAATTGGTCATAGTAACGAATGGGATCTACAATATGTAGTAATGCCTTTCGAGAAAGAACGTGACCTTGTGCCAGTACTGATGCGAGACCGGTACATGGCATTTGATGGCGATTTAGCAGTCGCTCACTTCCATTCACTATGTGAGTACGCTGGACATGTGGATTGGCCACATTGCGATGATGAAGATCGCGAGGCTTTGAAGGCATTATACCGGAAGATCAAGCAGCAGGTAGACTATGGAGAGTTTACTATGGGAGAGCACAAGGTGGCCGATTTGATGGACGTTTGCTCACGGTAAATTGCAAATAACGAGGTGGATGAAAACAAGGCAATTAACGGTTCTGGATGTATATATGTATCTACGGATGGGGTACAAGGTCTACCCACTTTCTTTCTCAAAGAGTTTCTAGCAACGCAGGTCGCCTCGAATATTTCAGCCCTATAAATCCTGAAGAAAATTACTGCTCTCAAGTCCATATTGAGTTGATATACAAATAGAGTCAGCTGCATGGAATCTATACCTATAAACAATGGACTCCATCCTCAATCTGTACCTTCACGTGATCCGGAAGTTCAGGAAAGACAAAAGCCGAACCAATCAAAAGGCGGTGAAAGCGGGTATGTGAAAGGGGCGCTCATCCCGGGGCTTACCCGCGGATAAGAGCTACCCCGGCGGACCCCGCGCTGGTATAATAGGGGACCAACCACTCGGCTGTTGAGGGGCTGACCGATGCCAGAATGGAACCATTTTTGATTCACGCAATCAAACCATTCGGCAGGTGGCCACGGGATTTATGCACGTTTGTCACTGTTGCGGCTTCCCCACATTCATAACCAGCCGAACGATATGCCGTCACGCACCGTGTATTTAGACCCTTAAAGGTCGCGCTGAGCTCCTTGACTTCTTACAACTCATTCAACTCACTTCAATAATACACGATGTCTTCCACACGCCAGTTTGACCCCGCCTTCACCCCCTCTGTCATCAATGGCATGGGCCCCAACACCCCCGAGCGCGCTCGCGTGGTCTTGGGTTCTCTGATTAAGCACATCCACGATTTCGCTCGTGAGGTTGAGCTGACCTCGGCCGAATGGATGCTCGGCGTTGAGTTCATCAACTCTATCGGCCAGATCAGCACTCCCATCCGCAACGAAGGCCACCGCATCTGCGACGTGATCGGCCTCGAGTCGTAAGTTTCACATGTAACTTTATTTTAATTTTTATTTTAAAAAATAAAAATAGAAAACCGAGAGGAAAATAAAAGCTAACCGATTTCATTAGTCTCGTTGATGAGATCGCCAACAAGATCATCACCGAGGACGGTCTCTCCCCCACCTCCAACGTCATTCTCGGCCCCTTCTGGTCTCCCAATGCCCCGTTCCGCGCTCTCGGCGACAGCATCATCCAAGACCCCAAGCCTAACGGTCGTGTCACCTTCATGCACGGTACCATTCGGGACATGGAGACCGGCAAGCCGGTCGTCGGCGCCGTCCTTGACATCTGGCAAGCCTCGTCGAACGGTCAATACGATTTCCAGGACCCCACACAGACCGATAACAACCTCCGTGGCAAGTTCCGAACAAACGAGAAGGGAGAATTCAACTGGTACTGCTACCACCCTACTCCTTACTCCCTGCCCACCGACGGCCCTGCTGGTGTCCTTCTCAGACTCATGGACCGTTCCCCCATGCGTCCTGCCCACATTCACCTCATGATCACCCACCCTGAATACGCCACCGTCATCAACCAGATCTACCCCAGCGACGACCCTCATCTCGCTATTGACTCCGTCTTCGCTGTCAAGGATGATCTCGTTGTAGACTTCAAGCCCAAGACCGACGACCCCAAGGCTAGCCTTGACTTGGAGTACAACGTCAAGATGGCCCTCAAGAAGCACCACCCCAACCCTAACTCCGCTCCTCCCGTGTCTTCCTTCGAGCGCCACGCCAAGGCATCTAAGGAGACCCAGGGAAAGCTTTGAGCTGGTGGAAAACGGTTGCACGAATTGGGATGGCGTTCAACATGACTCATGTACATATAGCATTTACTTGAATTTTCGCGAGATAACCTCACGTTCAAATGATTTATTCGTCTCTTCCACTGAATCCCCCACATTAGTGTCGCGTAGAAGGCCCGTGCTATCGCATTAAGCTTAAGCTTTCAAGCTTCGCATCCTAGCCAGGACCGTGTAACCTAGATCGCATGCATGCCCCACTATGTAGGCGATATCTTAATTACCTGCATGAAGATCTTGACCCGCAATCCGGGGTCAGTAGATCTTGGCGAGTATGATCTAACGCCAACTTGGCCACTAACCATTCTCCCGTTAATCACGATATGCAGGGAGTGCCACTACACCCTTCTCACTAAGATCAAGGGTCTTACAAATAGTGTAGTTTTCAATACCCCTCTAGTTCAGGCCTATATACTCCTGACTGTTCAGCCCTCTATACTCCATAAGACGAGATTGGCAGGCGCAAAGCAAATGAAAAATACATCATTCTTTCTCTAGCAGAAACCGAGAAGGATCCAACTATACTCCTGTACAACCACCTAGAAAGTCCTCCGCGGATCGCCTGATGGATCAGGCCGCCAAGAGATATCGATTTCTTCCTCGGTTGGTTCGTGGTAGGCCGTGGTGGACTGGGGCTTTGCGTGACGAAGACGATCGGCATTGAGGATGTTGGTACTATCAATGACATCCTTATAATCCCGGGCTGGGGTTAGTGTTAGTAACTTGAAAAAAAGTAGGGAATAGTATGTGCAGAATAGTTCAAGGTAAGGTGCGTACTCATTCTTTCATCGATGTCAGATGAACCAGGCTGAAGAGGATCTTTCATTTCTGGGGCGTCATTCTGTTCGTGCTCGTCATCCTGCTCGCGCGCGTCCTTGTGCTCGTGCTCGGGCTCGGGCTTGGCGATTTTGGAACGGGGGTGATTGACCATTTTGACAGATGGAATCATCAAAAAAAAAGATATGAATAGAGGAATTCGCAATGATGGAGGTGTTAGGGATTTGCTAGTGTTTAGAGATGAGGCCATAGTTTTATGCTGGCAGGACTCTACGTACGTCGTCATTATGACTATTCATGACATTTTGCAGCTTGCCTTCATGAAAGTCGCCCCTCGATAGGCATTGTGCTCTAGAAATACGTTCGTCGGTTTGAATTGATGTTATAGGGTGGTCGTGATATTAGGTCTAAGATTGGTTAAATAGAGTGTGCGTAGTCCATTTTCGAAGCACTGCAACAAAGGAAAGGCTAAATACTATCAAGATCACGAAAATTTAAGAAATTCCTTCCGGAAATTTGCCTCAAACACCACCGGATTAGTATTGGCCACCCATAACCGGTTCATCAAACAGGTCTACATGTTGATGTATATTTCGGTCATGTCTGTATAGGAGAAGCAGATGCATATCGGAACAATTCGCCTTGATTGGGGGCTCCGTAACTCAAAATCAATTGTTTTCGTTGATATGAGACAGGCCGTGGAAAAGAAACAAAGATTTGTCTTGTGAGTTGCCACCAATGCCTCGTTTTGAGAGGAAGCCTTATGAAATGCAGTTCAGCCGAGAAAACCTAGAGAGAGCTATGATCAAACCACGAGAAATGAAAAGCATAAAGCGATGGCGGAATCTCAACACTTCCCCTAATTTATGAAGCCTGAGATATACTCCGAAATTTCAGCTCTCTTCGTCCAAGTCGAACGAGATCGGCATTCGAGAGCGTTTCCTTTTCGAAGCCATCCATAACCTGATTTAACATCGCCGCTGCAAGCTCACTCCGTTGTATATTCGAAAGGGGCCGTCCAAAAAGACTGGCGATACGAAGAAGGTTCGCCACTAAAGCTCGTGACCATGTAGTGGAGTTAACAATCACGCCAGGCTGAGCGATGCAAATTTTGACTCTGTCTTTTTCGGTAGGGAATCTAAGGACCATGAGCTCTGTATTGCACTAGTTCCCCAAAAGACACATTAGCGTAAGATCCAGAATATAACAAAGGGTTCTAACGCGTTACCCGCATAATATGGTAATCCGCCATGATTACTGGCTTCTTTGTCGGATCTCGTGATATCCCCTCCGCACTCAAGTACATGAAGCGGAAGGGACGCGCCAATCCTGCCTTATACATGGCCTCAAATCCGAGCTTGGTGCAGTCCTGGCACACACGCTTAACCTCAGCAAAGTCAAGACCCCCGGTGCGAAGGGGCGTGGCAGAAACACACCTATATTAACCACAAATTGTTATCATCACCATTCATAAGACAGTCAGGGATGTTGGTTGAGAAATACCAGATACAAGCATTGGCCCCAGCAAACTCCGCCCTCACATTATCTGGATATTTACCATAGTCTTGAACGACCACGCTCCTCAGCTTCGATGAGTCAAAACTTTCGTCAAGCTGTACGGGTTTGTGGGCTAAAGCAATGACCTGAGTGATCTCACGAATTTGTAAGCTTTGTCTCACAATCTCAGTGCCCAAGAGACTGGTCGCGCCAGCTAAGATTAGTTTCATCGTTCTTCCTAGGTCGGGTTCTAGCGTATCTGTGTGGGCGACAGCGAAGAAGTGTGGTGGTTCCTTTGAAGGTTGGGAGTTGGCATGAGTGTCAATATTTGGAGACAGCAATCGTGCAAAACTAGTAGTGCCTTCCCCAAGGTATGGCCTCGCTCCTTCCTTACATACATGTACCTATACTCATCTCGTATTGAACATTAGGTAACTCTCGGGCACGCTACCTACCTACCTAGTGTACCTATATCAGGTACATAGTCATTCCACGTATGACAGGCCTTTATGCTCATATACCTAGCTAGGTATACATATGTTGTATGCGGCTCCATCTGCAGACTACCGGCCCACGGGAACCCGAACGCCCATTTGCCGGGCCCACTTGCCGAGTTCGGTACATATGTTCCAAGGCTTTTGGATTTTCAGTTAATATAAGAAACGAGATGGAGTCTTGAAGTGCAATTTCTTGCAGTCTTTGTTGGAAATGGATTGTACGGGAAGGTGAGATACACATGTAGGGCTTTCTAGAAACATGTAAAAGAATAAGAGACGAACACTTGGCCAAAGTGCAATTGAACTGGCAAAGCATAAGTATCCATTAAATCCTAAGAATAATGGATAATTTAAATACAATGCAATCGCAATTTGATGCGTTGGGGGTTCTTCTTTTAAATAGAATGATTTTGAACAAGTCAGTGATGAGATATACCCCATCGGGAAGTGTGAGTGACACTGACACATTAGTCCAGATTCCGCGAAAATTGCCAGTCAATGGATGGTTTGAAACTCTATTGATTACTTTGCTTTGTTATCGCGCTTTTATAGCCTAGAAGACGCATTCTTGAGCTCCCGACTAGCGTTTCCTTGATGGATATAAGCTTCGTTTCAAAGGCTGGATGTGGCAATTACTAGTATGTTTAACACATGCCATGCTATAGATGTTTAAATGCTAAATAATTAGAACGCAACTTGAATCACATACAACAGGCTGTTTCCCGAATTATGTATTTGTCCAAGCTTTCTCTTGTCGTCGCATCTTGGCTGGCGATAACGGTCGCCGGCAATGGGTTTGATCCTGAGAATTATGCAAAAGCAGACGTCATAGTCTCCGATGTTGTGGTCGTTGGAGGCGGCTCATCGGGAACTTACGCCGCTATAAACCTGCGCAAGATGGGACAGAGAGTAGTGGTTGTGGAAAAAGGGAAACACCTGGGTGGCGACACAAACACTTACACTGATAAAGCTACCGGTCTCACTGTAGACTATGGTGTACAGATGTTCCTGAACAGCTCTATCACGCGTGATTATTTTTCCCACTTCAACATCTCCCTTGTCAACTACACCAGATCAAATATCACTACGTCGTTGGCGGACTTTAATACCGGAAAGCCTGTACTCTTCAAGCCCAGTCGAAATCTCACTGGATGGGCCGTTCAGCTCGCCCAGTACCCTTGGCTGGACTATACCTGGAAAATCCCGCAGCCTGTTTCCCCAGACCTACTGCTACCGCTGGGGGACTTTCTTGTTAAATATAACATGTCCGATGCTGCTTTTGACCTTTATCTCAACGCCCAGGGAATTTCAAATCCACTGCAGCAATTGACAGTGAATGTGATGAAGATGGTGGACCCTGCGTATCTGAGTGAAATAACAGGCGCCAGTCTTGATACCGCAGATAAAAACAACTCTGAGCTATATATTAAGGCTCTTGCTGAGCTGGGATCAAATGTGCTCGTATCTTCGACTGTGAGAGCTGCCTCAAGACCAGGAAAAGGGCAAGGAGTCGTACTAGTCGTCAAGACGCCCACCGGACAAAAGCTCGTTCAAGCATCCAAACTTCTTATCTGCATTCCCCCAACTCTACGGAACATGATGCCATTTCGCTTGAACTCACAGGAGTATCGCGTCTTTTCACAGTGGACCTATATGGGCTACTATGGCCTAGTACTCAATAACACTGGCTTGCCTGAAGGTTTCCAATGGATCAATGCAAACGACTCATCCGCAACGTACCATATTCCTCGGCAACCTGGAGCTTCCCATATTACGAGTACCCGCATTCCGGGGGTGTTCTACGTCTGGTACCGCAGCCCATCACGTATGCCGCGGTTAGCAGTTGAGAAATCGACTATTCAGGCCATCCAGAACCTGCAGAAGGCGCATAACCTTACAATTAAGACTCCCAAAATTATCAAATTCAAATCTCACGCGCCTTTCAAGCTGAGTGTGTCCGCTCATGCTATCAAAAATGGTTTCTACCGTGATCTATATGCGTTGCAGGGGAACCGTAGCACTTGGTACACTGGTGCTGCATTAATCGCTCACAACGAAGAGGTTATTTGGAAATTCACGCAGGCGCTATTGCCCCGGATTATTGCAGCTCCATGAGGAGCTACCTCTGCGTGCTGTACATTGTAAAGTGGGTTGATAAGAGTTGTGGGGTTCGCCGTTTTTCTGTGGTTTGCGTCTATCTATTTCTCATTTTTCAAGCTACAAGACTGCGAAATTAAAAACGGCAACCGAGGACTTCCAAACCTCATTTACAAGCTTATCCTTGACCTCAGGGTGCTTGTACACGGCCCAGATTGTATCATGACAGGAGCAGTTATATAATTGATCACGATGGGAGTCTGCTAGATGAGTGATATGCTCCCCTCTAAAGTCATTATCGACTAGTGGAGTAAAAAGAGTCGGCTTTGAATTCTCTTCAGTGAGTAGCCTCTTATATAACTTAACGGTCACCGTAGCCCATACTGCCGCCACGGGATCTGCATTCAAAAGCTTAGTGAATATCGGAAGTTCCAATTGCTACATTAGCTAGAATAATTTTCTTTGGCCTTGGAGCCGTATAGTCGGCTGGCTTCAGCTCCAAGGGTTGGTGCCTGGTGCGACCAGCCATGCGCTTTGAAGTGATGAAGCTGCGACTCCCGCCCCCTATTTTGGCTTTGCGTTAGATACATATGTAACTATATTATGTAAATTCAATATAGCTTGGTACAAGAACCAGATTCCGCACACCAAATCCTTTCCAGTTTGGTAACTCCGGACGGACTTAGGTACCCACAGTCCGGGCCGGCCCGGGGCTAACAGGCCAGAACCGCTGATCATCGGAGGTTATCCCCAAACCTTATCCAGTAATGTGAGATGGAGTTCCCTAGGACAGGCAAGCTTGGGCTCCACATTTCATGCCTGAGGAAGGGGTTGAGAATCTTGAAAATCTCTATAAATCGAGTCTGTTCCCGTCTCGATCAAACGTGAGATGACTTTGTTTGTAGTTGTTCCAGGCACACGTACTGCGGGGTATTTTGCACCTAGTATTTGTGGCATTTTGTGCAATTCTTGTTCCGCCTGGAATACGCCGTTAGCCCGAACTTGAGAATTGGAATGGGCTGGCCGAATGGCCCCAATTGCGACATTCCATATCGACAGAGATCCTGCAGAAACCGAATCTGGCTAGTCGAGATTCCAAACTTGGAATAATGACCGATGAGTAAGCATCACATTACTCCAGGGTTGTCCAGATGCATAACGGCGAGTCTGGCCAGAAGTTTCAGAGCCGCGTGCAGAAGATCACCTGAGCTCAAGCAATATAGCCGTTTAACAATTCCAAATTACATACAACGTTTTTTGGCCCGGGGGGAGATAGCGAGCCTATCAACATTGGAGTTTCGCAATACCAATAGCCATGGGTGGCTGCCGTGAATAGGTGCCGTGCCCCAGATAAGCCCCGCCTTGTCATAATGGTGGCAGCAGGATGACGCAGGTCCGAGAAGTGGATGCATGGAGATGGAGTCCGCAGCTCTTGGCGCTTGATTGCCTTTGGAGTTAATTCGACCCTTGAACAAAAGGTGGTTTAGAAATGAACCAACTCTTTAAACACCATGAATATATATTTATGGTGCACTATATTTGAGGTTACTGTATTCGGTTAGTGTAGCTCCCCAGTATATGCAACGGCCTCGCGTGGCTCTCATAGGCATAGGGGAATATTAACCAATAATAGAGAGGTGTTTCATGTATAATGTCGGGCAAATGGAGTACATATATTTCTTGTTACTTTGGTCAGTCGACCAGGTCAAGTCACATCAAAGCTTTTCCCTTAAACTTATAGTGTGCTAATATTTGTGGTTGCAACGATATCAACTTGCCGTCTTTCCGTGGCCATGAGGGGCATGCACTAGGTGCCATTTGACTTATTACGAAAAACCCTTTTGATCGGGTTGAAGCTGTCAGGCCATAGAGGAGGAGGTTAACGAGTGAGATTTCCGGATATTCGGCTCTATCTGATCTATCTGTAACCCAATCAATTTTCTGATACGCTCAGCTATAGATCTAGAGCCCCGTTTCATTGATTGGTTCTTATATGAGCCCAACAGCCAACGAGTGTATTGCCAAAGTCTGTATTCAAGTAAGGATATCATAGGAGATACAAAAAATCTATTAAATAACGTAGACATAATGCTAGTTCAGCATGAGACATTGGGGAAGAGATTCTGAAACGGCCCAATGACACAATTAATCCCCCGTGCATCTTGGCTTGTGAATGCGTGGATCGCAACTACTTTGTGCTACACTTCCCTAGCTTCACTAGCTCTAGATCAGTTTTTGGTAGGAGTTATTTGAAATACGAATTCCAAATAATTGTCCACGTGCTGCATTGAGAATAATTACAACCAGTCGGTGTAGCGTATACACACGACAACCTACCACACTGCGAACAATTTAACAATCCGAGCATCAAGCTTGATGAGCAACTAACCAATTTGGCTAATAGACCCAACACCAGAATGACGGATCATTCAACTTTGGATCAACAATCGACAAACGTGGCTAACCAGCTCGTACATGCTCTCACCATCCAGCTTATCTATACTACCCAAGTGGCGTGACGGAAAGACTAACGCCGCAGCCAGCGCAGGGACGGAAGTTTATTCGAAGCTATCAAGATAATTAGCCCTTTACCCGTAGGAAAGCACCCCTTGGTTACCTGAAAAGCGCGAGAAAGTCATGAGTATAGGGTCAATTAGGAAGTAGTGCTGATCACACCATGCGTAAGATATTCTCTTCGGGCTTCATCGGGGAAGAAGGATGGACTTTCGACAAGTACAAACTGCCAAATGTAGAAGATCGTGAAAAAAGACTTTCTACAAGGGAAGGTGACTGGGAAACAACCACTAAATCTATAATTGCCGATACTCGGGCAACTTGGGGTTGAGTGCACTCAATAGTCTCAGTCAATAGCTATAAATACCCACTACAAAAACCTGTCCCATTGACTCGGATAGTCTTGTTTTCTTCCTTGAGGCGTAGTAACATTAAAAAACCAGCACTTTGTTCAATTCCAATATGTCAGGCTCACGACAGCAGCCTGGGTTGGTGAGACAAGAGCCACCTAACTGAAAAAGTGACTATTGGTGCTGATAACATAGGCCTGCGAGGAATGCCGCAAAAAGAAACTTCGATGCGATAGGCGAAAACCCCAATGTGACCAGTGCGAAGACTCTGGTACAGCTTGCCTTGTGAATCAGGTTCGCTCCCCACGGGGCCCTAAGAAGGGACACCTCAAAGCTTTGCGCAATCGCATTGGTTCGTTGGAGATAAAACCTATCTATCTTCCCTACTAATTTCATTCCCAGCAACGCTGGAAAGCATCATAAATTGTGATCAGGGAAATGTCGGTCTCACGGAAGTATTGGATAGCAGTGAGAAATATCACTCCGAAGAGACCGTTGAAATCCTTAGTCCACCCCAAGAGTATATTGCCAATCCCACGAACACCGAATACCATGATATCACCTACTCCATTGAGCCGTCAACAATAGCATCCCCCATTGCACCAATGACACCACCTGATCATGAGAGCTCAGATATGATCGAGGCAGATTTGTACGCAAAGCCCACCCTCTCAGTCGAGATATATCTAACAGCTAGTGAAGAGATCAGCTATATTTCGACAGAGTACACCCTGTCGTGCCGATGCTCCACCAAAGTCGGTACTTCTCCTGGTCACAGAGATTCAACAAGCCAACTTCTCACATCTGCTTGCAATTTGCAATGTGGGCGCTGGCAGCAGCTTCATCCGCCCATTTACAGGACATGCGAGAGTCTCTCTATACCCGTGCGCGGTCCAGGATTGAGGCTCTAGATTACGATATCGAATCTAGCAGTGCAGCCTGTCTCCAGGCAGCCCAAACGTGGCTTCTTCTAACCCACTACGAGTTTCGCTATATGAGCTACCGCCGTGCGTGGCTTACCGCAGGACGTGCCTTTCGTATTATTCAACTAGCCAAACTACACGAGATTGATCGGCTCAATGACGTTAGCATCAACATGGCACATCCCGAAGCATGGGCTGAAGCCGAGGAAAAACGTCGGACATACTGGCTAGCATATTGTCTAGATCGGTTCCTCAATATCTCAGACGAGTGGCCTCTAAGTCTACACGAGGGAGCTGTGAGCGGCTATTCTCTATTTTACAGAATACTCAGAGTAACACTAACATCTACCCCAGCTCTGCATATATCTTCCCGTCTCAGAGCCAGATTTCCAACACAGCAGGCCAGTCCTTATGGACTCCTTATATGACGAGATCGAGACCTCCGGACAGAAAATGCTACCGCCTTTCGCAGAGACAATTGTCCTGATTACGCTATGCTGGCACAGCGTTGCATTCCAGCGAGCCGCGTACGGTGACAAAACATCTCCGAGCGACGGACATACCTGGAAGCGCCATACTCGATTATACCAAATGGTACAACAGCGGCTGATGCTGATCTCACTACCCCCCTCCTCGCCAGAACTCCACGATCCCATGCGTCTCTTTACAAACATGCTCGCCAATGCTGCTGTGATATGGTTCTACAACATAATGGAGACCCTGCAGGTGGAAATTGATGATGAGATTATCCTTGTTCCGCTCTACTCCGCGTACGAAATAGTAGGTTTGGCGAAGCCGCTCACCCGATCCAGCTTTTTCAAGGTGAGGCCACCCCCCATTCATCCCCGTAAATTGACCGTGGGTTTTGTTTCTCATTGGGTTGTACAGGCGCATGCATTTTCTCCCATGCTACTATATCTCTCGGCAAAGTTTCTCAAGACACATGCCGATCAACCGAGTACATGTGTCCCCGCGTCGGAGGATAAACAGCAGAAGCTAGAGGATTTGAAAAGTGCTTTGCGGGTTTTGCAGGGTGGGAATAATTTAGCTATGAGCTACTTGGAGCTGCTTGACTCGGACTCGTTTCAAAAATTCTGCAACCTATCGACTATTCAAGGATGTACTATGTCTGAAGTTACAGATCAGTCGGAGCCACCTTTCTTTTTAGATATGATGAATCTTTTTTAGGTCGTGAATCAAGTTCCATTGATTGCATTTCTACCGCAGGTGATGGGACCTTGAGAACGAATTCGCCTAACTATAGGAATCGTATTGATGTTCGATCTACCTCTGGTGAATACCATATTGCTCGTTTTTCGTACATTTAACGATTCGCTCAAATGGCTAGATTAAAAAAGGAGTCTGAACGGCTGTGGTTGAGTAACACTGCTTACATAAATAGCAGTGCTCAGTTATGATTCTCGTGGCTGCTATGTATGCACTTCTACGTGATAGGAAATAAAAGCACACCCAGGCGATGCTCAGCTGCTTTGCTATCCAATGTCTTATGGCAATGACTGACACGATGGACTGCCCAACATCAGTTCGTGCCAAGGTTAGAGGGAAACGACAACCTTCTGAGCAGACACGCCCCTCATGTGACAATCCATAGCACTCTGGATTTGTGCCAGACCCTTCCCAACAACACGCGGCTTAGGAGCAGCAACAAAATTCCCAGTTTCAAGAGCATTAGGGAGGAATTCACGATAAACCATAGAGCCAACCTCAGTATGGACTGCAGAGCTCCCGAAAATAAACTTGGTTTTCACGCCGCAGCGCTTCGCCTTGATTAATATTTTGATGTTTGACCACATTGCGGCTGCCATAGCGCGGAAGGTTGTGGTTGGAACCCTTTCCTGGAATGGGAAACTGGCTCGGGCCACAAACTTCGAGCCATTCGTCTTTGCGAGAATTTCGATGCAAGCTTCAGTCGAGTTCTTTCCAATAGCAATGGCACCCACAACTTTCTTCTTCGACAGAGTATGGATAATTTGCTGGATAGTGAGCTCGTTGCGGTAATCAAATGTTGCGGATGCGCCCAAACTGGTGACATACTCGAAGTTTTGGGGTGAGCAAGTGGTGATGACCTCATAGCCAGCAGATACGGCGAGCTGGATTGCGTTGCAACCCACGCTGGTCGATCCACCCCACACCAGGACTGCTTCGGGGGGCGAGTTTGGGGCTGTGCCTAGCGGGGTGCCAGGGCGATTAAGAAAGAGAAACTCCGAGTGGAACAAGGCGGTTCCGGCAGTTGATAGGCCGAGGGGAAGAACGCAAGCCTCTTCATAAGAGAGCCAATCCGGAATCACTGTGACCATGTTGTCATGGATCACGGTGTAGTTTTGGAAAGCACCCTCGGACGACTTGTTGACACCCGGATCCATGGATACGGCGTGAGCAAGAACCCGATCACCAACTTCGATGCGAGAGACCATGTCACCAACCTGCACAACCTCACCGGCGCAATCATTTCCGAGCACAAACGGGTACTTGATCCAGGTAAACATCAGGTTGCCCATCAACTGCTTGGTCCATTCGATTGGATTGACAGCCACAGCATGATTTTTGACCACAATTTGATGGGCGGATGGAGGCGTATATGGCGCGACGCTAACTCTGAGGGGGTACGCTGATTTTGCAGTAAGCCACGCAGCCTGGTTCGAAGGACCCTGGTTGAAGGCAGAGGCATACTGGCTAGAGGCACTCTGGTTAGGAGCCATCGTGGGGATGAAGGGAGGGAACGAGATATGGAGGATCCAAATCAACATACGAAGTAGATGGGGGAAGATCGGGAATGAGAAGAGCAGAACAATGAATAATGAATTAGGAGTCAAACGTATCTAACAAAGAAAGGAGGAAGGAGGAAAGAAGGATGAGAAGATAGAAAGAGCGAGTGACGCCCCTAACATATATACGTGAACGCAATGCCATCCGCGATTCACAGTCTCTCTATTGAAGCGCCGAGCCAGTAGCTTCACTTCCGGAGTTTGCTTTCAGTCATAGGACTGCAATATCAATGTGATCAATTTGGAATGTCACCAGCAGTGTATTCAAGAAGCATGTATCGCCTTGAACTGCTATAAGTCCGAGATCTCAATTCAGGCGTGGTTTACAACCGAATTACGTTTCGCAAGTGTATTGAAACGTGCCAAATGCATCAAGCACTATGGATTTCCTACATTGTCTACAAAATTACATTTCCTGGGCCGACCTATAAGTATGCGGAGTAAGTAGATGCCCAAGAGTATTTATAAGCTATTAAAGACAGCTAGAAAGAGCATCCTTTACATAGCTAAGATCAATAACTTCAAACCAGCATTGCCACTGATTTTTATCTATGAGATCTGCCACGAAGGACATTGAGATAGGTCCCCATTGAAATACATCGTGAATTAGAAATTGATATTTCCATTTTGGGACTTGCAAAATCATAGCGAGAAATGGGAAGAAGGTTTCTACCGCTACAAGGCTACCATCATTCACTAGTTACTTTCCTAGGTAGTTTCGTCAAAGCTCTCATTGAACCGCGCCGCATCTTGTCCATTCCGATGTGATAAATTTCATAATTCCAAGCCCGTCAACCTTAATGTATATTGACAACGTAACAAATTGAAAGCAGAGTCGAGTGAATTAAAAGGAAATACAAGTCTACCGGGATCTATAAAATTGAGAAAGTTTGAGTTTGGATGGTTTTATCGCCGCCTAAATGAATTCAATGTTCGTTAGTATCTGTATCTCATCACCCACCGGGAACTTCGTCTATCTCTAGTTGATTTCATATATACCACCCTTTTTATATATGAGGTTATGGTTTTGGTCTTGGAGTTGGGTTCCACTCCTCGAAATTTACCTATACTATAAACTTTTCTAGAGTCTAGCAACGTTCATAACAAGCGTAGCCTTTGCATTTGCACGACGGTATGGGGAAACCTAACCTAACAGGGTAAAACCTATACCAAGGCTAAATCAACTCATATCAAGCAAGCTTTCAAAGCCTATTCAAGCCAGGTTTGGACCATGCAGTTATCAGCGTATACATTCATAGCACATCATATTAAACCAATTGCCCACTGCTCCATGCGGAGAATTTGGTCGGCTTCCGCTCCTGTCCATGGGACCTCATCCAGCAAGTTCCCTCTCTGTTAGATGTAGCCCATGCAAATCTCACGCAACGAGGGGTGCGAGCACATAGCTGGGCACAATCTGCAAAGGATGGGGTTTTGGGTGTGCCCAAATCCCAAGCTCCGGGATCATCCACTAATCTTGAATTAATACATGTTTAAAACGGGTGCTGGATAGCGCTTACACTTGGCGTAGTAGATTTTGAAGTTCTTGTTTCCGGCAGGGAGAATGCATCCATCGTCGCGTTGTTCTTTCCATATTGTCAGTTATTACACCCAATTTGTTCACTTGATCTGCAGAATATGGTTAGTGGCTTACCGGCATTCACAACTCCAGCTCGACACGATTCTCCCTTGCATTCCTTGTTGAGAGCCAGGTATGTAGAGTTGAGGTTATCGAGAGTAGATTGGAGGGTGGTTATGGTGGACTGAAGGTCTGAGATCTCATCTCGTTGCTTGATGATGTCCAGTGCCAACTGGTTGTTCTGGTTTTGGCAATGCTGGTTTATGAGGGCTTGTTCGGCCTTGTCCTCTTGGCATTGAATGGCCTGTTGAGCTTTCTCTTCGTGGCATTGCTGTTGTTCTTCACGGCATTGTCGTTTCTTCTCAGTGATCTCGTTTGTGTTTCGTAGACATTCCCGTTCAGCGTTCTCGGCGCGTTTCTTGTCGGTTTCGCACTGGTTATGGGCAGCTTCATGTACTTGTTTCTCACCCTCGCACCGATTCTTGTCATCCATGCATTGCTTGTTTTCTGCTTCGCACTCAGTCGGATCCGGGGTGGTCTCGATGACTCTCGCAATCAGCATGTGGTCATTGTTACTCTTCGGGTCAAAGTTCTGACTCATGGCAAAGAAACAATTTCCGCGTGCGTTCGAGCCAGTAGTGCGCCAAGATGTAGCAAAGCAGGTTTCATCCTTTGCGCAGAGTTCAGCACATTCAAATGCACTTGCGACATTGTGGCCCTTGAACTTGGAGGGTGTTGGCACAGAGCCACATGTATATTTGAAAAGAACATCCCCAACAAGCTCCTCCCCTCCAGTTCGCCCATCGGTACAACAGGCATTTGCTTCGGGCGAAGCTAGACATGGAGGATCCGGGACAGGTTCAGGGGCTCTCGCAAGTAGCATGAAAGCACTGGTCTCTTTCGATTCAAAATCTTCACCGATGGCGAAAAAGCAATTTCCGCGCGCGCTGGAGCCACTAGTTCTCCATGAGGCGCCGAAGCAGTTATCATCTTGTGCGCAAAGTTCTGCACATTCGTGAGCAGTTGCAACGGTGTGACCTGTGAGCTTGGAAGGGGATGGGGCAAATCCACAAGTGTACTGGAAATTAACACCACCCACAGTCTCTTCGCCTTGGACTTCTCCCTGGGTACAGCAGCCCGCGGGATCAGGCGAGGATAGACATGAGGCGCCAAGCGGTGTCTGCTGAGCCAATGCAGAAGCTGCACTCAGCAGAAGTAGAGTTGATTTTAAAACCATATTCGCCCTGTGAAACCGGCCAACTCTGGTGGTGTGGATAGTTTCCCCCCGGGCAAATATTGATATATATACTCAGCATGGGGAGACATTGATCCTACCTAATCTCCATGTCACTTTCGGCACTTAGTGACCCACTTTCCATGTAGGGCATGAATACTAGCCGCCGCAAGCGGAAGGTAAGGAGGGGATAGGGGGTTGTAATTGTGGTTATAATCATAAATTGACGCATGTGCTGAGTAAATAGGCCATTTCCAGCTATGAAGTGTGTGATGTGTTACCCCTAGCTGTTGTTCAGCTCAGCCACACATCTGAGATATCGCATCCTGCAAAACGTCACTCTAAGACAAGCATGCCGCACCTCTCGAAATGGAAATTTTCAAAGTTGCTCCTCACCAGCTATGTTACACGGCATCTATATTCAATCTCCGGACGCACCCGGGTGGAGTAAGGAAACTGCATCATGATGCATATGTGGTCAATAGATCCAATCATAAAAAGCAAGTTGCATATATTTGTACCAATGTCTATATATAATGTACGTAAGTAATGGGACTCCATATGGAGTACTCCATAAGTGAAAATATCGAGACAGTTCCATAGTTCTAGCAAATTTTGGTGCTATTCCCATCTTTGCTTCCACGGTCGTATGTAAGCCGTTCAAGTGGGCACAGCTCTAAGGCGTATACCTATTATATTCTTATATCGTCGTCTTCAGTATCTCCAGATTTTCAAGATTGCCAATTAGAATGACCCGAATCAAATGAGCTATGAAACCCTGTCCCTGCCAACCCTTGGATTCTGACACAAAGCCGACAGACCCTTGACCAATCTTGCTATTTCAACCTCAGTATATTCGTTCTTTGACTCGGTCGCACGCATTAAGCTAATTGGCAACAAGTTTCCGGATTTCTCTGATAATCAAGGTCATCCAACACATATAGAGCGTTCGACTGGCCCCAAGGATGAGTGTTGTTTGGGGTCTCTGTCGTAACAATAATTCGAGATTGATTTAGAAAGAACATCTAAATGCTTACGAAATTTGGCTGTAGTTCTATTTGAGTCCTTTCTTTGTTCTGCTATCGTAGAATCTCACAAACTAGCGGTTTTGATGCAGGTATCTACTACCCCCGGTAGCCAAGGCCCTTGGCAGCATGGCGCGTTATATCGCATCTTCAAAGAGAACATGCCATCCCAACTCCGAAGAGGAAAGAGAAGTACTCGAACAAAGATCATTCGGTGTCAAATTTGCACTAGGGGTTTCCTCGAATGCAACAAGTTTCTTTGTTGACAGTGGCGGAGGATGCACTTTGACTTGTTCTTTAAAACAACTCAACATGATGTCCTCGAGAAAGAATGATTCTAAGTGGCTCTTTAGAGACTCTCAGACCCTGGAATCTAGTGTAAAGAGCACATCTGTGTTTCATGATTCACTGGCTGCATCAATGCGTATTGCCTCCGTGAAGTTGCTCTTAGGCATGGGATTCGTGGTATAGTTCTTTGAAGATAAATATAAAACCGCGCGTAGGTCTTCAAAGAGCGTCTACCCTCTCAAGCAAATCCACACAAGATGGGATATTTTCAAAAGGGTATCTTCCTTGCTCTGGGCTGTCTTGGTTTGATTCATGGGACAGATGCCTTGTCTGTAGCTACACCTGAGGTAAGTATCTACTTTTCCAACATCACTTCTACCCCAGACACTGACCCAGCATAGTACAGCCCAATACAAGTCCAGCATGTGCGTGACTATAGTACCCCATACACCTGTCCCTCAATTCTCGTGAGCAATGGAGATACATGTGACAGCCTTCCCGGGAAATGTGGTATCTCGGCAGCATCGTTCGCTTCCTTCAACCTCGCGAATACCTGCTCGACTCTAGTTGTCGGAAAACCCGTATGTTGCCAGGTGGGGGATTTGACCTTTCCACCAATAGCGATGAGTAAGTGCTACACTTATACCATCCGCAATGGCGATACCTGTGCGAAAATTGCTGAGGGGTATCGGATCACCACGGCCAATATTGAGGCTTGGAACGCCAATACCTCAGCATGGTATGGGTGTAATGATCTACAGGATGGTGGCCAGGTCTGTCTGAGCGCCGGCGATCCTCCGATGCCAGTGGCGATCGGTAATGCGGTCTGTGGTCCTCAAGTGCCTGGAACAGAACGTCCGAAGGATATTCTCAAAATTCCGTCTTTGAACCCATGCCCTGCAGGTCAATGTGTAAGCTTTGTCAAGATCGATTTTAATCTCGCGGCCTAGACTGACCATATCTATAGTGCTCTAGAAATGGCCAATGTGGTACTGGTGCAGGCTTTTGTGACTCATCTGCACTTACGCCTTCCGTGTCAGCTGCACCTGCAGATAAAGCCGCACCTGCATCTGCAACAACCAAAGCTACATCGGCGCCAGCCGAATCTGCAAAGCAGGCTGCACCGGCATCTACAACAACCAAAACTACATCGGCGCCAGCCGAATCTGCAAAGCAGGCTGCACCGGCATCTACAACAACCAAAACTACATCGGCGCCAGCCGAATCTGCAAAGCAGGCTGCACCGGCATCTACAACAACCAAAACTACATCGGCGCTAGCTGAATCTGCAAAGCAGGCTGCACCGGCATCTACAACAACCAAAACTACATCGGCGCTAGCTGAATCTGCAAAGCAGGCTGCACCGGCATCTACAACAACTAAAACTACATCAGCGCCAGCTCCGTCTGTAAGAACTGAAGCTACACCCGTGGAAAACAATGCAGCGTTGATAGCTAAATCTTTATCAAACAAGGATCCAAATTTCTTCACGACAGATATCCCCTTGATAGATGTACCCTTGACATTTCTACATTCGACCACGACTGTGCCGTCTTACCCTCTTGTTAGTGTCGATAAAATCGGAAACGCGATCAAGATGATCAATATGTTTGCGACCATAGGCCAGACAAGCACAACTACTACCACGACCATGTATACCACAACGAGCAAACCCTCCACAACCGCGACCACATCCTCCACAACAAACTCCAACCCAACAAAAGTCGTTGACGGTATCGCTACTGTACCCAGCGGATGGGAGTTGAGGATGTTCGATGAACCAGGCTGCGCTGGCAACTATGTGCTCCTCCAAGGCCATAACAAGTATTTAGAGGACAGTTCCTGCATGAAGTTCCGCAGCGCAAGTGAGCTTAGCACCAATGTCACCGACACATCCGTTTCGTGTCGTTGGTGGACTATACCAGAATCGGGCAATTGGAATTGGAGAGACTGCCACTCGACTGCTCTAGACAAACCCAAATCATGGAAGATGTCGAATGGTCTCTGTACCGTCTCGCCTAATACGAAATGTGATCTTGTCAACGACATTTCCCAAACTTATGGCTGGCGGGGTCCAGGGGTGTGTCAAGATCGCCAGACTATGGACCCGAAATTCGTATCGATGAAGTGTTATGTTGGATAGAATGTTGGATACATTGTATGTTAAATAGTGTTGGATAGAAGTAGCGTAATGTGGAATTTACCTAGGCGGCAGCGTGGCAAATACGAGGTTCAAGAGCCTGAGCCTCAGCTCAGCCCTCGTATCTGTCAACGATCTGACTTTTTTTGTTTTTTTTTTTTAATCTCTTGTCTCTTGTCTCTCTTCCAGATCTTCTAAAGTCTCTTTTAATCTCTTCTATTCAGTTCTCCGATATATTGGAGTCATGGGTCGCGTCCAGGCCGATCCCCCTGCATCATCATCACATTCACTCCATTCTCTCGACGACGCTCCGCCTCCATATACCGATGATCCCGAACTCATTCTCGCCCCTGTCCAACCTGTCCAATCTGTCCAACCTCCCACAAGCATCCGACCCCTGCGTCTTATAGACTCAGCCTATATTCTCCCTGGCGGCAAAGACGTCAGGCCCACCAACAAGGTCTCTGCCACCCTTGAACCAGCGCTCTCGAACGACAGCAAGGGACTCTACAATGCCGTTTGCAAGCAAATAAAGCTGCCGCCACGCCCACTGTTCTACGTCCATGGCACCCACAGCGAATCGAGCGGTGACAAAAAGAAGGATAAAAACAACAATGTGACAGACTTCGAGTTCAAACTGGATCTGGCCGAAACAATGCTGACCGGCTGGGAGGGCGGATCCATGGGCGTGAATTGGAGGGAAGTGGAAATCCTCGCAGATGAAGATCCTAAATCAGCGTATCGGGGCGGAATACTTCGTTCATGCACATACAAGCCACCAAAGTCCCATGGTGCTATCAGTCTCACGGAGGACAGCGATGCCCTCCTAGCCCAGGACACCGATGAGCAGTTTAACAACAGCTCTCAAGGTGCGAAAAACCTGAGAATGTGGTGCGAGCGATTCTGTCGCGACCCCGCTTCTGTAAAATCGTATGCTCTGTCCCCTCTTCACGCACAAAATACCAAGCTAATCTCGAACCACATACAGATTCACTATACACCGCGAAATCGCCGGCTTCGACTCCAACGCTATGCGTAACGTCCTCTCCTCTCACATCCGCGAACTCAATTACCGCGGCTCCATCAACTTCAGCCTCTTCATCGCCCAGCGCTCCGTCACAATCTACTCTCCTCACTGGATCAACCAGCTCCGCACGAACCGCTTCGTCTGGTGGGCTGTCGTCCTTCTCCAGCTGTGGATTATCACGTGGCCAGTTATTTTCTTCATGGAGAAGAGGTACGAAGTTGTTCACACCCGCTGGAATGCGTCGCTTATACCGGAGTCGGACTCTCCACTGGCTAAGTGCTACGCGTTTGGTCGCGATGAGTCTTCCCTGGCGGAGTATTGGGCTCCGGCTGTCAAGCAGGCGGCGTGGACTCGGCGGCAGGGTGAAGGTAATATTTTGACGCGGATGGATGCAGATCGCTTGCAGGGGTATAGTACGCGGCAGCTGCTTGGTCTTCCCGCTCCCAGTTCGGATACTGAGCTTGAGCGTCGAGAGAGAGTTAATAATGGCCGGGCAGGGTTTATTGATAATGTTGTAGGTCTGGTAAGGGGGATTGGAGAGGCCGGGCAGGATTGGAGGTTTTCTGCGGGATGGGGTGCTAACTCTTAGTTTATGAGTCTGTTCTGGTTTTCTTGGGTCTACAGTGTGGCTGAGGAAGTGATGTCCTTCAGTAATTCCCTAGCTTACAGCCCTGGAGGCAGCTATGCATGCCTAGTCATGTACGTGAAGTCCTTCAGAGCTACCGAGATGTCGGTCTATCCTCTTAGAATTTTCATTTTGTGCCATCAGATATCCTTAGCGAATTTTATTTAGCGACTTCTCCTATGGATATTATCCCCATACATATGTAGAGATCTGTGAGTTCGTGAACTTCGGGAACCTTTTGTCTTATGTCAAGTAGGGCTTCCTGCCCAGGTGACATGACTGACCTCGGGAGGGTCATATATCCACCTAATTTAGCTTTTAATTTCGATATATGATGTTAGATTTTGAATCAAATATAAGCAGGAAAGGCTTTCTGATGGATGTCTCTCGCACGCTGTCGGCCAGAGCAAACAATATCAAGGGTCAATGACGAAGCGAGCCCAGGCCACATAGAACATGCGACAGGTTATGCCATTATGGATGTAATCTCTAGAAGATCAAAATCACTCTCGACATGCCTATGGACTTGATGTTGGAGGGGGTTCGCTGTGTTTGATCTTAACTTTCTTGTCGTAGTTAGCTCTTGGCTTCAAGCTAAATTTAGCCAAACATCAGACACTGCTTTGTTCTTATAATGGAATTCTCTTTGTATCATGTGCTTAGAGTCCAGGGTTCTATCCCCCGTCCATCTACACCACATGCTTTGTCTCAGTTCTCTTTGTTCTAAGGTTAAATCACTTGTTTACCCACCAGATATCTTTAGGTCCCCTTGTTCTTCAAGGTTTCATACATGCTTATTGTTTGATGTGTTTCATCTTAACATAGACGCCGAGTCGATCATGCACTGGCCTTTTGTTCAGAATTATATAATATCTGCTTGTTCTAGCATTTAGCTAAGCCAGTCAAGTATGTCAATCCCAATGACAAAACTCCAATAACAACACCAGAAACAATCTAGGACTCCCAAATCCGTCTCAATTATTTTCATCGTAACACAATGGCCACACCTCCCGCATCTCCCGCATCTTCCGCATCTCCTGCAACTCCCATATCTCCCCTCAAGAAAATCATCAATTTCATCCGTCGTACTAACACTGGTGGCGGAGATGGTGCTGAAGAACCTGGATCGCCAGTGCCAAAAGGTGCAGCTAAAGGCGCAGCTAAAGGCGCAGCTAAAGGCGCAGCTAAAGGCGCAGCTAAAGGCGCAGCTAAAGGCGCAGCTAAAGGCGCAGACACTCCCAAGGACCCGAAACGAAAGCGTAAAGCCGACAAGGATGACGAAGAAGAAGCCCCGGCTGCGAAACGTACCACTTCCACTGCACAAAGAACACTCGACAAAACTCGAGAAAAACTAAATTTCAAGGGACCAAAGGGCTCATCGACGAATCCTAGTTCCCCACCACTAAATCCAAACCTTCCCGTTTTACCGACGACCCCCAGGAAAACTAGCACATACATCGGTAGGGCTTCGTCGAGTTTTAACCCAGACCAAATTCAGATGTTCCACACAACACCCAAAAAGGCTGAGATTGATAAGTATCGAGCGACGGGCATTCAATATCAACAGTGGATGGCCAACAGCAACCCAGCTGGGCCTCCATGTCCAGTAGTCCAGTCTACGCTAACCATAGCCGATTTAACCCAAGCCGTTCCTCCCAATAGCCCGGAATTTAATGTATGGACATCTGAATTCGCTCCTCCACCGGGAGACATCAGAGAGAGTCTCAGGTCGACAAAGCTTCCCAATGATCCGAAAACAAAAGATTACCGCCTTTCAAGATTACAACTCAATAAAGTAGTCACTGTGCCCAGTTACGAGCATTATATCGTGGAGGGTGCTATAGTTGCTTCCTCGATTTTTAGGAAAAAAACAGGTCCTCAATGGGCTGACGTTGCGCTAGCTGTATATAAAATGGATGCCAATATCGACACCCTCCAACATGTTTTCATGACAGAAGTTGAGAATGAGGAAACACTCCCCTTGGTGGCAAAGGTGCTCTATAGAAACAACGAGGAGATCCGAGACGATGTTGACGATACTCGTATAACCCCAAACATCCACACTTGGAAAATGCATGCTCCAGAATTCGAGGAAATCCTAGGGACACAGCTTGGAAGGGCTGTATCTCGTCTTGTTCTAGCAGCTTGGCAACCAGGTACGCATCGGATCCCTAGAATTTACACTTGGTTTTTGAGAGGTGACCTAAATATGCGGTTTGATATTGAGCGGATTCCTAAGAAGGGCAGTATTTTCGAGAAGAAGAAAAAAGCCCCCGCGCCCGGAAAATAGAGCTATAATCTCAGCAATCCGTACTCTATTTTTGAGGGGTGACCAACATATATGCTTTGATATAGAGGGGATTGATTGATGTTGCTCCTTCTCTGGCTGCAGCATCAGCTTGATTCCTTTTTGCGGGAATTTATTGGATGTCCAGGTACATGGATCATGCTGATGAACTACGAGGTGACTGGTTGGCTAGTTTATAGATCATTGGTTTGCATATATATTGAACTTGGCGTTGAAGTGGACAGAAGTTAGCTTTGTCTAACAAGTTGGTGGTATGTTTGTCGTTTTAGCACATTTTTTATGTATCTAACAAAGCCTTCAATCAAACACGTGTCTACGCGCGATAAATCCACAGGGCCACTGGTAGCATTAAGGCTATCAATAGTATGAAATATCTATCTCCTCTTGTCGTTAGTACGACCCTTCACAGCCTGGAAGGGAGGTTTTGAAGAAGCTATACAAGTTGGCGTCCACAGGCTGAAGAGACACCTCGCTAATACAAGCCATCGGAATACGGTCAACCATGTATGTGTGTATGGGGATTATGATTTGCAGGTTCGGTTTAACTTAGGATGTAAATATTTTCAGTTAGTTCATAATGCCAGTGCTGAAACTTTGGAATCCTAGTGGACAGTGACTATGATTCAGGGTTATCGTGGAGACAAGCTCGTACTCGGGCATGAAGATTGAGATGACCGAGTGCAATACAAATTTTGGACAGGGAGTTTATTCGGAAATACATAATTAAAATTTTGCTTTGCTAGTGATCAGAATATTCGCAGTTCAGCTCTGTTTCATTAGACTCTAGACACAGATACCAAAGACTGCTAGACAGCTATACACCAACAAGAAAACATCTCGCCATCCCCCGATTTGCAAAACCCATGATCGTCACAGGGTGAAAAATGGCCAGATAAAAAAAAAAGATACATGTCAAGGAGAATCGAAAAATATAATCAAGCCCCCTTCATAAAAGTAGAAGCATTACAGGAGGATGAAGCTGGCACCGAACACAGTCGACAGGACAGTGACCAGGCCGACGGAAGCAGTGGCAAAGCCGAACTGGAAAGGCTTGAGGCCAGCGGCAGCACCCTCGGAGCTGGTGCTAGAAGCAGCAGAACCGGTGCCGGTGGCAGCAGCGACCTCACCGGAGCCCTGGGTGGCAGTGCCGGCGGACTTGGTGCCGGAGTTCTGGCTGCCCTTGCCGGAGAAGCCCTCGCCCTTACCGGCACCCTCGGTCAGGTACTTCTTAGCGGGGGCGGGCATGGCGGGGAGAGAATCGGAGTCGACGTCCCAGTTGGGCTTCTGCATCTTGGGGCAGCCAGAGGCACCGCCAGTGGAGTTGTAGCCGCCGTTGCCGGTGGGGTTGTCGGTACCGTCGAAGGCCTTCTTCAGAGCCTTGTAATCATCCTTAAGTGTGATATCATCACCGTCAACTTCGACGAGGCCGTACTTGTTGTTGTTCTCGGTGTACTCGTAGACGAGACCGCCGGAGTAGACGGGGGTCATCTGAGTGGAGTAGAGAGACTTAACCTCCTTGAACTCACGGGTGTTGGTGTTGCAGCCGTACTCGGAGAGGAATAGGGGGAGTCCGTATCCGGTGAAGTTCTTCACCTTCTGGTCCCAGCCGGAGGTGGTGAAGGAAGAGGGGTCGCACCAGGAGTAGTCGTTGAAGGCGAAGAAGTCGGAGCGCTCATCATCAGTACCGCAGTTCATGTACTCAGCCATCTCGAGACGGTTGGTGTTGACATCAGCGGCGGAGTAGCCGACGGGGACCTGGCGGAGCTTGCGAGCGCGGAGGAAAGTGCGCATGTCACGGGTGACAGCCTTGACGTAAGGAGCGGCCTTGGAAGAGGGACCGTCGTTGATGACCTCGTTACCGGAGAAGAAGGCAAGGGTGTTGTCATACTTGGCGAACTTCTCCATGGTAGCGAAGATGTACTGGAGGTAGACATCGTTGTAGGATATCTCGGGATCGGCACGGTTGATGGAGTACTTAGGAGTGTTGACATCGAGAACGAGGTAGATGCCGGCCTCGGCGAGGGCCTCCATGCACTCGTCATGGTCCTTGGAGTTATCCACGGAGTAGACACGGATGGTGTTCAGGCCCAAATCCTTGAAGTTCTTGATGTCACGCTTGCAACCCTCGACATCAGCGATCGGATCGGCGAGGTCGGAGGAACCACCGGGCTGGTAGTCGACACCGCGCATGTAGAAACGTTCAGTACCCTTAAAGAAGGCGTTACCCTTAACAGTGATGGGGGTAATATCGCTAGAACGGGCCTTGAGGTTGGTTGCGGCACCAAGGACGGTCGAGGCGCCCAAGGTGATGGCCGTGGCCATGGAGGCTACGGTGACCTTCATAATGTGGGAATATGTTAAAAAAGAGCGAAAATATGAACGAGTGTGGGAAATTGAAGCGCTCCGAGGATTAAAAGAGAGTGAACGACAGACTGAGAAACGAAAGTGAGGTCAGAAAGAATGAAAAGAAAGAAGAGAAAATGTAAGGGATAAAGGGTTAAGAGGCCAAGCCCCCAAGCGGCAAAGGATGGGCTGTGCTACGCCAAGGGTACTGTGTACATTGGCTGTTCGCTTTGTCTGATCAGCAAGGGTCATATTACAGTGGATTTTATGTGGGGAATTGTCCCTGAATAAGACTCGTTAATAGGTCAGTTCTTTAGATTATGTATTTATTTCATTCTTTGGGATCGTCAGGTCCTGGCCATTCCATCCAACATATCATGATGTACTAATCGACGATACACTGGGCATTATACATTCATATCACTATATATAGATGTATATACTCCGTACACCGATCAAATTCCACTGCATACTTACATCTCCATCAATTCTATCCCAGATTTACTCTGCTGCCTCCATGAAACCTGGAGTGGAGAGCACTAGCTTGGCAATGACGCGCCTCCATCTAGGCAAGTCGATCACAGTTCAGGGGTCTTTGCCTATCATTTCATTGTTAAGGGTCTAAAGGGGTCCAACTACTCCGTACTTTGTATAGGGGTCAAACCCCAAACCTCAAATTCTAGAATCAAATCAAATCAAAGAGTCAATCTTTGATCTTTTTATTCGCTTAACTTGTCTCGGCGCCACGAAACCCACACTTTCAAACGGTCTATACATAGACCTGAGACACTAAACTTGAATCAAAAATATTATTTCTCCTATAGGGGATGTTTCAAATGTGCGTCGGTACATTGTAGTGTACAACGCACAAATCACGATATGTAGGCCCAACCTTGGAAGCTACTCTGTACAGCTCATATTGTGAAACCCAGATTGTCTCAATTATTCTGTAGTATTGCCATTGTCATCCTATCCTCTTACGCCCACAATGTTGATATACCCCAGACTCAGCCATACCCACAGAGACAAAATTAAAGGCCCAGTAAAAAAATCGCCGGCTATAAATACCCGGCTAAGACAATCAAAGAAAAATAATATTTATGGTCGCAGTCCCATTCTCTCAGCCTGGTAATTGGCTTCAATTGTCTCGACCAAACTATTTTACAATCCTATTGCCATGGTGAGACAAGTTTACACAAGACCATAGAAGAGGGTTACTCAGATGCTCAAGCCTTCCAAGGGTTGCCATTGCTTTGTGCAGACCTCGGGAGGCTTTCCCGCCAAGATCCACACTAAACTACAACCGGGAACACGTATATTCAGAGACTCAACGCATGAAGCGAGACCAATTTCCGAGTACATTCATCGTGTCGGGCATTAACCGCTCCAGATTGCTTATAGGCAGTACCAATATCTGTGGACATTATTATCCCATCCCGTACACGGCATAAAGCGGCACGCCGTGGGGAGCGGCTACCGATATTGGCTCCCAGAGAAGTATGATATCGGAGTAGTTTCTTATGCCCCCGGATAGGTCTGAAACATACTACACCATGCTACTCGACTAGAAGTTCACGCAATTTTGCACTTATAACAATCTCCAGATTTATATACACACTTGGAACCTGCCCAAACCAATACCCGACAATATTTACGCCGTGCGATGCTTCTTCAACTGATCCGTTCCATGCACCCAATCCAGCAACCCCAACGATCCATAATTCAAATTGAACTTCTCATGGTGAAGATCATGCATCTTGGCCTTATTATGGAAGAAATCATATCCACTGTGAACCGTCGCCGTATTCACAAGCTCATACGCCAAGAACACCCAAAAGGTCACAACGTGACTCCCCAGCAACTGCGGCGGCAGAGAGATAGGTAAAGTATTAGCGAAGATGTGCTCGATCGGATGAGCGAACTGAGCAGCTAGAGCGATGGGAGCCGTGAATCGGTGATGCTTCTTATGGATGGGGATGTAGAGGGCGGGGATATGCAGGATTCGGTGGCTGTAATAAAATAGAGCTTCGCGGATCAACAGGCTAAGAACGACGTCGCGCAGGATCTCAATTGGCGCTGGTAGGGGGGTTTCGATGCGATATGTTGATTTAATGCCAGCATAGCTGGCTGCAGAGATCAATATCAGATGGAGGATAGATGTCAGGATCTGGTTCTGTAATACTACTATAAAGCAGTGTGCGATCTCGTGACATGTGGGCTGTTTGGGTGCTGGTTGGATCTTGTGGCGCTGGGAGAAGGAGGGCGCTATCACTTCGAGGAGCATATAGCATATTGATGGTAGCCAGAAGCTGAGGAGCTGGACGATAAGTGTACCCACAAACTCGATTTTTTGAGGTGAGTAATTGGCCATTATGTGAGCCCAGGAGGCTGTGGCTTGAGGTAGAACCTGATCCAGAAAGCTCTTCGTGGCCTCCATGGTGGCTTGCGTATGTAAAGTCTTTGTCTGAGAACTTGCAGGATCTGGGGTCAATGTTAGAATCTGGATTCTTCATGTTCTCCATATATATGCCTCGGTTAGTTCCCCGGGCCTCTTCCCCCGCAGCGGGCATCGCCGACCGTCGTCCTGTTTGATGCCATGTGAAAGAGCTTGAAGCCCGGGTACTCTAATTCTCAATCGCCCATTGGACTAGCTCAGAGGCGCGTGAGAAAGTTCATCTGCTAAAAAAACATCAGAAGACACTAGGAGAGGAAGGAGCGATGAAGTCGGGAACGCAAGAGTAGCCTCGTAGAGAAAAGCCTGACTAAACACAGCAAAACAACCTTGGAAGGTTGGAACGTTGAGATCAGCCCTCTCAAGTTTGACATAGAATTCTATGTTCAGTTTTTGAAATTAAATATCGAAATAAGCATCGTCAGTTCCCCGCAAGATCATCCCGGGACATCCGGCTCATCCACAAAGAAGCTCAACTACCTGAATACACTCCGAGTTCTCTTCGTCAGCACTGAAGGCCGCAACACCACACTCTTCAACAAAGCCACAGCATTTCGAAAATTCACTGAGCCTATCTTCAATCTGGAGCATGAGTGGGCTCACCCGGATCGCAGTAAACGTACGGTGTAGGGCCCCCAGGACGGAGTAGGCCGATTCCCAACATTGGATTGACTACCTACATCACCTAAGCCCAAGCAATGTATTCTCGTCGGAACGCATCCAGATGCACCTCTCTATAGTCCAGTCATCCACGGGATATCCTGTGGTGTTGCTGCGCCAGCGACTAACTTGATTGGGGCACGTCTCGAGATTGCTGGGGAATTGGATGCTCTAAAGGGTGAACCATAGAGGCAACGTTTATATTCTGCCTCGACCATTGCTTGGCCGAGCCGTATCGGTACCTTTTCAAGCCTGTTGCTCGAGCCGAGCCGATCACTGGTAGCAGGATAAGTCGATGCGTATCATCTGGGATCCTCCGGGAAATTGAGAGGATTATTACCGGGATAGGGATAAATGACTCAAGCCTTGATACGGGAAATTCAATTGATTTCCTTTCAGGATTTGGTGGTGTTGGCTTGCTGGGATAGTTCCAGGATTTTTTGTGGGTTCATCCTTTTAGTGCTATCACATACTTAGGGGCTGTTGAATAGGCGTGTACCTAACCAACCCGGACAGGAGCGATGCTCATGGATGATCACCAATACCCGTCTTTTGCTCTCTGTGGTCTATATTGATCATGTTAATACAGGCATTGTCATTGACAAACTTTCGAAATGACCTCAATCTTTAGAACCAAGTGATCGTCAGGTGTGTGATATCTGCAGTGTGACAGCGCTAGCACGCTAATAGTGCATTTCCTACCGCATAAAGTAGGGCAATGCATGTTCCAGGCACCCTATATCGACTCATGGATAATTGTGGCGAGGACTGGTCTAGCGCGGTACGGCGTAGTCCTACTACAATACACGGTCATGGGCAATTGACTCCTCAAGTCGACTATACATACATCCAGCCCCAGATATAGAAGGTAGCTGGTCGTCTAAAGAGTCGGTATCTACAAAGTCAATCATGTAATTCTAGTTCATAGTTATATTATCCAAGTTATTTAAGTATGTACGATGGTCGTCGGTCAGGCGCCTATTAACACAACAAGCTCTTCCAATTGGCTGTGACCTCGCCGACGGTTGCCCATGCTATAACAGCGGACCCCCATAACAAACGAAACTATAATTCCAAGATCAACTGGCAAACCTCTCTCTACCCCGCCGCTCAAATAGGGGCCCAAGTATACATGCCAATTCCTGCCAATAGTGTGCTTCGGCACAACACAGATGTCGACGATCTACCATCTCCTAAACAAATAAGATAATTGGATTAAAGCTCTATCTCCAGTTTTTAGGATGGCGTATCACTCCATATCATGCAGGGACAAAAGCACACGCCACATTTGTCGTACGATGAAGCACTTTTTACCCCTGTAGATTGACAGCTCACACACTGACATGTCCCGGACCCGTATAGCCAAGTTTTATTCCGAGTTTCCGACGTCACCATAATATAGACTAGACTAAAATGCTCCGTTGACTTACACATATCATACCAGGGATATTTTCCGGGTTTATTAGCTCGATGGCGGAAGACCGGGGAGTACTTATAAACCATGTTCATGGACCGGGCAGAGGGATTCCGCGAGAATTTTCTCAGCCATATATCCTGCCATATATCCTGCCATATATCCTGATTTTTCAAGGATTGACAGGATGGTTGGTTTTTATCAGTCTTTCTTGATCATTGCATTGGGAGTTTCGGCTTTGGCGGCTGACTCCCTAATCGATATCGATATTTCCCTCAAAGAGCAATTGTGTAGAAATCGCAACACTGCTGTGCGGAAGGAATGGTTTGTGTTTCCTGGTTTTTCCTAGCACCAATTGAGAATTGACATTGCATAGGGGAGAGTTGAAGCGGGCCGAGCGGATCGACTATATCGATGCAGTATTGTGTATGCAAAGGCAGCCTCAGCAACTCTCAAGAGAAGAGTACCCGGGGGTGCAGAACCGGTTTGACGATTTTGTGGCGTAGGTTTCGGATAGCTTTATTATAGATGCCAGGGGGCCTGACATACCATACAGCACTCATATCAACTACACATTCAATGTCCACCTTAGTGGGTTATTCCTCCCGTGGCACCGCCACTTCATCTGGCTCTGGGAGTCAGCCCTACGAGACGAGTGTGATTACTCTGGAACTCTCCCGTAAGTAGCATCTACTTCACTCCCAACCAATAATAACACAAACTAGGTACTGGAACTGGCCATTGTGGTCAGAGAACCTAAAAGCCAGCCCTCTCTTCGACTGCAGCGCCAGCTCCCTCTCCGGCGACGGAGAATACAACCCAGAAGAAGAGAGCATCTCCGGCGGCGCGGTCACCATACCACGAGGATCGGGCGGTGGCTGTGTACGATGCGGACCTTTTAAAGACATGAAAATCCACATGGGACCATTTGATCGCAACATAGCCTCATTCGACAAACTCCCCGCCCCAGGCTTCGACTACAATCCACGCTGCTTCAACCGAAGTCTGAACAACTTCGTCAGTAGCAACTACGACAACGAGACCATCGTCGACGCACTCCTGGGCACGGCCGATATCGCAGATTTCCAAGTTGTCATGGACTACTGGCCCGCACGACCGGACGGGGTGTTGGGCGTTCATGGCGGCGGACATTTCAGCCTCGGATCCACTTTTCAAGACCTGTTCACGTCGCCGCAAGACCCGGCTTTCATGCTGCACCATGGTATGATTGATCGGCTGTGGAGCATGTGGCAGGCGAAGGATGAGGGTAACCGTCGATTTGCGCTTAACGGTACGAATAAGATCCTTAATCCGCCGGATGGGAGGATTGTCACGCCCGATACAGTGATGGAGTTTGGGCTGCTTGACCAGCCTCGATCGGTTCGTGAGGTTATGGATCCGACTGGTTACCGGTATTGTTATTCGTATACATAGCTGAAACTACCGAGGTCGAATCGGATGGTAAACTCCGAAGTGACACCGGAGTTTGGGTGTGACTACAACATAGGATGGTAGGACTGGGATATTTTGAGGTTATTATGTTATAATAATGAATTTAGTATAATAAGAGTTCCAGGGGGAAAAAAATACCCCTTTTGACATTACCAAATGGAGTAAGAAGAGAAAATAGACACTTTGTTTATTTCTATTGTTAGCGCTGAGACCAGGCCAATAATGGTGGAGCGCCCTTACTTTTTTGTTCACTTCGTGTTACTTCAGAGGATATGTACCTCGTATTCCATACATAGAACATATGTTATGAAGGTCCAAAAATATCATTAAACGGCCTAATATAGGGAATATCACTAATATCACTTTAATATCGGTATCAAGCATTGCCTTTGGGCCGATCCGAGACATTTGATAGGGCCGTAAAAAATCAGCCACGCCGATTATTCTCGGGTTATCTTTTACACTAGTGCAGGAAAATCAAGAAATCGAGATGTCTAGAATAAAAAAAAGTAAATAAAAGATAGATTCGCCACATATCTGAGTGGTTCCTTCCTATTGTTTTTTTTTTGGATCTCATCAAATCTCACCAGGGCTTCTTTGTTCTTTTCCCCTCTTCAACAATTCCAACAATCTCACCATTCTCCACCTTATTAGCAGATCTGTCGATCTTCAGAATGCTGCGTATCAACATTCTTCAATTGCTTTTTGTCACACTGCTCGCTCTGTCTGCGGTCCTCGCAACAGACGCAGTTAAGGCTCAACGTGAGTCTCTCCAAGCTCTAGACGACATCAAGGCAGCCTCATTGCATGATGCTCTGCATGCTCTCTCCGCCAAATTCCGTCATGGTATCTTCCCAACTGACCTTCATGCCGCTGAGGCTCTACAAGCTGAAGACCCAGCCATCGCAAGCCTAGTCAGGCTCGCCAAGCGCCAGACCAATGCCACTTCCGGTGCTGAGACAACCCCGGCTCCAGTTCCTACTGTGACTACTCCCACTGAATCAAGCACTCAACCTACTGAACCAGCCACCACATCGGCTGCTGAGACCACTGAGACCAGTCAGATGCCTACTCCTGAGCCAACCACCAGCGTTCAGTCAACGACCTCGGCTAGCTCTACCAGCTCGACCAGCTCGACCAGCTCTGCATCTGTCCCCAGTGAGACATCTACCACGGCCTCGACTCAGTCCTCTGCTCAGCCAACCACGGCCACTACTCACTCGACCACTTCCACTACTACGTCCTCGACTGCTTCCACCACTCACTCGACGACTAGCAGTGTTCCCTCGACTCTGTCGACTACCAGTAGCACCTCATCTACTTCAACCACCTCCAGCCACTCAACTGCCTCTTCTGCTCAAACCACTCAGCACACCAGCTTGACCACTTCCACCATGAAGAGCACGACCACCATGCCCGACGGCACCCTGAGCACCATTACCTCGATTACCGTTATCACCCCCGAGGCAACCGGCAAACCCACTGGTACAACTGCCGGTAAGCCCGGTCTGCAGACTGGTGCCGCCGCGCTGACTACCGGCATGGCCCGTGAGGTTGTCGCCATGTTTGGTGGCGCTGTCATGGTCGCAATGGCTCTGTAATGGATGACCGCTTTTTTCCTTTCTATCGCCTACTTGCATCTTTATTTCCACCGGCGTTTTTCAGCACTTCACATTGGCTCTGCATCTTCATGACTCTCGTCATTGTACTATCTTTCCCGCATGACCCGTGACGACCTACTTATGTCTCTCCTTATTTCTCCTGGGCGTTCGATGGCTATTTGGCCTTTTGCTGAGAGGGCTTTATCAGCGAGTGAGAACATTTACAGCGCACAGCACACGCTCATATTTCATGTGATTACTTTTAGTCCATGTTTCATCTTCGATAGGAAGATAATTCAAAATTGTGCTCAATTATTAAACTCATTAGTTTATTCTATATATATATATTCATTGATTCGTATATAAAGTAGGTGCACGTTATCCCAGATGATCGGAATGTGCACAGCGGTATGGTATGTGTGGTCAACGGTCTCCAACAAGCCCTGGGTTTCTCAGCTGGTTGCTCGGAACCATCATCACCGTACAGGATTCCGGCCTTCCTCCCACCGCTGCTCCTCGGCCAAGTACCGGACAATACTCTCAAAACCAACCGTATCCCCTTTGCGTAGTAGAACCGCGATGTCAACATTCAGCGGCGAATCCGGATTCGGATCCGTCAACAGCCACTGAATAGCCGCCAGTGTGGTCTGGAGAGTTCTAGCCGGACTCCATTGATCCTTCAAGAGGGACAGACAGATCTCGCCCGTATCGAAGTCGATATTGGGGTGCACGATCTTAGTCGTGAAATGGATGGTCGGCGGCGCGTAAGGGTATGTCGGGGGTATTTTGATATTAAGGTGCCAAAGTCCACCTGTTGTCGCGTTAGATTGACTAGAATGATTCCGACATAGTCTTCATGAGCTTACCCTCATATGGCGATCCATTAGGACCTTTCAATACAGCTTCCCAGCGTAGTAGGTCGTCGTCATCGACGGGACGTAGGTATAGGAATGTGTCATTTTCGACATTATCGTTTTCCTTCAGCTCGTCTCCGAGTCGCTTCATTGCTCTAGCGAGCTCTCTTTGGGGAGCCATGTGGAATGTGGTAGACGGTATAGAATTAGATGTGTAACAAGAAGTCAGCCCCTCAGGTTGGGAAGTCGGTCGGGACTGCGATCGCCGAGGCTGAGGACCTCGGGAAGTTTTGCCCGGCCCACCCATGGATCGATCGTCTGGGGATTCCAAGGCTCTCACGTGAAATTGCCTTCTGACTTTCGTGCCTAGCAACATTTTTTCTTCTGTCCGGTCTCTGTTAACTCAACATGCGCACTTCTCGCACTTCTAGGGACACTGCGAAGGTACTGCAGGCCCTCTCGCCCCCTATTCGACGACAAACGCGCAACTCAAATGTGAGCGCTTTGAAAAGTTTCGCCCACAACCCAAACGCGACTTCGACAGTCAAGATAGAGCCAGAAAATGTCTCGGTGATACCCAGTCTGTCTGCTGTCAAAAGTGACGATGAATCTTCCCTCTCTGAACTCTCCGACGCCGATACGGCGGACATCGAAGACCTCCTTGAACCGCCATCGAAGCGTCAGAAGCGCAACGCGAGCCCCATAAACACACGAGTCCTCAAGAAAAGTGCAAGTCCTTGCACACGCCGAAAAGTGAGAGTCAAAGATGAACCCGACCAGAAACCCACACCAGCACCCAGACAAAGACGACTCCCGGCCCGCAAAACCCTCGGTGCCGATGGCTTAGTCAAGGTCGAGCCCCCGTCCAACTGGGAAAGGATGTACGGAATCTTGAAAGAGATGAGGGCAGCCAATCCGACCGCACCGGTAGATACAATGGGCTGCTCGGAGCTATACTGGCGTGCATCAGGACCGAAAGACCGTCGATTCCAAACCCTCATCGCATTGATGCTTTCATCCCAGACGAAAGACACCGTGACGGCGGTAGCGATGCAACGTCTTCACACCGAGCTTGGAGACGGTACTGCTCCAGATCAAGTTCAAATCAAACAAGAAGACAGCGAATCAAAATCCGTGGACAGCACTCTCAACCTAACCAACATCCTAGCTGTGGACCCAACGCGACTAAACGAGCTAATACGCACGGTCGGCTTCCACAACAACAAAACAAAATACATCAAAGCCACGGCGCTAATCCTACGAGATCAGCACGGTGGAGATATCCCCTCTACTCCAGAGGGCCTCATGGCACTCCCTGGTGTCGGACCCAAAATGGCCTATCTTTGTCTGAGCGCAGCATGGGGTAAACACCTGGGAATCGGTGTCGATGTACATGTCCACCGTATTACCAATCTCTGGGGTTGGAATAAGACCAAGACGCCCGAGGAAACAAGGAAGGCCCTCCAATCGTGGTTGCCGCCTGATAAGTGGCATGAGATTAACAAGTTGCTTGTTGGTCTCGGGCAGACGGTTTGTTCGCCTGTTAAGCGTCGCTGTGGGGATTGTGACTTGGCTGGCCAGTCACTTTGTAAGAGCGAGATTCGGGGGCTTGAGCCTACAGTGTTGAAGGTCAAGAGGAGCCCTGGGTTTGATGAGCCCAAGGTTAAGATTGAGGCTCTTTGATTGGGACCTCTCTGCTGGTGGATTGCTGGTTGACCTTATACGGTCCGTCCTTCTCTGTATGGAAGACCGTGGTGACTGCGTATTCGCTTGACGCCATCCCCTATAATGGATCGATTATTATTTTTATCGAAGAAACATCAGCCTCCTAAAATATCACTCTATTTCGGAATTATTGCATGGCGCACGGTCCGAACACTCCCACTCTCTTTTGATCAAAACTTCCAGAATTGTTTGGAAAGTCGTACCTACTTGGGCAGCCCGGCTGTGTACATGTACATGGGTCATTGTTGCCGCTGTTGGCCTCTAGACACAATCCTATCGCTTCGCCGTTGCCTATCACACATGTAACAACAGCCAAAAGACGAATTATATCCGTTCCTCAACCAACACCGGGGCTCGGACGGGGCTTACCAGGGTTCCCTGACTCGAAGAGCTACAAGGTCTGTCTGTACAGGGTTTATACAGAAGAAAACACTGGTTATCTTTAGCGGAAGCCACATATAAAATGTCATCTATATTAATCATGCCATTCCCTCCTCTTCTTGCTCTTAAAAACTATACAGTATTCACCAGTGAGTGCGCCCTCTATTTAAACACTTCGATCATTGAAGGTACGTATATCGCCATTTTACAGCCCATCACCGTCTGGAGCTGACCTTTGCATTGATCCCATGTCAAACAGCTCTTCAGTAGCGGTTGTGACGCTCTATATCACTTATAAAATCGGGTTGTTGTTTGGGAGGGTCAAGAATAACACACGACCCGTCAAACAGCCAATTGCCACTGTTGTTGTCGCACGTGCGGCGAATAAAGCCATGCAGCATGTCCGATACTCCGAAGGAATCCACAAAAAATTTTCCCCTCTCATAGTTATCCACGTGTGGTCCTTATTGAAGGCATAGACCCCTTGCTCTGGCTGGGGAGCTAGACTTCCAAATGAGGTCGGGATAAGGGCAGATGACCTCAAATCAAATATGCCTCGATCGGTGTGCAGATAATGCACATTAACCTCATCATATTGCAGGCTAAGACCAGAGCGGACAGCAAGAGTTTTCACACACTTTGAGGTGGCCACATCCCAGATCTTGACCATCTCAACATCTGACCCTATCGCGAGTTGTCTTCCGTCCCGTGACCACGCAATGCAAAAGACCGCATCGTTATAACCCCGTAGAGTCATACACTGGTCAGTGGCTGGGTTCCAGATCATGACCTTTCCATTATGTGATCCTGATGCGAGCTGACTTCCATCCCGAGACCACTCCATCGAGTAGACTAACTCATTATGTCCCTCAAGGTTCGATCTACCCTGCTTAAGAGCTGGATCCCAGATCTTCAGCGTTCCATCGGTTGACGCTGATGCGACCTGGCTTCCATCTCTCGACCAGGAAACCGACGATACTGTGTCTCGATGTCCCTCTAATTCCGATATGCACTGTCCAGTGTCTGCGTTCCAGATCATGACTCTCCCATCAAATGACCCTGATGCGATCCATTTTGCATCCCGGGACCAAGCAATGCACGAGACTTCGCTGCTATGTCCTTCTAGAGTTAATATACACCGCCTAATGGCCGGGTCCCAGATCTTAATTGTCATATCAACTGATGCTGATGCGAGTCGGCTTCCATTGTGGGACCAAGCAATGTCTAAAACATCACTGCTGTGTCCTGTAAGTGTTGATGTGCAACGCCCAGTTGCTATGTCCCAGATCTTGATCGCCGTAGTATCTGACTTTGATGCGAGCCAGCTTCTATCAAGAGATGAGATAATGGAGCAGACTGGGTTGGTAGGTCCTGCGAGGGTCCATGTGAACTCCCCGGTAACTTGGTCCCAGATCGTGATTGGTTGACTAGTTGACCCTATTACAAGCTGACGTCCATTTTGGGACCAAGAAATAGAGGTCACTGAGCTGTCGACTTCGAGAGTCGATATGCACTGCCTGGTTGGTAGGTCCCAGATTTTGACATTCCTACCCAACGATCCTGACGCGAGCCGGGCTCCATCGGGGGACCAGGAAATCGAGACCACTACCTGTTTATGTCCTCTGAGGGTCGATGTGCATCGCCCGGTTGATGGATCCCATATTCTGATGGTTGTATCCGAAGACCCTGATGCGAGAGAGTTTCCATCTTTGGACCATGCAATTGATGTGACTGCCGCCCTATGACCTTCGAGGATCTGAAGGCATGGACTCCATTCATCGTCCATTAGTGGATCCTTAAGAAGCCACTTTGTTTTCACGGATTGATAACTAGATTTGATCATACTTCGGGTTGGGCTAAAGATAAGCGATGAGAAGTAGACTTGTAAGGGGCTGTTCTCAATTGCTATCCCATGGTACTGGATGAATCGAGAAGCATCTCGTATTCGTTCTGCAAGCTTGTGTGCCTTATTTAATTTCTGCAATAGTAAATCGAGGTTAGCAATGCATATTTATAATCACAGAAGTGGGTAATCACCTGGAGAAACCTGTTGAGCTTGAGCATAGCAGCGATCGCTTCTGGAATATACCCCATAAGACTCATAGCTTCGAGCCAGAAAAGATATCTCTGTTTCAGAAAGCCCTCAACTAGCCCACCCTCCCGCAGTTCATCAATGGCATTGCCATCTAGGAGGTGATCAACCCAGTAGAGACATGAGTACCGTACGGCTGCCAATGGATCTGGATCAGGTTGTCTGACTTGAGTGATGGGAAATCCTGGTGATTTGAGGCCATAGATATCACGCCGGAGAGTCCTGAACGATTGCAAGGAGCGAAAAAGAATCGTATAGTGTTCTGCCTCAATCCCTCGCGCAAATATCTTCTTTGATGCAGTTTGGAGGAGGAAATCTTTTGCGGACTGATGCACAAAGAAGACGACGCCTTCTCGGACTGTAAGGAATGAGCCGCACGCCTCCACAACTTCATTTAAAGATTGCTCATTAATAGTGATATCTTTGGGTATATCGACTAAAGCTAGTAACTCGCCTAGCGTGATAGGTCGGTATGTAACTAGGGCAACACCTAGAAGTCGCTTGCAGATTTCTGCACTTGGCGACTTGTGAATTTGATCAATCATCCGAGCATAGAGGGATTCGAGGCCCGGCGGGAATACAGTCAGCAGCAGACGAGCATCCCATCGTGCCCCCTTGGCAAGTTCCAAGCAGACCAAGGCCACCCAGAGGAAGGTACCACGTGCATTCGAAAATAAATGTTGGGAGATAGCATCCCGTACCTCAGCTTTATACTTCTTTTGCTCCGTCAATTCCCTAACTTTGTGTTGAATGAAGATAGTAACGGCCTTAGCCACGGATTTCTCGTTCAATTCTAGCCAAAGCGTTGCTTTTTTGGTCGCAGGTTCAAGGGCCTCTCCAATATCATGCCAGTTACGACTTGACACAACCCATTTGATACGCGTACACACTGATGATTTCTGTGCGATAAGTTCAAGAAGCAGGTTCCGATCCGCGGTACATTCGTCGAGAGCATCAATGATCACGTAAGTGCTCTGTAAGAGCGGATCTTCAAGGATATCAATGAAGATTTTCGACAAAGTTTCCCATGCATTGGCATCCTCAAACCCTTTTTTCCCAGTCTTATCGTGTTGTCGTCGCATATGGGACATGAGTTTGGGCTGCTTGGCGACCAGCATATAGATCAGGCCGCGAAGGACTGCGCTCGCGTGATTTATTCGTGCATCTGTAGCCTGGCAGAAAAAGAAAACAACACATGCCTGAGGGGTCGACTTCAGCTCGTTGATAATTCCACACAAAAGCATTGTTTTACCCTTCCCAGGGTCCCCTTTAATCCAGAGCAGCTGCCCTTGTTGATCATAAAGCCATTTTTTGAAGTCGTTGTTTTCGAAAATCCAGCGATATGAATCTTTCAGTAGTCCGCCCTTGACCTTTTCGATACGTTTCTTGTCATCACGAGGATCTGTCGTGTATAGATCCCGTAGACAGGCTCCGTCCTCGACACTTAGTGCGTAATGATCTTTTGTCTGATTTAAAAGCAGAAGTTTATCTTTGGATTGATCTTAGTTATGCAAAATTGCGTGTGGATGGTATGATAATCGTTCTTACCAACTGCCAGTGTCCATCTCTCAAGTTCCCCCAACACCCTCTTGAAACCAGGATCTTCCACTGTCGCAAATTTTACCATATGCTGATGATCAGCTCGAATGGCACGGGGTGCATAGCCATCAAAACTAGCAGAATCTTTTGTTACGATCGTTCCAATCTTTGGGGTTGGAAGCTCTTCAAAGAAGCAGGTGATCTCGAGGGGCCGACCATTCTCCCGTACTTGGCGCACCATAGCCAAAAAGTCACGCTGTATTGACTCAAGGAACTGATTATTCCTCTGTAGGACATCAAGCAGCGAGATGTTGATTGATTTCACGAAACCAAACGCAGTGGCAGGGATTTTGGCCCAGTCCGCCATCCAGGCTCCCATGTGGGGCGTCCCCATGAATATCACACCCTTAAGAGCATCAAATACACCCTGGAAGTGTCTTTCGGGGTTGTTTCGCGATAGTAGGATAGCCTTCTTGCAGACCAACCCCCCAAGGCTATGGACGACAAAGATAAGCGGGCGCGAAGACGCATTGCAGGATTCTCGGTCAGATGTTAGGTCGGCAAGGAGATTTGTGGCATGGTCAATCAACCGATTCCTCGAGGCTTTCGATTTCGATATTACATACGCATCGTACCCGTATGTCAAAATGCGAGCTTGTTGAAGCTTCTGTGGAAGTAGGGATTGCGGCCAAGGCGCAGATTGGCCCTTAGCGGTCCATGTCCTCTCTCGATCGCCCGTCAGACCGTGAATGAAACATATATCGCACGTCGCATTAGGTGGGTTACTCAAAACTTTGATACCATCAATGAAATGGGAAATCGGAGGGTATTCAGGCAAGGCGGGGTCGGTTGCACTATAAGCTCTAGGGTTGTTATGGCCTGTTTCTTTCACCTGGAAAACGGCCTCACGCTGGCGTCGCAAAAGTTGCATTATTCAACCAAAACAGACTTTCTGGGGTACTACAGTAGGGCAATGTTTGTGTTACAATAATGGTATTGTAGTACAGGCAGGGCCCCTTTATGTATCCCATTGGACTCGCCGAGAAAGACTTAGCCGCTAGCAACTGCATGGGCGCTTACTGTTTGAGCCAATAAAAGTGGAATTTTCTCGATGGTCGGACACTAGGTGAGCGGCTCATCATATTTCTCCGAATCATTCATTTGGTAGAACAGGATATAGGATAGCCGCTGCATCGATGCGCTGATCTATATATAATTTTGCGGGAACAATGTGAAACGCATGACTAGTAACTAGTGGATGGGCTAACTAGTCGACTTGGACATTACTAATTTAGGAGAAATTGAAATAACGCAATATACGCAATATAAAACTTCATTTAATTTCTTATAATATCTCGGTTCTAATACGATTGTAGTTGTGTAGCGCTTTATGCCTGGAATGGTACCGCCTTCGTAATATTGACAACAATCGTTATTTTGCCACCTTATAACTAGATTTTCTGCCAGATTTTCTGCTCACTTCATTTGATTCTGGTTTACACTGTAAAAAATAACTGTGACTTGGTATCGACTTGCAATTTTATCATACGTCTGCTAGGATTTATTATTCCCATTTCCCTCCAATAGTACGGAGTAGCAGTTGCATTAACTTTGATAAAAAGACGGTACGGAAGGCGGTAGGCTTGTTAGCGCCTGGAGACGCGCTCAACTAAATTAGGAATGTCAAGCTGAACTTTCTTCCTCTACTCCGTATATCAACATGAAATATATCAAACGTGAGTAGCCGCCGATATCAAAAACCCTACATATATATGTACCTAAGAATAGCTCTATGGATTCTATTAGAGTAGGTTTCCCTATATCTATCCACAATAAAAGATTTTAAAATATATATTCCTTGCATATGAGATAACATCTTGTTATTTTAGTTGTCCCAACTGTTGTGATGTTGTAATATATCTGAATACTAGCCGGACTGTGGCCATGGGAATATTGATTGGCGAGATTATGAATGTCCAGCATCACTGCCTCGCACTCTTGTATTTTGTTAGAACCATTCAATCGTTTGAAAGAGACTGACTTACTTGTTTTGATTGCGATCCCAAAATGTTGACAGGTCTCCAATCGGCAAAAAGGGTGGGATCCCTACGGATTCAAACAATTGAACAATCAATAGGTAGAAGCCGAGTAAACTCGCGACAAATAGCGCAGCTCCGGCACCCTAAAAATCAAGTCAGCAAGTATTATAGACAAAGTCGAGATCACCAAAACACAGAATAATACTCACTTTTACACATCGACCACCACTGGCTAGGTTGCCTTGGCCTAGTTCCCAGTAGGCCGAAGTGAGAAGGAGAAAGACAACGAAGAGGGTGAGGAAAATCAATGTGTAAACCACATTAATGCGTGTCGAACAAATGAAGAAGATTAACATCAGAATAGCCATCGTTACAAATAAAAATGCTGGTTTCATCAGAGCTGTTCATCAAATCCAAGTGACCGACGTTTCACTCACCATATGTATTCAGGAAACCTTCGCTAGCTAGCCCGGCCGTTGTACTGGTGGTTGACGAGGAATAGGGAGCTATAGAACTTGAGCGAACTGATATTTTGAATGGGATGAGGCGTTTGGATAAACTGACCGGCTGCATTGAAGGAGGGAATCATTGTTGCTGCAAATGCAAACCAGAAACCGCCTTGGGTAAAGTATTAGCAACATGAACAAAAGGTTGACGCTTCTCCCGAGTCAGGGGGGACTTACCAATAGTGCCAAACACAACACAGGGGAACGTGTTTCCAATAATGAACTCAAGAATGCTGGTGAGGAGCAACAAGAGACCACCAAGGAAGACGATAGGTCCGCTTTTTCGTTCATCAGATGAGGCCTCCTTGTTGAGTCGTAGGATCTCTTACATGAAAGCAACTCCATTTCCGCTGGCTCCTCTCCATCCCATCAAGCAGCATGAAAGGGGGGTTGTGGTGATAACAAAACCTCCAAGTGCTCTGAATGTTGAATCACGAAGTTAGATCAAAATGTCATGCCCAGAAGATAGTATCAGGAGACTCACAATGGTGTCGGATTGCCAACCTTCTTGGATAGTGGTGACTGGCGAACGGTCATAGGAGTCAAATAAAGCCTCTCAAACTGTTCAGCCGACAGTGTCACTGATGTTGGAACTGTAGTGAGACCATTTGCTATGTGCTCCTTGGTTTGAAAGCTAGGCTTTGTCTCACCATTCTGACTGATATCACTGTCCATTTTGTTTTGGTTAAGATACCTCTCTCTGGTATCAAGGAGAAGAAGAATATAGTACAGTAGGCAAAGAGAATGGAGGATCTTAGAAACTAGCCTTACATTTCTTCAATATCCGGGGATTGTGGGGATTTTGAGCTTTCCCCCAACTTTGTGGCTTGCCATGCACTATGGGGTGATTGATCTGTGCTGGCTCCACTAAAGGAGGTGAAAATGTGTTCATATTCCTTTCCACCGTGTCCAATCAGGCAGTCGTTGGGATTAATTGATTCGAAGTAAGCTTGGATGAGTCCAGAACACGAAATACACAATACTAGAGAGTGGATCCACTAGTTGGCTGGTAGGGGATTGACCAATGGGGCATATTAATGTGCTGCGTTCGGCTCGCCCCGGGTCTCTAAACTTGAGAGTTGTCGCAGAAATTCTGTCAGGGCTGTAGATGCACAGGAAGGAGACAGACTTGGCATGTCGTTTGCATTTGGTTTGCATTATTTTGTGGAGATGAAAGTTATAGGGTCTGGATTAAGAGAGATTCCCGCCAAGGGCCGACACGTATCCATGCGGATCCGAAACTCATGCGGAGCCGCATGGTGGAAATTCAAGATGATGAAAATAAATCCAGGTGATCAACCCCGCATTCTATTTCAGTGGGGAATTTTGATCTGGGGAAGAGAAACAGCGAAAGCCCCAGGGATACCACCAACATGCGGAGCCGCTCAGATCGACTGCTAAAATTGCACAATCGGGGGGCATTTTTTATGATGGAATTCCTTCAGTGGTCATATCTTTAGCGTTAGGGGCCTTCATAACGAGCCTTTTGTCTACGTATCTAATTTTACTTCCTTGAAAATCCCATACCACGCAAATCCAAGATGGCTGGCCTAAACATGATAACTTATACTGAATTTGAGATCTCGCGCCCCCGCAAAAAGGCTAGGAGATCCTGCTTGTATTGTCAAAAGGCACATAAAACATGCGGTAAGCTTAGAGTCTTCCAAATTCCCTATCTCGAGCAAGCATATTCGGGGGGATGATAAACTGACAAAACACGCTAGGAAATGAGCGGCCTTGTGGACAATGCACGAAGCGCAAAAGGCCAGGGCAATGTGTCGATGGAAATCGCAAACCGCCTAAATATCTCGAGGAAGAGCGCAGGAAGAAAAAGGCCGCGACTGATTCCTATCGTGGTGTTACTTCTTTGCAAAGACAGGATCAACAAGAGAATATTCCAAATACCATAAGTCATGAGTAAGTCTGGTTCTTCATTAGGGCTATTGGAGCATTATATTGATATCTGGTACAGCAGCAAGGTCACTGAACAAGAACCCTTCTATGAGGGACAAATGCGAGACCACAGAAGAGACTCCCTCGAGGAAGTCTTTGATGAACTCATTGATCCAAATTTTTTCTACAAAGGAAATGAGAATTTCATCCCCCTCTTCTCACATGCAGGATGCTCGCCCTCATCAGTGACATCTTCCAGCGAATCTGAAGATAGTGAATTAGGGACATCATATAATGTTCCACAGAGCGACTTCGAAGCCAGCTTGGTGAAGCAGCATAATTATGCAACAGACGAACCATACGCCGGATTTGCTATCAGCAGTGGTTGGTCAAGCACATTCTTTCCTGACGGGATAGAAGAACAACCCCACGGCTGGTGACTTTACGACAGACAAAAAAAAAATTAAAACTCAAGCTTTTGATAACCTTGTGATTGTGAATGGAATAATATATATGGGCTTCATGTGTTTGGTTTTCGGGAATGTTTTTGTTGGAATTCTTTGACCCTCCAATTTTTGTTTCTTTTTGTACAAATAGCGAATTGAACTTCCTAATATTAATATACTAATGTTGTTTATATTGTATAAACGACCATAGTAGCTAAAGGTGGAAGACATTTAGCTTGGATAATAGATATTGGATTTGTTTGTCGTGATGCCTTACGCGCCAACCCCTATCTACCTAGCTGCTCTACCCTTTTCAACCCAGTCGAATAGATCTGTCCGCACAGACCATAACCTCTTTTAATTATTTGTTGAGAACTACATATCCTACAGGATCTTGCCCCGCACAGGATCTTCCCAACAGCGGCTAAAAGAGTATTTGAGAACATTTACATCCAATCGTATCAGTTACCCGTGCGGCTCCGCATGGCCCCAGGTTCTCCACACCCCCCGCATTAACTTCGCTTTCCAATTCTAGGCACATATTGAATATACGCGCTAGGTAATTTCAGATATATTGCCGTGTCAAATATATTATATTATTCTATTTTGATGCATTCCGGTAGCCCGGGTGTTCCTAGATGACAGGCCATATGGGGAATTGACTAAGCCCCCACCTTTTTTTTTACCCCGGACATGCCCCTCCAACGTGTTTAGCTATAAAGCTCCAATCCATTCCCCAAGATAGAATCTAGAAACCAGCAGAGGATTCCTATTTACTTCATACGCATCTTCAACTCAACTCAAACTTCATTCCTATCTCATCAATATGTCCACTTTCGAGATTCCAGAGACCCAATGGGCCCAGGTGGCCGAGAAGATCGGAGGGCCACTTGTCCTCAAGCAGATCCCCGTTCCCAAGCCCGGCCCTGACCAGATTCTGGTTAAGATCCGTTACTCTGGCGTTTGCCACACCGATTTCCACGCTATGATGGGTCACTGGCCCATCCCCGTTAAGATGCCCCTCGTCGGTGGCCACGAGGGAGCTGGAGTGGTCGTCGCTAAGGGCGATCTTGTTAGCACCTTCGAGCTCGGTGACCACGCTGGAATTAAGTGGCTCAATGGCTCTTGCACTGAGTGTGAATTCTGCCGCCAATCTGATACTCCTCTGTGCGCTGATGCACAGCTTTCCGGATATACTGTCGATGGTACTTTCCAGCAATACTGCGTTGGAAAGGCCACACACGCTGCTAAGATCCCTAAGGATGTCCCTCTTGATGCAGCAGCCCCGGTTCTCTGCGCCGGTATTACTGTTTATAAGGGATTGAAGGAGTCCGGCGTTCGTCCTGGACAGACAGTTGCTATTGTTGGAGCTGGCGGTGGTCTTGGATCCCTTGCACAGCAATATGCTAAGGCTATGGGTCTTCGAGTGGTCGCTATTGATGGAGGCGATGAGAAGAGAGAGATGTGCGAGGCTCTTGGCACAGAGGTATGACCGCAAATTTTCTATATCCCGAGCATTGCTCTATATCGAATATCGAAGCTAACAAAAATCAATTCACTAGACTTATGTTGATTTCACCAAGTCCACTGATCTTGTCGCTGATGTGAAGGCGGCAACTCCCGGCGGTCTCGGTGCTCATGCTGTTGTCTTGTTGGCTGTCTCAGAGAAGCCTTTCCAGCAAGCCTCAGAATATGTTCGCTCTCGCGGCACAATTGTTGCCATCGGATTGCCCCCTGATGCATACCTTAAGGCCCCTGTTATCAACACTGTCGTTCGTATGATCACTATTAAGGGAAGCTACGTTGGAAACCAGCAGGATGGTGTTGAAGCTCTCGACTTCTTCGCCCGCGGATTGATCAAGGCTCCATTCAAGCTGGCTCCTCTTGCAGATCTTCCCAAGATCTTCGAGCTTATGGGTTCGTCGTACATTCCCCTTACATACGAGAACCAAAACTAACTTCAAATAGAACAAGGCAAAATTGCCGGCCGTTACGTCCTTGAGCTGCCCGAATAAATGGTAGTCGACCATTTATAAATTGTGCTATTGGCACAGATTGTGGATTAGGACCTTGTTGTATATAGGTGGCGAGCCTTGCGTGCGAACTTATGTGATTTATGAATTGAGATACTGAATTTAACTGAAATTCAACGATTGATTGATGTACATGAAACATTTGAGATTGCGTCTCACTGTCCTACCATTCAAGGTATATGTAGGATTGATGTTGATTTTGGGTTTTAAAGTTATTATCCACATAAGCTAGCCTCCACACAATCTCGGGACTGCGCGAGCTTCCAAGGTTGGCGTTGAGTCACCCGTCGAGCTGTGACACCTCAGTCGTGAAACGAGCGATTGGGGACCTCGATAGTTCACCTGCCATGCATTAAATCACGGAATATTGGTAAGAGACGGAGGAAATTGCGAGCTCACTAGATTGAGAATAGTAGTTAATATCGAAGCATGATACTGCTACAAAATGCACACAGACCGTCTACTGAGATAAAATGTTGAATTTCTGTATCTCTGCCTAGGTGGGAGTAGTTGGACGGAATTTGAATTTCTGGATACATGTATGATACAAAAACAGGTGGTCAGGTGGGATATACCTAATCATTTCCAGTTTTCCTGTGTAACCACATATGTTGTACTTCCGCACAACTTTTCACAGCTAACTTCCAAAAGATGGGATTGGCCCATTATCCGCAATGCGGCTCCTGGCTAGTGGTAGTGGTCCGGACGAAAGGAACTGTAAATCAATTGGAAAAATCCGGGTAAATGGGTTTACCCCAGACGGCGAAAAACATCGGGCCGGCCTTTATCGATCTTCATGCTTCCCCCGCACTCTGTAACCCCGCTGACTCTCGCTCCCAAGGTCCTTCCACGTGGATATATAAGAACCCCTCTCACATCCCATGTCCTTTTCATCCTCTATCATCAACTCACTCCTCCTCTTCAATCATGGCGCTTTTCCAAACTATCGAGACCCCTGTGGTCACCTACGAGCAGCCTTTGGGACTGTAAGTTAAGCCAAACAAAGACAACCACTGATATATCTCACCAACAATCTAACAAAACTCCTAAGATTCATCAACAATGAATTCATCAAGGGTGTGGACGGAAAAACGTTCGAGACGATCAACCCTCACGACGAGAAGCCTATTGTATCCGTGCACGAAGGCACAGCAGATGATATCGATATTGCCGTCAAAGCTGCCCGCGCTGCACTGAACGGAGAGTGGAAGCAAGTCACTCCATCCGAACGTGGTCGTCTCCTCACTCGTCTTGCCGACTTCCTGGAACGTGATATCGACACTCTGGCCGCTATTGAAGCCCTTGATAATGGCAAGGGAGTCACTATGGCCAAGGGCGACGTTAACGCCTCTGCAGGCTGCCTGCGATACTACGGTGGCTGGGCCGACAAGATTTACGGCCAAACCATCGACACTGATATCAATAGTTTCACTTATACCCGCCACGAGCCCGTCGGTGTCTGTGGCCAAATTATCCCATGGAACTTCCCTCTCTTGATGTTTGCTTGGAAGATCGGCCCTGCTCTGGCGACTGGAAATACAATTGTTATGAAGACCGCTGAACAGACTCCTCTTTCGGCGCTCTATGTGGCCAAGCTTATTAAGGAGGCTGGCTTCCCCGCTGGAGTGGTTAATGTTATTTCAGGATTCGGAAGAACTGCCGGCGCGGCACTCTCCTCTCATATGGATGTTGATAAGATCGCGTTCACTGGATCGACTCTGGTCGGACGTCAAATCATGAAGGCAGCGGCCGATTCCAACTTGAAGAAGGTGACCCTCGAATTGGGTGGCAAGTCACCAAACATTGTTCTCCCAGATGCAAACCTGGAGGAAGCAATTGAATGGGTTAATATGGGCATTTTCTTTAATCACGGACAGTGCTGCTGTGCAGGCTCTCGTATTCTTGTTCACGAAGCTGTCTATGATAAGTTCCTTGAGCTCTTCAAGCAGCGCGCGGAGAAGAATAAGGTCGGAGATCCATTCAACCACGAGACTTTCCAGGGACCTCAGGTTTCGCAAATTCAATATGACCGGGTTATGAATTACATTAATGCTGGAAAGGGTGCAGGCGCCAAGGTTATCACCGGTGGTGACCGACATGGCAGCGAGGGATACTACATTCAACCCACAATTTTCGCTGATGTCCATGGCGACATGACGATTGTGCGGGAAGAGATCTTCGGACCTGTCTGCACAGTGCAGAAGGTCAAGAGCGAGGAGGAGGCTATCCAAGTGGCCAACGACACAAACTACGGTTAGTACTACACGATCTTCACATCCAATTTGCCTCCCATGGTTTCTGACTTGAAAATCACCAAAAACAGGCTTGGCCGCAGCTGTCCACACCACAAACATTAACACTGCCATCCGAGTGTCCAACGCCGTTAAAGCCGGGTGAGTTAATGTACAACAAATACCGTTTGTGACGAAATTGCTGACATGTTGTAACAGAACCGTCTGGGTTAACAACTACAATACCCTCCACTACCAGATGCCGTTCGGTGGCTTCAAGGAATCAGGACTCGGACGAGAGCTTGGCTCATATGCCCTCGAGAACTACACTGAGGTCAAGACAGTCCGCGTGCACCTTTCTTCGTCTTAGGCTTCAGATCGCCAGAATTTCTACCACTGTTTTATCATTCAAATTTGTTAAATACCATTGGAATTGAACTTTACCTATTGTACAAAATAGGAAATTCCCATTTTGTCTGCGTAGTGACTCGCCCTGGAGCTAGTGGGGACTTGACCAGTCCGCCAAGCAGCCTAGTTGGAGAGCGTGCATTAGATCGAGATAAGTAAAAATTGAATCGATAAAACTGAGGGGCAATACTACCCCTTAATCTAGCATCAAAATGATTTGCTCTACCATATTCAATTGGGCGATCACATTGACGATCTCCTTGAAGATCAATCCGTGGTAAGTGCGGGCGAGGCCATAACCAACATTCTGAATGGTTGGGGGGCGGGGGTTCTCCGATAAAATCTGGCCTTTCGCTTCTTTTTCCCCACATTGTACGTTGGCAATATATGTGACTTAGTACGATTGGCTCAGGTCTCGGTGAGAGGATTTTCCACTGCTGCAGGATTCGAGGTGCATCATCCCAAAAATGCGCCATGTCTTGGGCTGTATCAGATTTGCTGATGGTACACATTATCCTGGATTCTTTCTTCCAACAGAGCATGACTTTGAGGACATTTACCTATATGGCTAAGATATGTATCAGGCCATCTCAAACTAATATCCAAGTATAATTATAGTTTCCACTGGGCCGAAAACGACTCGATGCGCTAGCTTACCCCACTCTCCGCAAATGTTCACGTGTTCCCCCAGGAAATATAATCTATACGAAATATATTTTAGCCCGGGCACGTCCGGAGATACCATTATCGTACTTCTGAGACACATCTGCCTCCTTTCCAGTACCATTGACCATAAGCAATAACGTCAAGTATGGAAGACTCCCGCCGACGTCAGCTTCATAGCTGTGATCAATGTCGCAAGGGCAAAAGAGGCTGTGATGCGCCTGTTGGTTACTATGTCTCCTTGTGTCATCAACTGTGGATGCTGACTTGCATGCCTAGAAAGACCGACAGAAAAATGCATTCAGTTCTTGTTCGAACTGCACACGATGGAAAAAAGAGTGCACATTCAATTGGGTCTCCTCAAAACACCTCGACTCGAGAGGCAATCGAAAACGAATAAAGTCACACACTATAAGCGCAGCTATCATAACTCCTAATAACGAACCTCTCGACAATGTACTCCTCCCTTCCCAAACACATCCCAAAACGCATCCTGTCAATATCGGGGACTTCCTTCCCTCCCCTGAAACATCAGATTACGCCTCCTCCTTGTCCCCTCCGCAGCCAGAAACTCACTTTCTCGAGTCATACCAAGTCCACAATTCAAGTACTGGCCAGCCTCAACCAATCCCTTGGACAACGAAAATTCCATATAATTTGCAATATAATAACTCAAACACACATGGACCTCCAGACTACTCCATCGAATCCGATGTCCATGCCGAAACTTTTGGGTTGTCACCAAGTTCTATCGATAGCACGTACGGCTTGTTACCATATGAATATTCATCCACCCCCTATCTCATATCAACAGTTCCAGCGTGGAAACAGAGTCTACACAAACATCCACCAGAATCTGCACAAGACCAGCCCCCAACCCCGGACCTACAATGGAATATTTGCTTCGCTTCCGAAAACACAGCTAATCAAAACGCTCGGGCGATGATGTCACGTAACCTGATCCGCATATATCACGACAGCATGGAGAATGCTTTGTCATGTTGGTTGACAGAGCACAACTGTCCATACAGTGACCCACCTAGTCAAGTGTTTCCTTATCGAAAAATGAAAGAATGGGGCCCGAGTTGGTCAAACAGAATGTGTATTCAGGTCTGTCGGTTGGATCGTGTATCCTCTTCAATACGCGGCAGAGCGTTAAGCGCAGATGAAGATACAAAAGCGGCTCGAGCGCTTCATCTAGCCATTATGTCGTTTGCATCGCAGTGGACGCAACATGCACAAAGAGGAACCGGCGCGTCAGTGCCCTCGGAAATTGATCATGATGAGAGATCAATCCGAGAGAAAGTTTGGAACGAAGCACGCCACGCTTTGGAACATTCTGGTAGCATTCCTTCTTTTCGTATCGCCTTCGCCAATATTATTTTCTCGTTGACTCAAAGTCCGCTAGACAAAAGTCAAGAAGTGACTTTGGGAGAGCTTTTGGAGAACGATCGTGCGCCAATATTTTTGGAAACTGCCAATCGCCAACTTTTCACTTTCCGGCACAAGTTCGCAAGACTGCAGCGTGAGGCAGCCCCTAAAGTGAGAGAACTTGGGAGGGGGTCGATAGACCCGACGACGGGGAACATTCTGGAAATGCCACCGTCGTCGGAGCATCCGCGACTCGATCCGCTTCTGACTAGCCAAGAACACCGGACTACGCTAGATCTCATGTTTTGGCTAGGTGTTATGTTTGATACCCTGAGCGCTGCTATGTATCAGCGGCCTTTAGTAGTTTCGGATGAGGATAGTCAGATTCCATCGGTCTCGCCGCGAATAGCGGAGCCCCGAGCTCAGATTGGTTTAGATCACTGGGATATCCCTAGAAGCAAAACACGCGGGAAACGAGATGTGTGGGGTGATTTCTTTCTGTCTTCTTCAATACAACGCCAGGGATCGGGCCAGCTCCAGCCGAGATGGCCATGTTCTTACGAAGAAGCTGCATCCGTACTTTCCGAGGCGACTCCTGTCAAAGTGCTGCTCTATCGTCGAATCACACAGCTGCAAACCCTGGTCTATCGAGGCGCAAGTCCCGATCAGATTGAAAATGTCATCCAAAAATCCCTCCTTGTCTGCCAGCACTGGGATTCTACATACCAAAATTTCATGCTTGACTGCGTCACCAATCATGAGCTCCTTCCTTCTCGCATACAGTCATGGTACGTCATCCTCGACGGCCACTGGCACCTCGCTACGATGCTTTTCGCAGATGTGCTAGAGAGCATTGACAAATCCCAGCTTGGATCCGACACTGCGCGTGAGGTTCGGCAGGTTACGCACTTGGTTGCCACGCTTAGGACGAACAATGCGTTGGCAGTTGCCGGACTTGCCCGGGCTTCGATACAAGGTCAGGACTCGTTCATGGCCCCTCATTTCCACGATTCTCTCAGTGAAGTGGCCTTCTTGGTTGAACCGTGGACGGCCGTGCTCATCCATTCTTTTGCCAAGGCGGGGTCTATCTTGGTAGAAAGTTTGGATATTTCGTATAAAAATGGGTACACCGAGTGCTTACGGCAGAATTGTGAGTTCTTGATTCGTGCGCTTCAATATCTCGGAAGAAAGTCTGATATGGCTTTCCTGGTGGCGAGGAGTTTGTCAAGGTCTTTAGAAGCGAAGCTTGTCTAATCACCATAAGAGACCCGGGGGTCGATCGGGTAGATATGTATAATTCCGGGTTCATGCCATTTGATTGTAAGGCTGTATCACTAGTCCAAATATTAGCTGATAATCTGTGAGACGTAAAACTGTATGAATGCCTCGGGAAGTGCTTTTTGGTGCAACTTTTGGGAGTGAACTCCGTCAAGCCATTCAACCTCGAATCCCAAGAGGCTGATAGTGTAAGGAAGTCATGCTTGTCTGTTTCTTTTAAATCAATAGCATAGATTTGCTGAACTGATAGAACTCACCAGTTCCTATAAACTTCTTTAGACGCGCAAAGTACACTATTCAGCTTGAAATCTACATGTGCAGCTAATTAAACCACCCGAGCTCGGAGATAAGTAACTAGAGCTTCTTTATCGCCGGTCCCTCCCCGAAAGCTCAAACCGTGGAAGGCGATCGTCACCAACCAAATACAGCAACACCAGTTCATGCGATTACCCATTTTCTCCTCAAACATCCTATCTCCAACCTCCACACCACCTACGCCTCCCCAAACTCACGCCCAAAATGCCCCCTCCAACCCAAATTCCAATCCCCCTCTTCGCATCAACCCAACTCACCCTCCTCGCCGAAGAACACGCCGCCGAAGTCTCCTCCTCAAAACTCGCCAGCACAGCCGCATCAGTCTCACCTTTAACTCGTCGGACGCTCCAAGCAACCGGCTACGCCTTAACAGGCCTCATCCTCTCACAATGTCGAACTGGCCTCGGTGGACGCGTCGTCGGCGAGTTCGCGCCCGACCCGGCGGTCGCATCAGACGAGAACCGGGCAGCCGATGGGACGCCTCGTCTCGGGGCTCATGGGATTCGCGTCGGAGATGTTGTAAGGGTCAGCGATGTTGCAGGGACGGGGAAGAAGGCTGGCGGGAAAGATAAGGAGAAAGAGAAAGATGCAGAGAAGGGCGGTCCTGAGGGCGTTGTTACGCGGACTGGTGATCGCGCTGTGTGGATTGCTTTTGGGCGACCGGGTGGTGGGGGCATGTCCAAGGAGGATGATGAGGCTGTTGAGGAGCTTTGGGGGAAGAAATTGTGGGCTATTAAGCTTGCTAACGATGTTACGTACAGAAGGTGTGTTCGTAGGATTATTGGAATGGTGTTGCTGGATTGGTTGCTGACTTCGGGCTAGGATGAGGCAGACTATGGAGAAAATGGACAAGATGACGGAGACTGATTACACGCACTTCATGCGTGTCGCATTTGGACATACGACACCGTTAGAACCGGATACCGAGGCGTGTGGACCCGTGGAGTTTATTGATCCCACCCTCAATGATTCGCAAAAGGATGCAATTCGGTTCGCGCTGGGTTCGCGGGATATTGCTTTGATTCATGGTCCGCCGGGCACGGGAAAGACACATACACTCATTGAATTGATTTTGCAATTAGTTCAGCGGAAAAAGCGCATTCTCGTCTGTGGACCGTCGAACGTCTCTGTTGATAATATTGTGGAACGGCTGGCTCCGAAGAAGGTTCCGGTTGTGCGTATCGGACATCCGGCTCGTCTGCTTCCTTCTGTCCTTGAACATTCTCTTGAAGTCCTTACGCAGACCTCCGATGCTGGGGCTATTGTGAAGGATATCCGCAAGGAGATTGATGAAAAACAGGCTAGTATTCGGAAGACTCGGTCTGGGCGTGAACGACGGGGTATCTACGATGACTTGAAGCTGCTCCGGAAGGAATTCCGACAGCGCGAGTCTAAATGTGTGGATAATCTGGTGCGTGAAAGTAGCGTGGTGTTGGCTACTCTTCACGGGGCGGGAGGCCACCAACTCAAGAACCAGAAGTTTGATGTTGTGATTATTGACGAGGCGAGTCAAGCTCTCGAAGCACAATGTTGGATTTCTCTTCTAGGTGCAGAGAAGGTGGTACTTGCCGGTGACCATCTACAACTACCCCCGACCGTCAAGTCTACTGGGCAGAAGTCTAAGGACAATACTTCCAAGGGCGAGAAAAAGACCGACACCAACGCCGACATCGAGACATTGAATGGTGTCTCTCTTGAACGCACATTATTCGATCGTTTATTAGCCCTGCATGGAGCAGGGATCAAGCGCATGTTAACCACTCAATATCGTATGCACGAAAAGATCATGCGATTCCCGTCTGGCGAACTATACGAGGGAAAGTTGATAGCCAGCGACGCAGTCAAAGCCCGTCTATTAGTTGACCTACCATACGAAGTAGGGGGCACGGATGACACGCAGGAACCCCTGGTATTCTGGGATACGCAAGGTGGCGATTTCCCCGAAAAGGCGGAGGATGAGATCAGCAAAAAGGGAGCCTTGCTCGGAGACAGCAAAAGCAACGAAATGGAAGCCATGGTTGTTGCCAGACACGTGGATAACCTGATCGATGCGGGTGTTCGGCCCGAGAGCATTGCTGTGATCACCCCATACAACGGGCAACTGGCCCTACTGTCGCGGATGCTACGGGAGAAATATCCCGGCCTTGAACTTGGCAGTGTAGACGGATTCCAGGGCCGTGAGAAAGAAGCTGTTGTGGTGAGTCTGGTGCGCAGTAATGCGGAGCACGAAGTGGGTTTCCTGGGTGAAAAGCGACGATTGAATGGTACATATGCTTTCCCCCTTTTCATTTTTTCTTGGCAGACCTGGGCAGGTGTTGTACCTGCAGCGAATTCGATAGATCGCTAACTATGCATCTAGTCGCCATGACACGCCCGAAGCGCCATTTGTGTATATGCGGAGACTCGGAGACGATCAGTCAGTAAGTGATATTTCAGATTTTTTTGGGTTTGAAGGTTTAATGCTGATCGGCATTGGTTTTTTACAGTGGGAGTAGCTTCCTTAAGCACTGGATGGAATTCCTTGAAGAAAATGCCGACCTACGATACCCCGATGCTGGAGATTTATTATAGAAAGATATGACTTCTATAGACGCCGATCCAGAAGTCCCATTTCCGCGTTCCAGAACGATATTGATCCCCACTTGGGAATGTAGCATTAAATTTAGACCTGGGGAGACGCACGGGCTATGACCAAGGGGTAAGACCTCTAAAACAGCTCAAACACTCCCAATTCAAATACTTTCACCGTCTCAACCCGAAACCCTTACACGGGATAGGGATGAAGATAAGGTACTTCCAAACGTCTAGTTGGAAGATCATTGCTGCAAAAGGTGTCGGGGATGTCCCGAAACAGTACAGAGCAGGTGATCATTGTTCCCCCATACTGATGAGAGAGAGGGGGTTCTTCTGACATGGGTTTTTTGAAAAAAGAGGAATAAAAGAAAATGAGCTACGTGGGCTAATGATATCAATTGAAAAGTTGAAGTTGAAACTGTGTCGTGTCACTTTTGGGCTGAAAATACGGATATCAACATCTCCCCATGTGTTTCAGACCACTCTCCTTTCTTTGCTCTTGAACAACATTTAAGAAGGCAAGTAGAAAACTACAATTGGTATTCTAACCATTCAATATCCTCAATAAAACCCCCCTGATTCCATTCACCTATTCGGTTGTGGCTTGAAGAACTGCTGTGGGGAAAATAGGACCTTAGCTTCTCTCCAATCTCTTTAATCTCCCTAATCTCCAACTTCTTTTTCCCCTTTGTTTCTTCTCATCTTTCAATCCTTTGTCTTTTTTTCCCTTGTTTCCTATGAGACCGACAAACGGGAGCCATTATGTTCCTGATTATATTGTACGTTCCGTTTGTAACAAATTGTTTCTTCGGCTAACATGCGTTTGATAGCTTTCAATAGTCTCAGTCGACTGAAATCCAGCCTTTATTCGAATGTACCTTATACCCTTCGATATTTATTTCCCGACATTCCCTTGAAATCTTTTTTTGTTCCTTTGCGACGATATACCCATATTTATTGTAATGATCAAAGTCAATATCTTGCCTATACTTTACACGCTCACTATTTGTTGATTGCGACCCATACCCGATCACCATGCCGAAACACCCCCCACGATCTATAACGAGCGCCGGCAGCGAATCGGTTCGGAGTATACAACGATCCTCCCCTGTCCAGGCAGAGCGCTCCGCCTCCAACTCTACATCTTACACGGGAGACAACGATGACACCGCGCTGCCGTCCATGGAGTTTCACTCCTCCCCGCAGGCGATGGCGCATCGCCGAACAGGGAGCACCTTGAAAACAGTTATGCGCAAGATCTTCAACCGCAAAAGACAAAGTCAGGCCGGTGAATTGGAAGAGAACCCATATGAATCTAGCTTTGCGATACCACCGATGCGGAAAGCAGGACCAATGAGAGGGAAATCATTGTTGGCTGTTCCACCTCCTCTGAATTTAAATTCACACCGGAATAGTCCACTCTCGGCGGAAAACCTTCAGATCGCAGAAACACATCTGTCTCCGTTATCTCCGCTATCTTCAGCAACCCTTCGGGATTCAATGCCGGGTAGCATGCAGCCACGCCGGAGACGTGCAACTCTTCCGAGCGTGGTTTTCTCAGATGATGAATCTCGGTTTGCCGTCGCGTCAATAGCAATATCAGATCCGCAAGAGGATAATAGAAGCTATATGCCAGAGCGACGATATAGCATGCTCTCTCGCCGGCTATCGGTGAGCACAGAAGCTTTGCGCGAAATGACAGAGAACCTGCCAGAGACCTTGGTCTCTTGGCCACAACGCACATCATCTGCCCCTGGGCCATCCCCGGTTCTCGGCTCGCATTCCCCACAACTAGACGAAAGCTCTATTAGCGGGCAGTCGGGGAGACCCTCGTCAGGAACCACGGTAACTAGCGTGACGCGAATTTCTGCCGCGCCGTCTTTGATGGAAAGCGACCAGCACGCAGAACAAGCTAGCCTCGCGCCCAACGTCGCAAGTCTAGTCAACACAATGCAGCAGGATGACAGCGTCACCCTAGAACAGCGATTGACCACACTAGAAGTGAAACTAATCGACCTGGAATTCGCAATTGCCCGAATGCAAACAAACAACACCGAACACACCGAAAAGCCATCCCGCCCGCGACATCCCCCTTCAACAGAATCCTTCCCTTCAACCATGCGTAACAAACAATCTGCATTGATCTCCACAAGTGACCGTGACGACTCCCCAAGCCCCCTCCCAACAATATGCACCCGTCCCTCCAGCACAAGCACAATCCGCCAAGACACATTGACCTCCCGCACCCTCCGCCCCGCCCCATCAGCTTCATCTCTCTCAGACTACCACGGCGTTTCAATCGAGCAATACAGCACGCTAGTGACGCTTCTGCGCCGCGAACAAACAGCCCGCAGAAACCTGGAGACTCAAGTCGGCAGTCTGCGCGATGATATCCGCGACCTGCAGCGTGCAGCGCTCGAGTCCATGCAGTCAAACATGGGAATCATACAGCCCGCACACGCGGAGTCGAGACAATTCCTGCGCTTCCGTCGCGCGCTAGATGACTCCGATACTTCCACGGGGCTTAGACCAGATGATAAGACCACTGGTATTGAGGAAACAGACTCCGATTGGGATCGGTCGGATATATATTCCCGTGATGATCCGTTCGGTCCTCCGAAGTGGGAGCGTCAGAGGGTTACAACTGTCCCTATGATTTGAATCTGTGTTGCAGAATATGCTACTTTCTCCCCGTTTTTCTAGCGGCTTTCTTTTTTTCATATATACATTCTGGACTACCTGAAGATACCATATACTTCAGGCTTGTCGATTCTTTTGCATATGTCAATGCGCTATTTTGGATGCCAAGCGGCATCCCCGCGACAGGATCGCGACTTCGATGAAGTGTCACCGCGCTGAGCTACATGTCCGCTCTCTCGTCTCTTGGTACGGAGACAGACATGACAGATTAGAGTTGCACACGCAAACGCACGATTTGTGACGATTGGCGCTATCTTGTACCCTCCCAGGTTTAATGTCAATATATACTTCTCTATTCAAGACGACCCCTGTAGCTGTACACCAATGACGATGCATGCCATACACATTTAACGGAGATCAAGGGATTCATGCTTCCTCGGCAAATCGCACGCGCGGCGCTAACAGTGGAGATCGCTGCAGATCTAATGCTACCACGGGCTGTCCGGTAGCCCCCATTCCTGGTGCCTGTCCAATCCACTATCTTCCATTCCCTCGTATTTAAAAGGTTGTACCCCTCTTATCTGACTCCCCGACGTCGGACATACAGTCATTATTATACTAATCACCGGGGGTTCCATACCTCCACACAGTCCATGTGGCTGCATGATACACAGTGACTGCTAACCTTATCAAGATTATACATATGGCGAAAGTACCCCGGAATGAAATTGAACTAATAGCAAACTATTTAAACACTTAAACCTCTCACTACCAACTACCAATTCGCATCCTAACCCCAACCACTCCCAACCCCGATCCAAATCAACATGTCGACCACCAAACCCCCAACAATAACAATAATCGGCGGCGGAATAGGCGGCCTAACCCTAGCAGCCGGCCTCCACCTACGTAAAGTCCCATTTCACCTCTACGAAGCAGCCCCAGCCTTCAAGGAAATCGGCCTAGGAATCTCCCTCGGCCCAGCAGCATACCGCGCAATGCCCCTAATCCACCCTCAAATCCAACAAATCTACAACTCCCTCATAACAACCCACGCAGACAGTCCCGGCTACGAAGAATACCTGCAAACCTGGTTCGAGATCGTCTGGGCATCAGGCCCACAAGAAGGAGATACATTAATGAATCTAAAGGCCCTACCGTCTGGCCAGACCGCGCTTCGAAGAGCGGATTTCCTCAACGCGCTTGTTGAGCTTGTCCTGACTGAATTCGTGCATTTTGGGAAGAGACTCAGCTCACTTGTTGAACGTGATGGCGGGGTTATGTTGAGGTTTGAGGATGGGGAGGTTGTGAATGCTGATGTTGTTATTGGATGTGATGGGATTCGGTCGAAGGTTAAAGAGTCTATGATTCCATTGGAATCATTGCAAACGAGACCGGTTTATAGTGGTATGTATGGGTATCGGGCTGTGCTTGAGATGGATGAGATGGTTAAGGCTGTTGGGGATAAGAGGGCGAGGGTTGCGACGATTTACGTTGGACGAGGCGCTTATGCAATTTCGTATCCCATTATGAGGGCAAAATTGGTTAATGTGGGGATTTATATGTTGAGTGATCAGCCTTGGGAATATGATTCTTGGGTTAGGCCGGCGGAGAGGGAGGATATGGAGCGTGATACGAGGGGTATGGGGCGGTATGTGAAGTCTCTTGTTGAGGTACGTTTCTGTTTTTGTTTCGTTTGCTGAGTGGACTCAATTGCTTACCTTGCTGTTACTCGTTAGCATATGCCCGACCCATCTCAATGGGCTATCTTCGAACATCCACATATTTCAACCTATGCCCGCTCCAGAATTGCAATTCTCGGCGATGCAGCACATGCTTCTACTCCGCATCAGGGAGCTGGCGCCGGTCAGGCTATTGAAGATGCACATGTTCTCGCAGAACTACTGAGCGATTCCCGTGCCGGCTCTGTCGACGGTATCGTTGCTGCTTTTAAGGCATATGATGATATTCGTCGACCCAGGAGCCAGAAGGTTGTTACTAGCAGCAAGGAGAATGCTGATATATTCTGTCTGTGTTTTGATGGGGTTCGTGATGATCCGATGAAGCTTAAGGAAACGCTTGATCAGCGTTTGAAGTGGCTTTGGGATCTGGATGTACAGGATCAGGTTGAGCGTGCGAGGGAGAAAATGGTTGAGTATTTGGATATACAAGGAATAGTTAAAGATTGATTATAGCGATAATGGAGTATCCCTTTGAATACGAGCTTTGGATATCTGCCAATTCAGCGGGAGTTGAAACGCTCTCAATGGGCACGGAAGAGTACCTTTCCGTGCATTTTATCCCAGAGAGTATATAATCTGTTACTTGTTACCCAAGCAGCTGCGGTAATTTAACTACGGAATACCACCGACAGCTTCTCCGACGATCCGCCAGCTGTCTGCCAGAATGCTTTGATATTTGATTTCAAATGCGCCAATTATCTGGTGACCATCCAGGAGGTTGTAAATGCTATACCTTTTTGATCACCACAAATTTGCTTGCAGGCCAAATCATTGCTGATATGAAGATGACCGAATGCGCGAACTGCACAAATGGTGCCCAAAACAATGTCAAAATGACATGCAAAACCGAGGCGCCCAGAGAGGTGTCACCAAGGTGTAAATCCTGGAGCATACTCCCCACAATAAGACCATGTGCGTCTACGGCGATGTTGCACAAATTCCACACAAAGAACCAATGCGAAACTGATATCTCCCACCCGCTAATGAATGTGTACACGTTCCTAGATATAGTCAATATTAGCACCTGAACCTGCAATAGGTTTCTGACCACTAACAGACTACCATAAGCTAAAGGTCCCATCATGGAGATTGCAAGAACCAATTTAACCATCCAGCTATCCATAGACATGATCCCGGTGTACCATCTCCTACGTTGCTGAATCAAGTCATAAACACTGACGGGAGGCTGTTCTCGTGCGATTGCGTGAACCCAGCCGAACTTGAATCCTCGGCGTGCCGCCTTAGCTCATAGATTTTAAATTAGCAAGTGGTTTGTCAATATAGGTGGTTAGACAACATACGTGAAAAGCAAACCAAAAGTCTTCGGCAAGACACCCAGTATCCCAGGTGACCTTATTCTCTACAGCACCATTGATTAATATGAAGGAGCCATGCATCCAGCCAAGTAACGGACGTTTGAAAAGTCGGATTGGAAGTTGGAAACGGCCAAAGTCGTCTGCGACTCGGAAAATCTCAGCAGTAGTCAAAAATGCGTTTTTCCAATAATTATGCGAAGTGTAGTAGATTGTGCCCTTTATATATTTTAGTTTTGTGCAACAATAGTTCAAACGGGATGCGTACCATGCCAATATCTTCTGTTCCTCGCTCAATGAAGTCGAAGCACGCTTTTACTAGGTACCCATCGATCTCCGTCTCTTCGTCCAGATGAAGTACCCAATCAAGCTCGGATAATTTCCAGTACAGCCGGCACCATTCCAACACTCGTCCTTTATATTTGGCATGGGATGGTTGAAATGACGCTGGTACACTCACCACGTTGACAAAATTAGGAAGCGCTGCCTGTACATCGCTATCAGCAGAATCCAATACCACATGGAAAGTGATGTTTTGGTATTGTCTGCAACCTTCCCATGGCCTGATTGAATTGACCACAGTCTTTCACTAATGTGTGAGCTTGGATATGGTAAGAGAAGGGTTGAAGGGGAGAACAGTGGTGGCTTACCTGCATATTCGTGCCCTTTGTAACCAGGCAGACTTTAAGTTCGCGGAAATAACGCCTCTTCGGCGACTGTTTATATGCAAAAGGTCGCATCGGTAGGCATAAGCCCCATAACGTCGAGTACGGGGGGAGCTGTCCTAGCACAAACGGACCGTAGATAATAGCTAGAATGGTGCAATCCGGAGTCCAGAGCACTCCTTGCTCAACAAACTTGTCGTATAACCCGGTCCAAACACTTATTTGGTATAAAGCTATATTGTTTAGATACGTATCTTGTGCAATACGCCCATTGCGAAAGACGTACCAATGAAGCACAGGCTAGCTGTTAGAGGAAAAACTGCCCAATTATAATTCAGACGCTCAAAGAACCCTTTCGTATGCTTCTCAGAATAGTGGTCATCTCGGAAATTGGCATAGTATCCGTTATGCTGCGTATGGTCCTCCATTGCCACGCTGGAGATGTAGAGACGTAGGTTAGGTATAGGAACTAGGCAAAGTACAAAAGGAACCTCAGACCTTTCTTAGATTGAAGCTCGTTAGTTTATAGTCGAGTAATTCTTTGGTGTAAAGTCATTTGTGATATGTTTAAAATCGCAACTAGATGTCTCGGTCGTTTTTGATATATCCCAAGGCCATTCAATCAAGATTTACCCTGCAAGGAGAACATCATGTCCCTCGAATTAGTATAGGAACATACCATAATGGGTACTGTACCGAGGGGTGAAGGACTAGGTATTGCTTGCTATCTATCCAGGAAAATTGAGAAGTGAACCAAGACAATCGGTCGTATTGGGTTGTACAGGGAGAAGAATGAGCGGAGCTCACACATATCTCCCCCATCGGTATTATTATGAGCGACCGTATATTAGTGTTTAATTGAGTTTACACGCATTTCGTCTGGTGGATACTCGGACAGCTCACTCTGAGGTGCGACAAATCGCAGGTGGCGTGCAAAAGCAAAGCAAAAGTATTCCAGTTGGATTTATGTAAATATGTGCCCGTGACTGGTCATGTGTATCACCATTTGATATTCCCGATCTCGGTGACAATGAAACCCATCTTGAGCTCCATTGGGCTTTTGGTGGCCTCCCGGTGTTCCTGTCGTGGTGATAGAATATCTACGTTCCTCCCGTGAAATTCCAGAAACCATCAGAAACCATCGAGTAATTTAGACAAGATATTTAAGCGCGCCCACCGATCTATATTTTAATACAGTTCAAAGTCTTCTGGCATACTAGCTCCTTCACGACCAGGTTGGATATCCCGTTCTTGATTTTCATTCATCCGAATGTTGATCGAGGGAAACAGAGACCGTCTGCAAGTCGAGAGTGCACAAGGAATTGAGTGGTCCGATTTAAGATTCGACCGGATTCGACCGATGCAATCCCAGTGGGTCGATGCCTCGACAAAACTGGGGCAGTGGGAGATGGTCCAAAACTAAGCAAGCCTCATCAGCCTTCAACGAGGTTGAGATACCCCTGCTAGAGACTTGCATTGTTGCCGGTTTGCCCTAGCTCAGACTGAGTCACTCATCGCACCCGCCATGTGTCCTAGAGGACTTTCGGGACTGGGATACCTTGAATACTCATTTCATCATCTCGAAGCCGTCATTTCAGATGTTCCACTAACTCGAGGCGTTGCTGGCAGTTGAGGATAGCTCCAATACCAGCATAACCGACCGGAGCCTTTTGAATTTTGCTCGTTCTCGTCAAGACCCTATCCCATGGACGATGATGGCTTTCTCGGGGAATGTTCAGTTGTCATGGCCGGAGGATCTTAAGACGGGCTATGCTGTTCTTCACGAAACGCAGTGGGCACTTGCGCATTAGGAATATAGGACTATTTGCTCTCGTGATATTGGGGAATGATATGCTATTTTTTTCCTGCTGATTGGTGACTCACATGAAGTTTGACGATACGACAGTTGCCTAATTTGGCTGAATTTGTGGCTTTATTTTGGAGATGTGGCGCACATACTGGCTCGTTTAGTCCGCCCTTCGCTTGACAAGATTGCATTACCTCAGAGTGCTGACAGAACTAAACTGTCATTTATATATCTCGAAAAGTTCCATTTTCTTGGGCTGCTCTGTTCGTCCTCAAAATGTCTACTACCACTGAGGAACGTACATCACAGACTCCAGAACTCATAAAGATTATCCAATCTTCACCTCCACCGATGTACCGAATCGAAATCTTCACACCAAGCGAGCTGCTCAAGCAGCCCTTCCTGCGTGAGCTCCGGGACGTCATCAATGCCAGTTACTATGATACCGGTGCCACTCCTTTTGTTAAGACCGGACCCCGGATCAGAAGCGACACCCAACTTGCCGACGAACTTCAAGAAAGTGGATTCACTGCAATTGCATTTGCTCAAAATGCGGTCATCGGCACGGCAAGTTTGAAAGCCTGGTCGCCAGATTCTGACGACGCTGTGTGGAAACCATCGGGCTATTTCGAGCAATTTTCGGCGGATGAGATCTTCTCCGCGAGCACTACCGTGCTGGATAGCCTTGATGGTGAATCCCAAAATGTGACCTGCGAGGGAGGGTTCGAAGTTGTAGCTGTCGCGATCAAACCGGATCCCCGATATAGACGGAAAGGCATTGCAGAAAGCTTGGTCAAGGCATGTGAGGAGGAACTCAAGAGAAAAATGTCTCTCGCGGGGTGTACTGACTTGGCTGACTCATGCATTATGGTTAAATCCATTCGCGATATCAAAGGTGCTTATTGGCTAAAAAGGGGATTCCGTGTCGTGGGAGAACAATATTGTCCTCCTTTTACCTGGAATTACAACAATGGTTTTGTTCTTTGGGCTATGAAGAGAGAGTTATCAGTTTAGCAGTTAGCATGCTCCAGTTAGAGTCAAGTTAGCTATAAGATTGCAGAATAGTCACCCTTGTATCTTTTGTACACGCTTTGTACAACATGACCAACCCCTCCCTCAAAGCGACCATTTCGGATATAAGTGGACGAGTCAAAAGGGTGATTGGTTGCAGGCTCGGTAGTCATGTACAAAGCAAGATTCCAACTTACCTGGACCTTACGTCAGATAATAAGATCAGCTGCTATATGTAGGTATTTTGTACAACGTCGTCTCACTTCTCCGCATCTCGGCACGTAAACCCGACCAACTGACGATATAAAAGTCGCGCTGGACGAGAAATATTTTATAATCATTCGCTCTTCTTCAACCATGGCGACCGTACAAATTTCTGACGATATCTTGGAGGGAATCAAGGACAAGGTAATTCTGATTACTGGTATACATAGTTCTGATTCCATCGTCATATGCAATGAGATCTAAAATTAATGGAACTAGGTGGCGCGTCAGGAATCGGAAAAGCGACTGCAGAGTTATGTCTCAAGCACGGCGCGATTGTAGTCATCGGTGACTTGAACTCTTTGCCATCCGATCTTGAGACTTCGGAGAAACTCAAATTTATAAAATTGGATGTCTGCTCATGGGAAAGTCAACGTGACGCATTTATTCAGATCGAAGAATGGTTCGGTCGGATTGACCATGTCTTCGCCAATGCAGGTGTTGGACCGACATCGAATTTGCTGGACAACAGCCTTGATGAAAATGGCCAACTTACTCCTCCTGATCTACAGACGATCAATGTCAATCTCATTGGTGTCATATCCACAGTTCGTCTAGCCATACATTACATCCAGAAGCACTCGGCACACCGTGCGTCTGGTGAACTGGGCAGTATCGTGGCTACTGCTTCTGCAGCTTCGTTCCAGAACTTCAGCGCTGGTGATTACACGATCACGAAACATGCTGTTCTTGGTCTCATCCACGCCATGGAGTATCAGCTTGAGGGAAAGGTTCGACTCAATGCTGTTGCGCCGTCTTGGACAGCAACTGGAATGGTCCAAAGTGCCTTTATTGAAGGTCTTGGTGTCGGTGTTCAGCAACCGGAGGCTGTAGCCCGGAGTGTGGCGCTTCTCTTTAGTGACCAGCAGCGTCATGGAGATATTATATACAGCTGGGACGGGAATTATCTGGAGATTAACAAGGCAGAAGGTGGATTTTTGGAGGCCGCAGATCGAATTATTGTGAATTCAGCTAATGAGGAAATGGTTGTGAGGAAACTCAGAGAGGCTGACCTGATTGCTTAGATCTAGTCTTGGTCAACTGCTCTTGGCGATGAACCAACGACCATGTATTTTCGGTATATATTGAGACAATCTCGGGTTTGTCGTATTTTTATTGCTGTTCCTTCCATTCATGGATCACATGTCTTGTCTCGTATAATCTGGGGATTACTCTACTTTACCTCTATTGGCTTCATTTGGAAGCTAGGTAACCAACTCATGCTAGTACTGCATACCGGGCATCGGCATATAGTGTTGAGAAGCAAACAGTCGAATAGACGAAGGGCAGAGGCAAAATGGTGCTCCGCCTGTGCAATGTGCCTCGGAGGACATTTGAAAAGGAAGCCAGGCATAAAAATCGTGCAAACTTGGCTTGTTTAAGTTATGGAAAGCCTAATCCGGAGCTCTATAGGCAAAAGTAATTTGGGTATTCATATCTTTTTGCCAGCTTTACTTCAGGCATCCTAAGAAAATTTCAGACACCAATACTACAAAAAACCGCATCCGACCCCTAGCCGCTATACACCTGCGTACTGATCTATAAGCTGACATTGTATGAATGCGAAACAGTTCGGCAATTTTTCGACTTTCTTTATACTTTATTCCCTCCACGAAAGAGCCAGAGGGTAAATTGTGGTCAAAGGAAATCCGAAAACTGAAATTCTACACATATTTGCTTGTTTGCCCATTATGGCTTGTATGACCTAAATTTCGCCCTCCGCCACATATAAATACTTCTTTGTCTGGGTTTTCCTTTCTTGATCTCCCACACCCTCTTTACAAATTTTCAGTCAAGATGCTAATTCCACATCCAGGCCAAGGCTGGCTAGGTATAGCTTCCATGCAAGGCTAGGCCTTTGAAGCTATAGACATATAAAAAGCAGTGATACTTGGGGATAACGGGTGTCTTGAGCCACCTATCCCTAGTAAAGGCGGTAACAAAATTTGGTTCCGAAATGTCTCTATCGACTTGGTGAGGACTAAAGCTATACCTGTCAAGCTGTGAGTGCTAATGTGCTATTTATTAGATAATTTACATAACCAAATCCAGTGCGAAACTATTACCGACGCCCTTGCCTCAAGTCCCACTTTCCATGTCCCACCCTCATCCTATAATTGTATATACAACCACAGTCACAAAGTCTATTGATGATGAGTACGCTTATGACTAGAGAAGAGGAAGATCTGAGGGGGAATTTTGAAATGGCGCTTCCCTGTGCCATGCGATATCAAAGAAAAGATCAGCAACAAGACAGAGCTGGGAGATGCGATACAAAAATCTTCCTCGAGTTGCGCCAAGTCCAATACTATACGGTGCTGAAAGAAACCAAATCAGTCCGCTATCGACCGACGTACCTCAGTCACAATGAAAGAACGGCTATCTATATAGAGCTTTGGCTTTTACGAAACCGAATCAATCAACCACCTTTCCACGACATTGTTTCAATCGGCGAGTATGTGGCTATATATCTATACAGTCCTGATTCTTGATTTTATATCCTGCCGGCCACGACTTTGAAGCGGAACATACGCGGGGATGCCCCTCATAATATATGAAAGCCCTCTCAAGCACTATCCTGTCATGGAATCCTCCCTGGCAAATGCAAAGGGGGAGTGGATTGTCCGAGAACAACCATCAGCTATAACATGGCAATAGGGGAATATGCCGCGCTAATCTGTGGTGCCTACAACCAGCGCTGAGCGTCTAACTCGGAGGTTCAGCGGACAGAAGTTGGAACAGCAATGGGAGTGCTCAAAAGCTCCTACGGCTAGATGATGAACCAAAGAAGAACACATCATCCAGCCGGAAAGTGCGGGATTTATCGAAGAATATGCCTTACCAACGTCAATTGATGATCCTGTGGGGAGGATCTGACTGATACAAAGACATGGGCAAATTTTTCTCTCTCTGGGATGAGGAGTTACGAATAGAGATTACCAGTACGCTGGGGGAGCTCTCTCAGCAGACCCTGCTATGAAGCTACTCGCCGTGGGAGTCCATATTGAAGTCGAAGATCATTGGAGCGAGCTTTATTCTACAAAGCCAGCGGTAAATTGAATCATTTTGTGGATATCTAGGGGGTTTTAGACTCTTAACTCACTCAAAGCGACTGCTCCGCCAAAAATCACCTCTCACTCGTGGGTGCATGTGGAAGAGACATCCTGTGCAAGCTTCAAGGAGTGGCCTCGTAATGATTCCCTCAGGAATATCGATTCAGATTCGCATTTCCACCAAAAATTAATTTGAAAGATGATGTTCAGGCTGGTATGACGACGGGTCAATTGAGTTTGAAGGAACAACCCGGAGATTTTCACATATCCGTTGGAAGAGCTTTCTGTTCATTCTTTGGTTCTTTCTATGCTATTAATCATTCTTCACTTATTCCACCCTTTTTCCAGCTCTTCCGCTCACTCTCAATGTCCATGAAATTTCCCCGTTAAGTGGCTCAGTGATAGCCAAGAATCTGTTGAGCGAGGTCATCTCCCCTCCCAAACCCCAAACGGCCTAATCCTGCTGATCAGCAGCGCGCCTCTCTACCCCAGCATATATGACCAGCGCCGAGCATCCCAACCTAGTGTTGCAGCGGGATATTGAAAGACCTAGAGAATTCCGAGGAAAGGACATGGAAAAAAACCAGTCCGTGCTTGGCTTGGAATTGCAGAAATGATTGAGAGTTATACCAAAGTACTACCTATCAACGTCAGTGGAGGATCCTATACAAAATATCAAACGGATTACAGATACATGGACGGACCGATCTCTTTTTTGAATGGGGATCAAACAGTGGGGAATACCGGTGACCTCGAATCATTCGACAAGGTAGATCTCTCTCTCCGAGACAAATGACCGAAACCCCTGCCAATCAGCCCGCCAAATTCTAGCATGTATTCAGTCGTGGCCACCGGTGGAATTGCCTTTCCGGGAGGCTTTTGATACCGCCACATCGGACGTGGGACTCAGTATCCCATCTATTTTTTCGGGAGCTTCCTGTCACGGCCTTTGGTTCATATTGTCAAATTCATGTCTTGTCGGACATCCATGCCGTCGAGTCTTCGTGTGAACTCCGAAAAGGTCAGGCCTCGGACTCAATCTCAACGATTGTCGAAGCTGTTGAACTCCAGAGATAACACCAGCTATCACGATGATCGTGGTTAGCCTGGTACCGGAAAATTACACGGTCCCCCCTTCTACATGTTCAGCACGTTTTTCTTCTATTTTATATGTTTGGTGGCTGGAGGCATGTCAGGCACATGGTGACAGGATCTTGTAGTGAACCAGTCCTCTTCTCCTGTCTCTTATCTCCGTCCACTTCATGGCATAGAAGCTACACACGTTTCCTGCACCTTAATCTGCTTTCTGCATTGACCGCTAAATTATAGCAATCAGGTCGGGTGTGTACTTTCTGGACATGCTTTTCTCCAGTGTCGATTAGTATTACTTAAGTAAAAACAACTACGATATCTTCCAGTCTAGACTTCTCACAGATATAGCCCACAAACACCGGATATCATATTCATCTTCATCGCGCATGCATAACAACAAGGGTATTAAATATACACATAAGCGAACAAACCACCGAAAAACGCACATACCAATCACCGAATCCCACTACCGGTCAGGGTAGTAAAATATAGAACGTAGAACATAAAACATAAACATCAACAGAAACAATATACAACCCACACAAGATACCGGAAAGATCGGAACTTATCAAGCTAACTTATCAAGATCAACTCCGGCAACCTTCAGTGCAGCACGAACATCCAACTCGACCCTCATTTTATTTGCAGCGAGGGCCTTGGTGAAATACGGCAGTTCCTTTCCGTTGTATGAGGTCGCGTTTCCGGTGATGTCGAAGGGAAGAACGCCGTCTTTGTAGGGATTGTCCTTTGACAGGAGCAGGGTGATGATGGTGGCTTGGTCAACTGCGCCCAGCATTGGCACGGTGTTGTTGCCTGGCTTGAGGACTAGGTCGTTCAGGAAGGTCTGTCCGATTGGTTTGCCGTTCAGTTTGAGATCCAGGGTTACGTTGCCCTGTTTTTTTTGTGTTAGCTTTGTTGGAGGCGGGATCTTGATATATGACAGGGATAGTATTTACCATTGTGATGGTCATGACCGAGGCATTGGGGATAACGACGGTGCCGTTCATTCCAATGCCGTTCTTGGGTGGGTAGACGATGAAGAACTCGGGTACATTGAAACCCTTCAATCCGTTCAAACCTGTTTCCCCGAGTCAGTACATCTTGCTTTTCATATAGACTGACTGAAGTCAATAAACCAGGAAGAATAACATACCCTTCATAACAACAGTCTTGTTATAAGTAACCGTGGTCTTAGGCAGACCACCCTCCTTCAGTCCAGGTCTTCCATAAATATTCAACGAAACCTCCTCATTCAACATAACAGCAGTAGTATACTCCGTGAACGCAGGGGCATCGGTCAAATTAACCTTCTGCTCGAAGTGAATCTCAGCGCCATCCTTCGACTTCACAGCCGGGACAGTAACATGAGCGAATGAGTCCGCTCCGGCCAACGAGACCTCAGAATCGAAAGAGTAGATCTCGGGGTGGTAAGAGCTGTGCGTGCCGAGGACTTGCCTCTGCTCAAGCTGGAAGGACTCGGGCGTTGGGTTGCTGATGATCATCTCGGTAATATCGAGGGTCGAGTCGTTGACGGCACTTTGTGCGATCTTAGGATAGGCGACGTAGACACTAGATGCGAATTGCAGGGTTAATAGAATGTTCCGGGCTGCATGGCCGCGTGGTGCAGGGCGGGTTTAAAAGATGGGCATATGCAGGGACTTACATCGGCAGGAGGATAATTAGGAAACAGGCGATGAATATAATCAAGTGCACCCACCACCATTTCTTGAAATGGGCGGCGAGACGCGCACCGAAGCTCTTCTTGACTGGTGCTTGGTTCACGTGGGATTCCTCCTCCACGACTGAAGGCTTCATGGTCGACATCTTGGTACTGTGGTTTTTGTATTAGGGATTGTAAGATGGTTCTGGAGACATGTACATACAGAGTCGGACAAACACCTATGGAGAAGAGAAGAGCTTCGAAAAAATAAAGAAAATGAAATGAAAGTAGCACAAGTGCAGGAACTAAAACAGGGTAGTATTCCGTACTTTATAATAAAAATCCTAAAAATTATACAACAGAGATTTTCGACTAAAATGACGAACTGACAAGGTATATTCTAGCGTCACATGTGTTATGCAGAAGAAAAAAAAGCCACCAAATGCAGTCCGAAAAAGAAAGGGGGAATATCATGCCTGTTCTTCTCATTTCCTTTTATTTTGGGTATCTCGGTGTCCAATTATATACAGAGGATATAAATATTTCAGATATCATCCTAGCGTCTGGGGAACTCCGGATTTCCCGGGGAGATACGATCACAAGTCTGGAGTGTATAATGTTTCAGATTGAGAGAATCTACATACAAATCATCAACACATGAAAGAATAAAGCCGAGGTGTACTAGAATCCTCATAATTCTAATAAGCGGGACGCGTCGGGACGGGTCCATCTATCCTACCATAGAGTTTTCCTATAAGCCATATGAGAGATTTGGGGGGGGGACTTTAAGAGATACTCGAATGGAGTACCGTTGCACTAGCTTATTGAGTGGCCAGGGTGTTCATTGGTGCACAGTGAGACCAGCTGCAAGATAGCGTGCTGCCAAGGGAGGCGACCCTGGAGGCAAGGAGCGTGCCCGTAATGAGAGAGATTTTTCTATACGGACAGAACAGCCGAACTAAGTGAATCCCCGCTAATCCCCGCTAATATCCCCGCTAGACAGAACAAAAGGCCCCAGTGCCTTTTGGGGGCAATTTCAAGACCGGAGAGAGACACTAATCTAGACAATCTAGACACATTTTAGGTCAAAGCTCCGGGGGCCAAGACAAAAAGCCGGGGAACAATGCGGGGGGTGTCAGGTGTTAAGAATTACCTATGTAGTGAATATTGAATGTTTACTATACTGTATAATTTAACATATGTAGAAAAAAGATGCTATGAGTCCAAAAGATACAGATCAACGCTGTCTTGATTCTGGCATGAGTTCATGAAGTCGCCACACTGAGGCATCAAGCAAAATATGAGACAAAAATAGAAAAAGTGTCCAGGGAATGCCCAGGAAATATGACCAAGAAGAGAAGTGGTGAAAATGCCATGAAAATAAACAAAATCGGCAAAGGATGGGGAGAAATAAAAAGGGTATACACGAAGAATTGAAGGATTAAAACGAGACACGTGGACCACAGATTCTGTGCTCGAAAACAGCTGCCCAGGCGGCTCGGGAGAAGAATATGCAAATGTGAAAAAAAGGAAAAGTTTGGACAGGAAGTGAAGGAATGTAAGTCGAAAAATCGAGTCAAAAAAAGCAAAAAAATCAAAGATCGGCTCAGAACGCTCCAAACATGTTGCAAAATGCAAAATGAATGGTTGTTCCACCCTAAGGAGAACGCGTTGAAGCAAAATGAAAAGAATGAACAAGAAAGATAGGAGACAGTCTATGCCTCTGGAACGATAGATTTCTTGCGTTGGAAGATACCGCGAGTGCGGGACTTGCTGCGAGGCTTCTTCTCCTTCTCTTTGTCTCCGCTAGCATTTCGGCCACGGGAGCGTGTAGTAGGCTCGGTCTCATTGTACTTGTCCTTGTAGATCCTGCGTAGAGTTGTTAGTGACAGCCGATGAGGATGTAACCACTAGGAAGAACGTACCAGCTGTTTCCAACCATGCTCATACCCTTAGACTCAGCCTGGCGATAAAAGCGCGCCGCCTTCTTCATGTCCTTCTTACAGCCAACGCCCTCCGCGTAGCAGAATCCGGCTTCAGCCATGGCGTCAACATCGCCCCATTGGCCAGCGATCTCGAAGCACCGCAGGGCCAGAGGCTTGTCCTGTTCGATACCCCAGCCATTCAAGTAGCTGACACCCAGTTCATAAATGCTCAGGGCAAATTGAGCCCGGTATGCTTTTTGCAGTTCCTTTGCCTTCGACGCACCGGGAGCATCCGGATCGGCCAACATTTCCAATCCGACGGAATCCACAGCTTTGCGTAACCATCGTACGCCCTCCTTCTCATTAGATCGCATACCCCAACCGTGTCGACAGGCCAGCGCATAAAGTAACATTCCCGTCGGATGGTTCTGTTTTGCGGCAACCCGTAGATGATACGTTGACTCGCTCAGTGATCCGCGCTCGTGGCATTCAATGCCCTTAGCGACATGCTCGTCTGCCGTGAGGCCGGAAGCTGTCACCGGAGCTGTGGCGGTTTGGGGCCGCATGGTGCTGGCCGAATCTGCAGAAGAGACAGTTTCATCCCTCTCGTTGATCGTCTGTCGGGTGCTGTCAACAAAGGGCCGTGGTGCCGGCTCCACTAGCGGCACTGGCGATTCGGGCACAGGTGGAGGTTGTGGAACTCGGTGAGACTTGGGTGTTTGAGGTGCAAGTTGAGGCTGAGGTGAAGGTGGAGATTGAGGTGGAGATTGAAGTTGGGGTTCCGGTGTTGGAGACTGACGCTTCGAAGCTGGAACTTCATGCATCGAGTGAGGCTTCGGTGAATGCTGCAATTGGCGGCGGGGTGTAGGAGATGGTGTGCGTGCCATCCGTGGTGATTCCTCTGAATGCCGGGGAGGCGTTTTCTCAAACATGGGCTCGTCCCACTCGAAATGAGGCGTTTGCAGGCCCGCAAAGACAACAGAATCCCGCGAAAGGAAGCGCCCGCGCGGAAGCGCATACTTGGTGTACACATACGATGAGACAGCGGACGACGGCTCGCCCTCCATGGCTGCGATCGCAGCAGCGTCTTCGTTCGATAGCTGCAAGTTGAGCGGAGTCGGCTTGCTGCGACGGGACATATGGTTCGACGAGGACCCAAGGTTCGGTTCGGTAGGCGTCGAAGCCCCGGGAGCAGACAAGGTCGTACTCGACCGACTCAGAGGTCGAGAGAAATTAAAAGAAGGGCGGAGTAGCTGGTTCACTCCCGTGCCTGATGTCTCCGAGCTCATGGATGGCGATCGAGGGTGTGCTCGTGCAGGGAATGTCGACATGGGAGAATATGGCAATGATACAGCACTTCCAGAAGACAGCTTGCGAGGCTTAGAGAACGTCGATCCAGCATTAGAGCTGCTGTAGTCATCGTCGGAACTCTCAGGGTGGGCCACCTTCCCACTACTGGATGGGCGCGACCGTGGCGACACTGGCGGTGCCAAGGTGCGTGGAATGTGCAGTCGCGAACTTGATGAATCGATCGACGAACCTTCCGGCTCAGCAATCGCAACACCAACAAGCGCATCCTCCACTTCACTTGCGCGTGACGGCATATCATATGGCGACTCTGCGCGACCAATTCCATACGCCTCCGGGCCAGTATCGATCATCGTTGTCCGGGGTGTCGCATTATCATCATCCTCGTAATAGCTAGCTTCGGTGCTAGCATTGGAAACCGAGCTGAACCGAGGATGTTCTGAAATAGGGCGGTACTTGGGCTCTGAGTATTCCGGGACTCCCTTCTGCGTGGGTTGACGAGTCAGTTCGGTGCGGGCTTCAGTCGACGACTTGGAGCGGCCGAAGCCCGGGCGGCCTTGTGAAAGCGATCGAGCGACACTCGCCGGCGGCAGCCGACTCATGCGGCGATCTCTTCGTCGAGACTCATCGAGTTGTCGGGCCAGAAGTCGGCTCTGAGCGGCGAATGCGTCGAGCGGGGAAAGTGCAGGAGGAACTTCGCCGTCGAAATGCGCCACGCGCGGCGAGGATTTACCACTTCGCCCACTCCGCATGGTATCGTGTGATACGGAGCGACATTCGCCCAGTTTCCCGCGCATGTCCATGATGAATTTTTTAATATTGAATGATCGGCTATTGAATCATTTATCCTGAGTCGGTTGGATCTTTCGAGATTTGCGCAGGAAGCATCGGAGTAGTCTTAAAGTTGCTCAGGTGTTTCTGAAACGAAGTCGAGCGGATAACAGACAAAGGGGGTTCGGGCGGGGAGGCGATACAGAATCAAAGGAATGACAGCCCTATAGACAACAAAAACTGAAGTAAGGAAGACGTGAGTGTTCAAGGCATAGAGGGGAGTATAGTTGAGAGGTGACAAAGGAGAAAGAGGTAAGGAGAAAAACGGAGGGCAGCGACGATCACAATGCAGAGACACAAGGTAAATAGAAGCGTCCCGTGCACTAACACAGGACTCCACTGGGTCTCGACGTTTGATCGTCTCAGACTTTCTCAGGGGGAAGAGAACAGCTCTTCAGGGGTCGCCAAGAATAACACTATGTGTTGTTATGAATATTATTGGCTGTAACTCCTCTTCTATTATGTACTCCGAACTTGAAGTCACAACATATTAGTCTACTATTGTTCGCACCATAATTTTGCTGTTTTGTTTGACCCGCTATCTTCTAGAATCCCTACATACGTAGGCTATTTCTCTGCCGTCTCTCCCCACACGGGTGGTTTCATATCATTTCCTCTGACGAAACCACATCTTGAGTTATCTTTAGAATATTATGACAGGGTGACTAGTCATAAACACCAGCATGTTTGCAAGCACCAATGGTTGAGAGAAGTGAGACCATCCCCTACTTTACAAGCCACGAGAGCGGGTACCACACTCCTAAAGTGGTTTCAAATGGTTCCTACTGGTTCCTACTATTTCCTAATGGGATGGTATATACAACCCAATGAAATCTGTACTCTATAGAACTGTTGGATAAGTTTATAGTCATGGTATATACGGAATACTGTAATCCAATCACTATACTCCGTACAACATATAAGTCGAGATGAAAGGACAATATACGCTGGTTCAATTCAACGTATCCACTATCCCTAGTAGGGCATAGTGTCATATGTTACCGGCACTCGGGAATCTTGAACTATATTAGGAGTCGATAAGAAGCGCCATCCCCCTCTTTGCTTCTCTTTTTTTTTTTCTAGAATATAGCTTCTTCAGAACATCTTGTCCCTAGATTTTGGTTTCTGTGCTTTCCAAGTACCATGGAGCGCATAGGTGGTTTCCATCTGAATGCTTTTGCTAGTTAACCGATTTCACCAGTTGATAGTGCATTGATATCAAGGGGCATCTAAATTAGAGACATCATTTGAAAGTCTACATAGTTGTTGCCCATCCTCCGAGTTATGCGATCTGCCAAGCCGGATAATGAGGTAATTCTTCAGGCAACGGCATTCGTCCTTCTCCTCCGGGAATACTTCTGACCGCAGACACATATCTGCGATCCAGAACAATTATATTAACTCTTATAATCGCCGGGTTAAACAAAATAGCTGGTCGGGGCACACCATAGCAATACTGATGTCGTATATTCCACGATTGAACGGGGTATTTGAAACGAACTTGGCATCAACGCTGTTTCCAAAAGTATCGTGGGTAGGCTTGCCCAAGCAGCTTATAGCCTGTGTTAAACTCCCTGCAATCCTGGTACTGACCCTGAGTGGTGTCTAAGTGACAATCAACCCGGGGAGTTCCTGCTCGCATAGCGTAACTTTACCATTCTTGATAGAGAATAGGTAGAAAGGTGCGTTTGACAAAGCCAATGCCGAAGCATATAAATTACGGTCTACTCCTGATGAAGATTGTATCTCCGGTTTGAAGCATTATCCTTGTCGCTGCCTAACTAAAAGCTGGAGACTGGACTGCATGAAATCAGCTCCAGGAGAGCGCACGCGCCTATGAACCCATTATTGCGCTAATCCCTATATGGTCCCACGAGTCAATGAAAACATCCCCTCGCTACGAAAGACTACACTTCACTACCCGTCAATTCCGAGCTAATAACACTTGGCAACACTTAGTAAAGTAAGAAAATAATTGTCGTGAACTCTGCTTCTTTAGATATTATGTACTCCGTAGCGTTTATATCCTTTTACAAATATATTCCTTTAGACTACAAGCCTCAAAAAGAATGAAACATCTTCCACCAGAGCTCTTGCGCCAGATATGTCTTAGTGTATGTCACCTCATGCACTCTTTGCTTGTGAGACGCTGAAACCTTTAGCTTCATGCGGATGGGTTGGATTCACGCAAGACCCTCTCAACTTTTAGTCGGCTCAATCGAACATTTTATGAAATAGCCGCCCCCTTTTTTTTATCAACACCTTTCTACCATCTTCTGGGATGTTGAAAGCCTTCGAAAATTCGTCTCGGGGTTGACAGAGGATGGCGTGGGGCATCGATTTGTGAAATACGCCAGGAAATTATCTATTGTATGTCTCAACCAAGCTGCAGGCAATGGTGCAGATCAGGACCTTCTTTGGCAATTGGAAGGCTATAAGTTGGGATTATCTCCTCTTTGCCAATACGAGTTGGCCACGAAAGATACTTTTCCGGAGTCGCATTTGACAGAACCCAATTTATCTCGTGCTCCAGGACACAGTATCCTCAGACCTTGGTCGAGCTACAATCAATGGGAGAGAGACCGGCAGCCACTTGCTGCCCTTATCGTTCGACTGTCCCATCTAGGAGAAATCGACTTTTTTATTCAAAACGATATCCCAATAATTTTGCAGGAAGCTATATTACAGCATCATCCGAAATGTCGGCTAAATCTTTGGTGGCGGCAGAACGTCAGCACCAGTGTGCCAAGATCGAAAAATCTAGCAAGCCCTCGAGTGAGGGATCGAATCAGCTTTTCGGACGGTTGGGGCGTCGGTGTCGATCTTCTAAATCTCCAGGCACTGCATACACTGTCCGTCCAACTTCCTCGTCAATCCGATGCCAAATCCGGCTGGATAGAGGTAGATGAAATGATTCATTTCCTTGTTTTGGCGCCCAATTTAAAGCACCTGCTCTTGAAGGAGGATTTCACACGCCATCACCTCCCAATCACTATGCTACAACAGGAATGGCACAATCTCGCTGTTACCACACAACCCGTCCCAATATTTTCCTTGCAATCGATTTCACTTGCTCAAATGGGGCCACATGAAGATTTCCTACTCAAACTAGCGGACATCGTTGATCTTTCCCGACTAATTTCACTTCAAATCGATGAGTTATTCGACTCAGCAATGCTTGGACGGGTGGCTGCACTTTTCCCCAACCTTGAGCGGCTCTTTGTCTACACAAATGGACGCGGTTGGTGCTTTCCAGATGCGAAAGAAGATCATAACATTAGAATTGCCGGAATACTCGAATTTAATCCCCTAAAATATCTCTACCTTTGCGGCATTCGCAGCCCCTCGTCTTTGTATCAGATCACACAGCGCCATGGGCTCTCTCTAAAGGGTCTTATCATTGAACTGTCCACTTCAGTTAGGCATGGTATAGTCGAGGCAGATTCCGGGTATAAGTATCCAGAACTCGATGCCTTGGGGATAAGCCAGCTAGCCAAATCATGTCCCCAGCTGAAAGAGCTACGCCTTACGATCAAAAGATCAATGGGCAGTCCAGAAGAGTGCGAAATTTACAAAGCCTTGGGGAACTTCTCAACCCTTCATAGCCTTGTATTGGATCTCCATTTCGACCCCAGACCGCGGCCAGTGTACTCAAGACAAGAAATCAAGACATCCGTTCTTCAAAAAATATATCTGAATGCAGCTATGGATGAAAGACTCGCCCTCCAGATATGGCACTTGGTGTCATCCAACCAAGCTTCCCTCCGCCTGCAAAACTTGCGTATCGCGCATTTTGGCCTTGAATTTCTCCCAAATGATGAATATGAACTCGTTTATTGCTTATGTCGTTCGTTTTTGATCACACGATACAATTTTCAAAACGGGGGGTACCAACTGTTAGGGAAATTGGAAAAAGAGAATGGGAGATACGGAATCAGTCTCTTTATCGAGACTCGGATGAAAGATGCATTCCAGAGAGACTGAAACAAGTTCTTTCTGATGTCTGGCCTTCCGAGCCTGGAGAAAAGCACTGGGATTCCGTACGCAGCAGCTTCCCTTTGCAGTCAAATGATGCTTGACCTTTCTGATTGCGGCAGCTGCCATCCAAGTGAAAGCTGAGGTTTGGTATATAGCTACATATAGCAATCTTTACATATGTATAGTCCCTCCGCAAAAGTTTCTGTGATTTCAGATTTCATTTTATCCTGACTTTTTCTCTACAACATAAGTATAAGAGGAATATAATCTCAGGTTTCACTTCATCCTGACTTTTTCTCTACAATATGAGTAAGATGAATATAATCTCAGGTTCTCAGGTTTCACTTCATCCTGACTTTCTCTCTACAACATGAGTATGAGTATAAGATGAATATGATTTAAGGTTTCACTTTATCCTGACTCTGCAACCAACCTTGAAAGGTTCTTCCTGGCCTGCTCACGTAACCTTTGACGCAGCCCAGACACGAGGCCCCACTCCACAACTCCACACCTCTACAACATACCTAGGCACATATACTATATACCTTTCTCATACTCTTTTCGTGAAATCCAAATGGCTTCCCCTAGCCTAAGCCAATCATGTTCGCGCCCTTCCCATCGTGACCTCCCTGCGATCCGTACTCCACAGATGAGTAACATTTCTACAAGTTCTGCAAAAAGTTTCGTCGACCAGTCGAACTTCGAATCTTATATCTTGCATATAATTTGCAGCGCATCCAAGCATCAGGTTTTACTTTTTACTGATGTAAGGATGGTATGGGGGGAAAGGATAGTCAACTTGATCAATGAAACCTTTGACGGATATTCCACTCGGTAAGTTATCACAGCCTATCTATACTCCCTGGCCGAGTTCTATTAACACTGGTTCTTTTAGCAAAAGTTACAATTCTTTACTCAAAGTCCTACAAATTAGAATCATGCCGACTGAGGTACACGACTGTTGTCAAGATTGGTGGCGTTTGGCGGAGATTAC